GGTACAATTTAATTATTTTAGATTTATACAAATTATGTTTTCTATTAAAAATCTCGATTCTATCAAAAAAAACACGACATACCTTTTTATTGTATTTTGGATGTAGTTGGTGAATAATTATTTTGTTTTTGATTTACTGTGTAATTTTCTTAATAATTGAATAAAACCGGAAAAAACGTAAAAAGATCGCAAATTCTGCGAAAATTAGGGTTTCATAATTTTCTATTTTTTTTTTTTTTATATATATATATATATATAATTTCGTTGAAATATTTGAAGTAACTTTAAATTTTTTCAAAAAACTTATATTTGACTAGATGTGGTAAAGTTTTAAAAATATGTTGATGAATATCAGGTGAAGATATTCGTTTTATTGATGTTTTCGAACAATTATCATAATAATTTGGAAAAACTGGAAAAATACCTGAAATTAAAACTGAAAAATTTACGATTTTATTATTTTAACGTTTTACGAATTATATTTTCTACCAAAATTATTGATCCAATCTTAAAATAACAATATAATTTATTTTATAAATTTTAAAAATAGTTTTTGAACATGAAAGCCGTTTTTTGATCTTCCGTTTAGTTTTCTAAGCAATCGAGTGAAGTCAAAAAACCGTAGACAGTTCGGGAAATTTTACAGAAATATTTGAAAATATTCGTAGAGACTAAAAATTATGACAAACATATTATGTTTGTTTTTTCGAATCATTTGGCGAAATGCGGTCAACACTGTAACAGCATAAAGTATGTAAAGATGGGCATATTTCGTGGGCCACTGTTGTAGGTGAAAATTTAGGAAGGTAGAATAAAGAGAGCAATTTAATTTATATCTGTAAGCAACGATAAACCATTGCTTACGAAAAAACCATTCTGAGCGGAGTTCAGTTGATAGTGATGTTTTGTCAACAATACATATGTCATAAAATGGTAAAATAAATAAAAATGCATTGTATATTTTCTTATATAATAATCATAATCATAATTATCAATAATATAAATCAACAATAGTAATTATCAGCATACGAATAGCAAACATCAATCTGATTTACGAATGTAGTACTTTTTCTGAAAAAAAATCTGACTTTGATGGTACTTTAGGGACGTCATTTTTCCCAGGAGTTTTCCCAATAAATGAGAAAAAACCGAGAAAAAACCTGGGGAAACCGGGAAAAACGTAGGAAAATATGTGCATTATTAAACAAATACGAGTATTTTTAAAGAAAATATACTATGCATTCGTAATTATTTTACCGTAGTATGACATATATATTGTTGACAAAGCAACACTGTCAACTGAATTCTGTTCAGAATCGTTTTTTCGTAATTATGGATAATCGTTGCATACACATATACATACAATTTCCTCTCTGCTACCTTCACAACTTTTCACTTATAACAGTGGCTGCACCCGTCACCATTATCCTAGGACAGCTTTATCTGATTAGGTATTATAATTCAAGTGCTCATTATTATTATTCTTATTAAATTGTTGATTAATTTTATTCGTGATTATTCGTATTAAATACTTTATTGGTGTTGATAATTATTATTATAGTTATTTTTATTTTTGATAATTAATATTGTTAGTGTGAGAAGAAACAATCACCAACTCACGTAAAAAAAATGTACGGTAGAAAATATCTTTGATTGAATGGATATTACCAAGAACTCAATAAGACAGCTGGTGACAGACTTGAATGTCTACAATTAAAAGGCTTGGCTTTTAGATGCTGATGATAAAATAGATTAAATATCATAGACTTTTAATACTTCAAAATTTATCCTTTGACTTTTTAACCATGGCTCTAAAATCAAAATTGATTGAATAACAACAAACAAATGTTTTAATTTAAATCGTTGAATTTTTTGACGATTACCCCTATGGGTTTATAAATTTCTGTGCGATTTCACGTAAGTCATATAAAATCTTAAAAATAATTTATTTAATGTCTTAAAACATATGAATGAAAATAAATAAATGGAATTGCACGGAAATTTGTAAAGTCATAGGATAATTATCGAAAAATTCAATGACTTAAATTAATATATTTGCTCGTCATTCAATCAATTTTGGATTTAAAATTGAGCCATGGTTAAGAGGGCAAAATGACTTAAAATTTTAGTCTATATGAATTTGGTATTGAAAACACCTGTTGCCATTAAAAAAAATGCAAGTATGCAACATATATGTATTTTTAGGTATTTGCTATCTCCTCTCGGAAATCCCATATCAATCTGAGGTTACTGAACTGAAATATCACGTGTTACTTTTAAAAGGAAATCGTCTGTATATATCAAATTATGGTAAAAAAATAACATATGCATTATACGTTTTCCTTGATATCATGTGTTAAATATTGCACCTATTTTCCCGTTTTTTCGCGGTTTTTCCCATTAATTATGAAAACAGCTGAGAAAATCAAAAAATAACCTCCCCAATCAGATTTCCTTTCAGAATAAGTGCTTTCGTTGTAAATCGGAGCAGAAATCAGTGGGAACCAGTTGATGCGTATGAATACCGTTGTCGTTTTATGATATTTCGTGCAGTTTTCTTACTAATCGTGAAAAACCGAGGATAAACGGAAAGTTTACGGCATTAATAGTTTAATTTTATTTCTATTTGTTTATTTTGTTTTTATGCAATTCGGTTAAAAATAATAAAAATAATCGTATAAATCTGGTATGTTCACCAAATACCTTGTATTGGGCTTTCAATTTACAAATACCAGCCATATCTACTCATACAGAAATGATATTATAGGTGTTATTTACAATTTATATTTTATGCGACATACGAATAGGGTAATACAACGCAATTTCAAGTGTTTCTATAGCGTATTTTTTAAACGATCTACTGATAATCGATATAAATGGTAAGCAGTACTTGACGTTGTCTTTAATTCATTCAAGTGCGCTATATTTATACAGATAATAATATTTAATTTTCGCCACCACTTATGTTATTATATATATATATATAGGTTTCATGTAATAAAACACATTGTCGTTCAATATCGTCGGCAGACAAAAAAAAAAAATTAAAGATTTCCAATTGTATTTCTTATTTATTGTAATAATTAATACGCTGTTTGTTTGTTTTTCTCTCCGCACACACTGACGGTTTTAGTTTTTTCTTTTCGCGGTTCTATATTCTTCAGTGCATCATATTATATTTCCGCCCCTGAACCCCCCTCTTTTTTTTGAGCTACCACAACCGCCAAATATCGAACAATTTTTTCCGAATAACCATTACGGTTTTAATTTTGATACTATACCTAGTTGACGCGCAGTGGCAAAAGTAAAATTACGGACCAGATTTAACGGCGTACGTTTGGAGAATGGGCCGGATTAATTACACGCTGTACTCGAAACCGGAGTCTGCGCACGCCCGCGCCGTCATTTATGCCGAGGTTTAAATTTAGTAATTATCGGAGGGCATGTTTTTTCGTCCGCAATCGAAAGTTTGGAAGTTTTGCGCGAATTTATCGCGAAGAAATTCGGACTTTACCGAAAGAAATACGCGTCCGACGTTTTGTTTATAAACAATATAGACAATTTCTCCGCGTTTTTCTGTATTAGTTTCAGACATTTCACGGTTTATGTCGACGAATTTTAATTGAAAAACTGCAGATGATGCGCCGCCGAATGCGCCAGCAAGTTTCTCTTCTTTTGGATACGTCGCGAAAAACGTATTTTAGAAAAATACCGTTGAATCGAAATTTATGATACGCTCATTTTTCAAATTTCGTTGCTTACCGCCCTTTGGCCTACTAGGAGGGCAGAATAGACGCAGTGCCCGGAAGAAGCCGTAGACAGCCTACAGGGTCACCGATCCCATTCCGCTCTCCAACGCTCGGTTTCCCAGTAATATTCATCAGTCTCGATACCATATTTCGATCAGCCCTCGTGCATGTATGGGTAATACAAACCTATCCGTATCACGCGAACGCGTCCCTCCGGGCACGGCGTTTCTCTCAGGTACCGTACGGCCACGCGCGTGGGGATAATGCTCGCGTCCGACACGCGCATAACAAAATATATTATAGTCGTCGCGCGCGGCAACCTTGTACCGCCCTAATTAATTGACAACCGACGATCGGATAGCGCCGCCGTCGTCGGCCGCTTACCGCCGACCCGATAACACATTACCGTTATTAATATTTATGCGGCGGCAGAGTATGTAATATATACTAACAATATAATATATATATTATATATATATATATATGCATATACGTTATACACGCACACACACTTATTGTTTGCAATATACGCTAGCCTAATGTCACGGTTGACCACGCCGTACATAATACTAATATTATATTAGTATTATGTATATATTAGTATTATGTATATATTAGTAATATATATATATATATATCGTTATACAGGGCGATCGACGTGTAACGTACAATGATGGAGACATTCTCTCCCGTCTCGGAAAATGTGTTTGTTGACGTTTCGTCGGGATCGTGAATATTTGGAGGTGAAACCACCACACCTGCCGGCTTTTGATTTTCGAAATGGCTACGCACCAGTTAAAAATACCATAAACGGATGAAGTTTCAATTTATAAACAGGCGTTGGCGTTGAAATTTTCAAATTTCGTCGAACCGCTGGCGAGTATTTAAACTAAAACTCAAGCTATTGATGATCGAATTTTAAATATAGATTGCTGTTTGACAACCAAAAGCCCTCGATAAAAGGTTGTGTAACATTTTAGAGCTTTATGTTTCTCAAATGGTCTAAAAAACAAATTCCGAAAAAGTTAATACTTCCCGAGGAAACGAGCGTCTTGCGTTTTTTTTTTTTTTTATCACGCTGTATATATGCATAATTTGTAATAATATATATGTATACATAATATTCGGCCGTATCGTGTAGTAGGTGTGAAAACAATAATATAACCGTGGTGGGAAAGAGGGACTTGCGGCGTGGAAAGCCCGAGGCACCGTCGCTACCTGCATTCGTCTCTTTGGTCAGTTACGGTTTGGCGCCATGAACGCGAACACGACGCACGCGGTCGCATTGGCACCGCTGCACTCGCAGTCACCGTTGTCACTGTTACAGTCAACGTCGCTCGTGACGGATCACGTCGCGGTCGTCGGAGGCAGCGACGGTGCAGGTGGTGTTGACGACGGCGGCGGCGAAGACGACGGCGCACGGCCGGTGCCCGGGGCATTGAACGTGCCGTACGCCGTTCTCGAGGGCCTAGTGGCCGTAGGCGCGACCGTCGGTAACGGGCTCGTGATCGTGGCGTTCCGCCGTGAACGCCGGCTCCGGCGCCGGACCAACTACTACATCGTGTCGCTGGCCATCGCCGACCTGCTGGTCGGCCTGGTGGGCATACCGTGCGCCGTACTGTCCAGCGTCGGGCTGCCCAAACAACTGCACCTCTGCGTGTTCTCCGTGTCTCTGATCATCGTCCTGTGCACCGTGTCCATACTCAGCCTAGTGGCCGTGTCCGCCGACCGATACTGGGCCATACTCTACCCGATGGCCTATTCCACTAACTCCAACACGAAAATCGCAATCAGTACGTAATTAATTGCTTATAACGCGCGTGTTAGTACGTTCAATTTCATTTGGGTTCGGATTTCGTTCGAATTCGCCGTTTTTGAATCAACAATTATGGTAGTAAAAATCAATCGAAAGTCGATACGTTTTCAATTGATTTCGATCGACTTTTTGTGTTCGAATTAGTCAGGGGTACGCTCGTATTTTATGGGGGGATGGAAGCGTTCGGAGGAGTGTGGCTAAGACATGTCGCATCAAGTTGGAAAATGTCCAAATACGAGCTTAGTTGGAAGGCCAAAGTATTATCGTAGTCGGACCTTTTGAAACGATTTCGTACTCGGAACGTTCTACATTTCTGATTTTAGATACTGTTTATATTCACATTAAACGCAATAGAAACTATAAAAGAACTGAACAATCGCTAGAATGTTTTCAAAGTTTCAACCACGTCTAGATAACGCTAATAATAAGTATTCTGCGGAAAACCGCATGTCTCTATAATCATTTTAAACCTAATTGTAATTAGGTAACAAACAAATTAAAAATAATAAAAATCATTATTGCGTACATTTTTCCGTAATTCCTACGTCTTTTGTTCACAACCATTCGGAAAACTACAAAGAAATTTAAAAAAAAAAACGACCTCTTCAACGTGTATCAACTAGACAAAATTTGGTTTCAGAAAAATTGTTACACTTTGATGTTCGGAACAAGATTTCCGGTAGAAAAATGTTTTACACAGAATGTAAAAAAAAAATGTGCGGAATAGTGTGTAGTGTATAATATTAATAAATTATATTATTACAGTGAAACCTCTAAATACCGGACACTCTCGGCTGCTGACATTTTGTCCGCTATTCTACAATAGTTCTTAATTTATGATAAAAATTATCAATGTCAATGTTGAAAAGTGTCCGTTATTTAGAGTGTTTTGTATTTAGAAGTTTTCCTGTACACAAATAAGGGAAATGTCCCCGTTCCCGAAAAAACGCCCGCCATTTGGAGGTGTCCGGTAAGGGAGATTTCACTGTGTATTGAATTTTTGTAACACGATAGAGTTTTTGTATACAAGAATTATCCGCGGGTACGTAAAACGAATAAACGGTAAATAAATAAAATCCTTGACATACATCTCTAGTATACTTATATATGATACGTAATATATTACGTCTAATCAAACTATACGTCTACTCGCTGAAAATTGATACACCCGAAAATTTATAAAAATCGACCGTATTGATGGTTTAAGGTTCTAAATTTAATATCGTCACTTAGTATTCGCGTGTTGTTTTAGATTCGGATCGTAGTTATTTTATATTAATGGTTTTTTTTTACTCGCTTTGTAAAAATACTCCAAATCGTTTACGTACCGTACCTCAAAAGACGCGGGAGTTCCGGCCGGTGTTACTTTATTCGAACGATTTGTCTAAACGGACAACGTTTTTTTTTTTTTTTTTTAAAAAAAACCCGAATTTAAAGAAAATAAAATCCTGTATCGATTGTTTTTGTTGATTTCTGAGTCATCTCATCGAGAACAAGGGGGAAAAATAGTTTTCCAATCTTACCGGTCAAACGAGCTTTGCACAGACTCGTTTTGGGTTTTCATGATTATGCTGCTTTCGATTGGTATAGCAATGACTTGTGACTTGTACGAGTATGATATGTTCTCAGTTAATATTTATGTTTAGCAGAGATTTTGTTCGATCTAGTTTGCAATGATATAAACTTTTTAAATATTTCATTATTATTATTATGTATCGCTTAAGTATAATAACATTATTTAAATTGCACAACTATAATTATAGTCCTAAGCCCATAATCCAGTATGGATTTTATTAGGCGTATATAGTAGATATACAAGTAGTAGTAGTATAAGTAATTAAGTATTATTAATCGTCAGTGGTTCTAATTTCAGGTTCTGAGTGTTACGAGTTTTGAGTTTTACTACATTGTAATGTGTTTTTTTTCTCTCGGTAAACACTTTTTCGGTTAGTAAAACTGGTCAGTTTTTTCACACAGTACCTGAAAATCGATGCGGATTTTTTGCTCGCCGGTATTTTTATTTGAAACGGTCTATTGGTATTTTGAACAATTCGCACCTAAAATTATCTTTTTGTTTCTGTTAACTTTGTTTAGGTTCCATCGAAAATAAGGGAAAAAACACGACTAATACTACTCCTCTCAGAATCAGTTTTCATTTTTCGTTCCATACGACACGAAATGAAAATTATTCTGGTTATCCTACTTTCCAAATACTCGCCTACAAGAGTGGTCTACCCGTGAGCAGTATTATCAATTTTAAGGAAAAACAAATTTTTCTTTTGATCAAACAATATTGAAAAGTTTATACAGTTTAATACAGCTTATGGGTAGGCTACTGTTGTAAGTGGGTAATCGGGAATACAGTGCCGTATTACTATACTCGTATTAAATCGTGGTTTGAGACTTAGGGCCGGATTACGGTCATAATCGGATGGGAACTATTACTATTCCCCAATACAACTTTTTTTTTAACTCAGATTTAGTAAATTATATTAAATATTAATTTAGTATATATATATATATATATGTGTGTATTTTAGTGTTTTAACAAATTACTTTATAGAGAAAATACTTTATATTTATTAGTCAACGGCATAATAGTATGCACGGTTAATCAAAAGTCTTACGTGACCTAGACTAATGTAACTGTTAAGAATCTCGACATTTTGTTTTGTTTAAAAATTCGCATCGTTCAAGCCTTTAAGGGTTCGATACGAATTGGGACCTTCACATTGTACTAATCAAAAAGAGTGTTTTCTGAGAAGAAACCAAAAGAAAAAAAGAGACCTAAGGGATCGGTCGTTGAAAATATCAATAAATGTTTCCGATAAAGTATCATATCTGATGAACAATCCGCGTCTTTTAAGATAGCACGTGAACAAATCGGAGCATTAATTACTAACCGAAAAAGAGTTTTCCGAGAAAAATAAACACACACACACACACATCATAATAAAACGTATTGCTTGTTCGCTGTATACTCGAAATCTAAAAAAAAAAAATATTGTGAATTATATTAAAAATTGGCATTTGCTTGTACGCGTTACCGTTTCATCCTTGTTCCACATTTGAAGCGTACGAATGCAATAAAAATGTTTAAACAATATATTATATCAATCGTACAGATAAGCCGAGCCAGTAGCCGGTAACGCAGAATTCCAATCACGTTTTAATAATTAAGAATATTATTCGTTTAAACGTTCCATCGCCGTGGCCCTACGCGTAACAGAAATGTCGCAGAATAATATAATTAGTAAATATCGATATTAGTATGCAAAATATGTTTAAGACGGTATGTATACTCAGCCGCGGGTTTATAATAAATAATAATATACACTTTCGGTTTCGACATAATAATTTATACAGAAATATCAGCATAAATGTCGCGAAACGGCCGGACGTGATTCGTGGTCGTGTGTCTGCGCGATGACGTTACAATAATATTTACAGGACTGTTTATTGATGGCACGGCCGAATTTCGCACTATTGTATAATAACATAATAATTGAATGTGTGGAAATTAGTAATGTATTAACGTGCAAATTTTTCGTATTTATATTCACGGCGCGCGGCGTTTCGGTGCCATTTTTTTAATGAGTCGAAAATATTTAACGCCATTATTATAATGTTATATAATATTGTTTTCATATCGGCGTGTGGTTGCGATGTCTTATGTCTTATGCATGTGCGATAATACGGTATACGTACAGTTGTATGATCTAAATTCAATTATTTACCGTAAAAACGGTACGTACGGTACCTAAAGAAATATATCGAAGTAATATAGTTCAAGAAATTAATTAACACACGCCCTCTCATATTGCACATGCGTAACGGTAGTCGTTTGCGTTCAAGGATGAGCAAAAAAAAAAAAAAAAAAAAATTGGTCCTTTGAACGATCATTCGTACTAGTATTATAAAAATATTAAATTTACAGAACTTTAACGATTTTCAACGACGCCCCTTAGTCATTGCGCCAGGTGCGTGAGCACCTCTCGCACTCCCTAGGCACGGCCCTAGTTGGTCGCGGTTGATTGTTGCTGGTGTAAGGATGGGATATATACCGTAAATTTATAAGGGCAAGAGAATGTAAAATCATGTACGACGATCCATTTCACGCGAATGAATTTGTTTTGATTCATTTTCTTAGCCAGTTTTTTTTTTTCTAAAATTCTTCTATTATTATTAGAAATGTTATAACACGTACATACAATAATTTTAGAAAAACGTTATTTTATACTTCCCAAAGAGCTAAATAACTTTACTATTGTATTTACACAGGCATGTCATCAAAACTTGTCCGCACACTTAAACGTATACTACACTTGGAATTGACAAAAAGCCCTTTGTGTGGCAGTGGCGTATTTGAGGAAGGAGGGAAGGGGCGATGGGAGCAATTGCTCCCCATCAATTAATTAAAGTAGGTATTTGCTATATATATACATACGAAAATTAAATCCGCTACCATAAATCTCCTTTGAAATTGAATGTTTAGCATTATATCTGCTAGAAAAGTGTCATCAGACGCAAACATTAAAATAAAAACACTTCATGGTAAAATGAATAGGATAGAATATAAGATTGTGTAATATCTTGCGTTTAATAATTTTAGTGTCGCCCCTCCTCCATAGAACTTAACAAAACGTCAAATACGCCACTGCAAAAGGGTCGTACGGAAACGGAATTGATTCGATTAAAATTAATAACATTTGATCGCGGTTATTGCGCAGAATTGATGGACCGCGGTTTCTTTGTACCGTTTCTTTCGAGTGTGGAGCACACGGGCGTTAATAGGGAAACCACGTTTTTATTTTACGCGTTTGTTTGTTTAGTGGCGATATGAAATTATGAACCAATCGCTGTAGTACTACTGATATAACCATATTATAAAATAGGTGAAATAAAAGACGATATACAAAAATAATCGGTTCTGTATATAAAGTATAATCCTAACGGTTGATTAAATTTTATTTTTGTTTTGTATTTAAGTATAGGCTTTATAGCGTCTGTGTGATCTGAGGACAAAATATGTACGTAATACCTCGTACATTCTAACCAAACCTAATATAATCACGTGGTTTTTTTTTTTTTTTTTATATAATCCTCCCGAGGCCCAATATATGCGTGTACCAGATACTTATTGTGTACATTATTTTTTCTACATCGAATTGATAATATTAACATCGTGATATTATAATAACACACTTAACGCGTTTTTATAGGAACGTATACCTAGTAAGTAGTTAAAAAAAATAATGATATATAACATTATCGTTATAGCTTTTTTTTTTTTTTTTTTAATGTTTATAACAAATTTACTAGTACTTAAAATCTTGGCTAAATTTGTTCAATAACACGAATTGCGCTGTCTATTCAATTCATACGTTGTAGTCATTCAATTGAAGAAAATACTATTGTTATTATTATAATTACTATTATAGTGACTACTACGACTACTTACTACGGCGATCTTATTATGCAGAAGTATTTAATTAAATAGGTACATTTTTTATGACTAGAAGGCTAATGACTTTAATAACACTTTGTAAATCAGATTTAATCTTCTTCCTCCTGTATATAGTTTCTACTACACTTACCAATACGTTAATTCTATACAAATATAATTGTATACATAGTATAGAAATAATTATTTGATTTTATGTATACAGAACCGCGGATTGGAATTAATGAACTATTTCTGGATTCGAAGTGTAGCGGGTAATCAATTATTGGTCTTACTATGGTGTGTGTTTTTGTATTTATTTTTTATTTTTTATTTTTTTTTTTTGCTTCCGTGAGCAACATTTCTACCAAAAATCTAGCTCTGGTGTGTAAAGTGTAGTAATATTTCGGAAAAAAATTGTATCTTGTTGAGGCATTGAGAATGGCATTTTTTGATTTTCGAAGGGGTTTTAAAAATAATTGGAAAAACCGAAAACAAAATTATAGGTAAAACACGGCGTTACCAATTTTATTGTTTTTAATTTTTGTAAACTACGTATTCCATCAAAATTATTGCTTCAATAGAAAAAAACAAAGTATCTTTTTTGTTGAATTTCAAATTGCTCTCGAAGAAATTCGTTTTTTGATTTTCCAACTAGCTTCCATAATAATTTAAAAACCGGAAAAAGACAAAACATGAAAAACGAACAAATTAACAGAGTACGATTTCATTAATTTTAATTTCTACCCTTTACGTTTTCTACCAGAAATATATTACCACTGAGAAAATGACATAAGGAATTTTTAATTTATTTAGTTATTAGGAAAGTCGTATTTTATAGGTTTCTATGTAGTTGTTTTTAATAATTAAATAAAACCAAAAAAAAAAAAACAATAATAAAACGGGAAAGTTTACGGAAATAAAAGAAAGTTTCATTATTTTTAATTTTGTTTTTAGATTCGGGGTTTAGCGACGGATAGGTTTTACTATGATGCATAAATTTTTTTTTGTTTGGAAACAACTTTTTAAAAAAAAATCTTGCTCCGATGTATATAGGAAATAGTATCTTTCCTGAAAGTAAAATTGTTCTAATTGATGCATTATAAATGTCATTCTTTTGATTTTCAAACCTGTTTTCAAAATAATAGAGAAAACCTGGAAAGAAAATTAATAGTAAAACGGCAAATATTTTCGGGAAAACAAAAAATTAAAATCGATTAATATTTATGGCAATGTAGCCTCCCAGTTCAATTATTTTATTTTTTATAAACGATATTTTCTACCAGAAATCTTGTTCCAATTGAAAAATAACAAGTGATCGATTTTATTCCCTTTTATATATAGCCGCTGACAACGATTATCGGTGTGTAAAATATTTTCCATAATAATTTGGAAAAACCAAAAAAAAAGATTTTTTCAAATTACGGAGCAACGATTACATTATCAAGTAAAATTGTCAAAACATTTTAGATTATAACAATTTTTGAGCTATTTATAGGTATTTTATATTTGTGAGTTTATTACGTATTTTTCGTTTGGTAAATAGTCTGTAGTAAAATTGTTAGACTTAGCACAAATGCTTGAAAACAGAAGGTCCATTTTAAATCGTACTTAGTGTTAAAAAAGAGTAAATTTAATGTTCCTAGTCATTTGTAAGATTCTTAGTAGAGCGAAGAAGCTTATGGTTTTACAAAGATGTTTATTTTTATTTTTTCCTGTGGACGACTTTTCTACCAGCAAGTTTGCTCCAACTTATAATGATTTTTCACTGGGAAGAGGTAATTTTTCTATTTTCTCAGGAGTTTTCACAACAAATATGAAAATCCGGGAAAAACCATTGGGAAATTATAAGAAAAACAGAAAAATCAGGTCAATACTAAACAAGTATTATTAAAGAAATTATATAATGCCTATTAAATTATTTAATATTTACCATAATATGATATTGGCCAAGCATCACTATCAACTGAACTCAGCTCAGAATCCTTTTTCCGTAAGCAATGGTTTATCGTTGCTTACAGATATTCCCATTTACAACAGTGGCTGCACCCACATGCGAAGTATGTAAGTTTTTTTTTTCATAATGGTTTTAAAATCAATTTTTGATAAAAATCGTAAATATTACGACCTTTTAAATTATGTATTAGTAAACTTTTCTCAGAATTGATTTTCGTTAGCATTGGTTTATCGTTGCTTTCAGGTATAAATTAAATAACTTTATGTATCCTACTGTTCCAAGTTCCCCCTATAACAGTGCCACACCTGTCAGCAGTATAAGCTCTTTTTTTTTAATTTTAGAATACTAAACAGATATTATATAGTGTTATACTATATTTTACGAGTATTAAACTTTTGTAATAAAGTTTATCAATTATTTAAGAAAAACTACCTAAAATGTGTAAACTATCAAGAATAATATATTTTTCGGTAAAACCGGTAGTAATATTATGCTATGCACCGTATTGAGTGATATTTTATAGATTCTAAGCTAAGCGACCATTGTTATTCCTAACTATATGTATAAGTGAATATGTTCTTAAATGTTTAGTGTCCATGAAAATCTTTTCGATTAGCCATTTTTCTAAGATCAAAAACATTATAGAAACATTATTGTAGCGTTTTGGATCTAGTCGATGTATTGAGGAAATAATTTTTCGATATTCCATGTACTTTTTTTAATAATGGGAAAAACTGTAAATATTTATGCAAAACCATTATGATTTAAAACGTTTATGTTATTATATTCTGAAACTATATTATCGTAAAGAGAGTATATGAGCAATTTATTATAGACGTGGTACAATTTCTAAAAATATTCTAACTTTGTTTAAGTTATTATACAGCAATATTATATTATAGCTATTGGAATAAATATTCCAATATTCCATATACTTTATGGGACATCTTTTTTTTTTTTCAAAATGTGTGTTTTAAGACACTGAATTCAAAAATATTTGTCAAATGACAGCTCACTTTTTTATTCTGGAAATTTTACCAAAAAAACTTCAAAACTTTACAAATCATTATTTTTTTCTTTTAAAGACGGGATTTTTAATTCTGAAGATGATGATCAGAATTTTTCGGAAACTATCATTTTCGAAGTAATAGTGATTTGAAGACAAATGCATTTTTTGTGCACTTGCAGTGACCCGGTGGATCGCGCTGCTCTCACTCGGATTGTTTTAAAAAACGGACAATCCTCAATTTATTATGCGAAAACAGATCGGGCAGGGACAGGAGAAAAACAAATGATAAAAAAATAAATGTATCCGGTACCACAGGTTTCTCACACTCATTTTATGATATTTAACTAAAATTGTAAAATGTATAAACTTCAAATGGCTATAACTTTAAAATTAAAAATATTCTGCATAAAATCTCGTAAAAAAAAAACTTTAAATTTAGTGTACACTATAAAATAGAATTATACCATAGCTGTTTGAATTTTTTTTATTTTGGTTATGTTGATGGAATTACGAAGTAATTCCATCAACACATTTTGCGATTCATTTTTAACGGTTTTTTAGTTCAAATTCAAGTTTATATTAACGTTCGTTATGAAAATGAACTGTTATAATTATTTATTTTGTTGTTATACATATTAATATATCACATCAATTTAAATTAATCCAAAAGTGTATTAACCGAACTTAGCTCAGAACCGTTTTTCGTTTGTAAATATATTTTATCATTTCATACTCTATATAAACTGAATTACTTAGAATATCCAACCTTTTCTACTAAAAACGGAATAGATAATATAATTTTTTGACCATAAAATTATACACACGGTACGCATATGTAAATAGAAATGATAAATAAGACATAAGCAGTAATAGTAGCTTACACAAAGACCCTAATGATTTTAAAACGTAGCGATGTGAATATATTAAATTTGATTAAGACATATGTCAATTGCATATTATTTATACACGATTATAGGTACAAACAACAATTCTCAAACAATACACATAATAATATCTACAACTTTTAAATAATTTCAAAACATAATATTATATTATTGTCATTGTTATATATTTCAAGCAATGCCATCATATCTCATATAAATATTTAATTTTTTTCACGGAATACTATAAGTATGATTTTTAACGAGTTGAGAGTTTAATTAGTAAACAGTATAAGTCACAACAGGTAAAAGTATTTCCAAGTGTGTACCAAAACTAAAAATATTTTATACTTACGAATATACTTACTCGACACGTTTAGTACCTACGCATAATTATTCAAATACTATGTCTATGTGACATTACTATACCATGCGTTATGACTATAATATAATAATTATGAAGGAGGCATGAAACATCTAAATAAAATAATATTATAATCATAAACAAAAAAAATAACCGTTTGTAAGATTGTTTAATTAAATTATATTCTAATTCATAGTAGCGCAATTTCAAAACAATAATAATATTTTTTTTTATGTTTATATTTTCAGTAACTGTATTTAAATATTGACGTACAACACTTAATAAAATACATTCATACAAATCTCTCCATAAATATTGGGGATGGGTGCAGCCACTGTATTAGATAATTTAATGTATACCGTTTTCCCATTTTTTTTCCGGCTTGAGTGAGTGCCAGAGTGCATATTGTTATTGTATCATCTACTGTCATACTATATTAAAGACTTAATCAACAATTTTGCTATTCAAGGGATACATTTAATAACCTCATATACATTGCAGTAACAAGTAACAGTGCTGCAACTACAAATTTCGATCGAAGATCAGTAGTAGCAAGATTTGTACAGAAATGAAACGACGATACAATACTTACAAAACTCGATTCTATATCAAACAATTTTTTTAAAATATTTATCGGACGTTACTTTACTTATATCTAACGCGTAACATATTTATAATTTGTATAACACAAATATTAAACTACATTTATTGTTTATGCTTTTTTCATTTTCTAAAAAAATATGAAAAAGTTATTAATATTTTCAATGGGTTGTAAAGAAAATTATATTAATTAAAATTTAAAATTATACTATAAACCATTTCATATTATACGAGTATATTACCTCTATTAAATATAATTTTTTATCATTATCATAATTAGTTTATAATTTTTTCTGAAATATGAGTATTGAAATTTATTTGTTTACATTAATTACATTTGATCGTTAAGATCAAAAATTAAATTGTATGTGTTACAATTATAAAGTCTGTACATATACATGCGAAGCTTCAACGTTGTAAGCCTAATAAATTATAGATTGTGAGTATATTCATAAAATCAAAAAAAAAAAAAAACTGAGCACGTATGAAAATAAAGTATGATGGAAAATTTATGGCACCGTATTTGACGCAGAAAGTCGAAAGTTCCGAAATTGGTGAAGTAGATATAATATAGATTTCTGCTATAATTATAGTGAACATGGACTAGTTGAATTAAAGATGAAAGAATCCAGTGGTTAAGAAGCGGAGAAGAAAATGATCCACTAAACGCAGTTTTTGAACGGAAACTTCAGGGTAAACAACCACATAGCTGAACCAAGAAGCAATTAATTGATAGAGTGGTAAAGGATTTGTGATCACTGGACGTTGGAGACTATAATGAAATAAGTCTAGCGAGATAGAGATAAGTATAGTAACGGCTAAAACTCTTTCAGAGTAGATTTGTCATTGCCAAGAGAAGAAAATGCCCGCCGACCATAGATTAAATTTATCTATCTAGATTAACATATTTTGTGTTACTGTTCGAGTGGAACGCACTTTATATTCTTCAACCAATATTTTTATAACTTTGTTAACATTTTTATCTTTCGTTTCAGGTATAATATGTGTTTGCTGGATAATGGGTTTGCTGATCGGTTTCATGCCGTTAATGGGTTGGAGAGCCATCAAAGGTCCTAAATTGGATTCGTGTGAATTCAGTCACGTAATGGACTATAATTATCTGGTGTTTTTGTATTTGGCGACAATTATTTTGCCGGCGCTATTTATGGCCACTTCCTACGCCCATATCTACACGGTAGTAATAAAACAAGTAAGCATAATATTATATTATATTAAACAGCATACTTATTATACGATTGTATAATCAGTGGTGCCGAAGTCCCAAAAACGTAGTCGGATGAAATACATTTTAAGCGGTCCCAATATCTAATGCGAGTTCAATAACATGAGTTTACCAGTCATAGTCACCAGTTTAAATTTGATTCGCATAAATAAAAATAATTTACCTTATAATTAGTTAATGAAGTAGGTAATAAATATATCTGTGATACTAATATTTCTATATTATGTTTTATGAATTATTCCAAATAGTCGTTTGAAATTTTGTTGATTTTACAATAATTATAGTACATAGCATTAGGTTAAGTATACATTTATAAGAGGGAATTTTTGCTAAAACCGATGTCTTATTTATAGAGCACGGATATTGTAGTAGTAGTACAAAATTATTGAAATTGATTGCAGTATTTCATTAAAAAATACTGAAAATTTCACTAAAAACAAACAATGTTTTTACAAAAATTGAAATAGTTAGCTTAACTTTCAGAATATTTACAAAATAATAAAAGAAATCACTCAAAATTCACGGAGTGACTGAAGAACAGATTACAACAGTTAAACAGTCTTATTTCACAAATTATTTTTGTATTGTATTGAATATATACCAACTTGGAATTATCAAAATAATTATCAAATTTAAATGAAAATCGCAAAAAAAAAATTACGGTACTTCAAATTATGTGTTACTGAACTGCGCTCGGTATCAATTTTCGCCAAGCAATGGTTTATCGTTGCTTACAGATATAAATTAAATAACCTTATGCATCCTACTTTCCCAACTTCTCACCTACAACAGCGGCCACTCCCATCCCCAGTATCGGCTCTATTTCTTTTTTTTTATTTTATCCATGTAAACCAGACATCAGACGGATACATCTTAGAAAATAACGGTGGCGGTTAAAGCGTACGGACAAGGTGGGCAGCTGCCCGTTCCAAAATTGTTTTTCGTTTCTCGTATTGATAAGTTTAGTGCCGTGTCATTTTTAATAATTCTTTAGAGAGAGATCTATTGGTTTTACTATATTGTGTATTTTTTTTTTTTTTTTTTTTTTTGTGTGTCTGTAAACCACTTTTCTACCAGAAATCTTGCTCCGATATGTATCAAGTGTAGCATATTTTCTGAAAGGAGATTTTATCTAGTTTAGTACATTGGGAAGGTCATTTATTGATTTTCTAAGGCAGTGGTTCCCATCCGGAGGAGAATTTCCCCCAGGGGAAAATTGAGATACTGAACGGGGGAATATAATAATGATGAAATAACGAGAATCTTCATGTCTCGGTAAACTTCAAGGCAAAATATTTTGCTTATTAAACAAACATATTCCACCCTAGTTTTCCAATTTTGAACATAGAATTTACAGTTTACACATTAACATAGGCCCCTCCTTCCTGGATCCACTTGTGGTGTTCATATGAAATTTGAATTCTAGAACCATCCCTGGAATATAATCACATTGTAATTGGACATTTATGTAAAAATTATTAGTTTAATCAAACGAATAAATTATTATTTGTTTTCATCTAAATTTAAACACTCCTGATATGATAATGTTGTTTAAGTGGTTATATTATTTCGAGAGCTATTTATTCTATGCTCGTGACTAATATTGTGTGTCTGTCTATAATAATATACTATTCTGTCGATGCAATACAAGATTGAAAAAAAATAATCGTTTCACAAATATTCGATAAAATTAATTTAAGTGTGTATTATTGACAATAATGTCGAAGTATAATTTGTCTGTTTATTAATTTATATTCATTCAGAGGGCGGCAGAATTATTGTCCGAAACTGCAAAACCATCATCGTTCATCGCCATTCATCAATCAAAGTAGCCACGAAAATTGTTTTATTTAATAAATTGTATAATCTATTTACATATCTATACATATAAAATTATCGATTTACCTATAATAATTAATAACAGGCTGTCACAATATCATTCAATATAATAATATTGATATTATAAACACAATTTTATTTCAGGGGAAGGGCTAATTAGGATCAAACATCATTCAGTGTATTTTACCCAATTTCAAAACCTCTAAATACGTATATTATGGAACGTACGCAAATTAGTAAAATACAAATACAAGAATTATTCTATTTTTCCAATATAAAACTATTAATATACCTGATTTTTCGCAAATCTCACAATAAAGGTATTTTTCCTGTAATGTTCAAGTTCTGACTTACCTATCATACACTTGGCTATGTAACTTATGTATCTAATTACCACCCAATATCGATTATAAGTCACTTCGAGAAGCCCTTTGAGTCCAATGTCCTGCGTTTCATCCAACCATCAGTTTATAACGTCCTATGTGATGAGCAGCACGGATTCCGTTCTGGACGGAATTCCGTAGTTTCGTAATATGCGTCTGTGTTGTAGGATCAGTACACCATAACTTATAATTATGCCTTGGATCGAGTGTAGCATAAATTTTTGTCCTTTGTTAAATATGTGTTGAAAATAGGTCATCTGCCACACGATTACTCTCCTGTTCTTGTTTCCCTGAAATTTTCCTCGCCAGCAAACAGTAGAATTCGAGAAAATTTAGGTTTTGTAAGCAAGTTAGTCTTACGACTTGTATAGACCCTCGTACCTCATTCGATACTTTAATTTTAAAGGACCTTATTTTTCTTCACATTGTTGCTAATCTTTCTGTGTATCAGTATTTTCAAATTACGCTGCTAATGGGCCCCTTACGAGAATGATGAGATGATGAGGGTTGCCTATACTGACCCCTCTTTTTCTTTATCTTAATCACGTTGTGTTAACTTATTATTTTTTGTTAGTCTTAGTTTTATTTGTAATTACAAATAAAACTAAACTGGTTATAATAATTATAACCAGTGGTTATAATTGCAGGCTGCCAGCTAATACTTTTAATAAATAAAACAAAATAAAATAGAATAGTTAAAATAATTAAAACATAGGTACTTTTAAGAGTAGATACTTATCGTTTATAAACCTTAAAATAATTGAATTTGTTACCCACTTTCGTTTGATACCCATTTGTATGCCTATCCCCGATAAAAATGTTCGGGTCTGTATACATATATACATATAATATATATAGTATGTACAGATATTATACAGGGTGAATTTGTTTATCATGAACCCGCAATTTTCTCGGAGGATTTTAAGTGAATTTGTTTTTTTTTTTAATCATTGTAGAATCGTTTTAGCTTTTTTTCAAAATTATTTTAAATTTTTTACCCACTATTCCATGTACCATAAATAAATGTATAATTTTGTTTTTCAAGTCGAAGGAACTCCGCTTTTGAACACAAATTCGAATAGAGAATATTTTTCTAGAAATGTTGATAAGCATAACATTAATATCACATTTACCGTTTATGAGTAATCATTTATAGTTCAGACCAAAAAATTAGTAATAAATTGTGTATTCTATTTTTGAATGGAAAATTGGTAACTCTCCCCTTCTTCTCTGGCTTAAACTCTAAACGTTTATATCTCATAAAGTGTTATGCCCATCAAAATTTCTAGAAAAATATTTAACAAAAAGTATATACTTATTTATAAGGTACATACGGAGTAGGGGTGAAAATTTAAAAATGGTTTTAAAATAAAGCTTAAACTATTCCACAATGATTAAAAATCTAAACAGAAAACGGATTCACTTAAAATCATGCGAAAAAATCACTATTCCATGATAGAAAAAAAAAAAAAAAAAACATCATTCTGCATAGATGTGTCATTCGTAAAATATCGGCCGGACTGCTCCCTGTTCGAATACCCAACCGCATGACGAAAACCTTGCGTTTCAGATCAAACAGATGACGTTGTTGAACGGCGGCCAGCGCGGCGGAAACAGCCCAACCAAACTGCGCGTGTTGGGCGCGGCCCGGAAGAGCGAGGTGAAGGCCACGCAGAACTTGTCGATAATCGTCGCGTTCTTCGCCGTCTGCTGGATGCCCCTGTACACCATCAACTGTGTGCAAGCGTTCTGCAAGCAGTGCACCGTACCGATGTCCCTGATCCACGGCTGCATCGTGCTGTCGCACCTCAACTCGGCCGTCAACCCGTTGCTATACGCGTACCACCTGAAAGACTTTCGGAACGCGTTCAAATCGCTGCTACTGTGCAGGAACGCGGCCGGACGCGGTCACGCGGGTCGTCGACGCCCGTCCAGCAATTGTAACGCGGCCGCGAACAACTGTTCCGTCAGCTCGGTGCAGACGTCGTACTATTCCAGTGGCGGTTCGGCGCGTGAATGCTGGCGGTGGTCCACCAAAGGAGTGGTCGGTACGCTGTCGACGGCCCGACAGCAGTCCGGCGACCTTTCCAAGATCGCCGCCGCAGCAGCCGTCACCAACGCATGCGATCGCACCAACGGCACCACTGACGTTGACCCGTCCGTACCCGTCCTGCTATCTGTTCATCGGCTCGTCCAGTGAACGCGGTCCGGCGTGTCCGCGACAACGCGTCAGACCCTTCGAAACGCGTGCGCATAACACGTGTACGCGGACTTTGAAGTACGCGTATACTACGATCACGTATATAATATTACGTACTTGTGTCGGAACGTTATCCGGATAGTCTGATGTATCGCGATGTCCGGATTAAAAATTCCTCATCCCGATAAAAAAAAATATAATACATACGCATTGACCGAATTCCCGTGTAATAACCGGATACGCGTTCTCTTCCTCCTTCGCCTTTACCCCGTATCGCTGATTTTACGGCATACAACATACAACGATACATTTTTTTTCCTCTATACGACGTATCTAAATAATATCTTACAGTTTATAAAAGAGAAAACACTCGGGCTCATTGTACTTACCTACCTCTGGCCAATATTTTACAGAACAAAACACCAAAATCACAACTGAAAAATCGGAAAATCCCCGGTATTTGATTACCCGGTTTGTGTACCCCACACCGGGCGTAGTACAGAAACACTACCTACACTATTTTCGATGTATACACGTGCATATCCGAATTCGGTCGGACGTGACACTTCTCACACGTACCTACATCGAATTTTACGGTGCCTATACTTATACGCTAGGTATCGAAAATCATATCATTTCTATTCCTATACAACGTGTCATCTTTTATTTTTATTTTTTCTGTACATATTTTGTAAAAACAATAGTTTTATAATATTATACTCAATGTTATGTACCAATAGCGGTGCGATGAACTCGTTTCTGTCAACGGACAAAACTTCACTTTACAAGACGATTCGTCACCAAAATTACCGGCACTACAACAGTTAACTACGATTATTATTAATTGAGTTGTCTTTTCTGTGTGATCTATTATGATCGACAAAAAATATATTTAAAGATCATGATAGTATTATTAAACACGTACGATACCTGTTATTTAATTTTGTTACAATATAATATTATAAATAAAAAAAACTCCAAAATTTACATGTTATTGGCTTACTTTCTTGCACTGTGCTATTCCACCAGACGTATTTCACATCATATTACGTACTTGGCTCTCAAATTCCGTATACAAATTTTGTCTTTGGAGATTCATATCTATAGATGTAAGTAAATATATCAAACGATAAATCAAAAGAGAATAATATGATAACACTGTTATAAGTTCTACCTCTGCAGCCGTATGTTTTAACAAATCATTTATACGAGTACGAGTGATTAAACTCTACCATACGATTACAGCGATCTTGTCAGTTTCCATAACAGTACTTAAGTAGTGTGCAATCGTCAATACTGTAGTGCAGCGGTTCCCTGTAAACTTTTTAGTTGTGCGGACCACCAATTTTGTAAAAACAAATTTGAGACCTCTGGCCCACTAAACTAATCCGCAGGTAAAAATAAAAACACCTATATATGTAATATTATACATGTGTGATCAATATATATATATATTTGTATAATGTGCATACATACACATTTTTGACACGGTTTTTCTCCCATGAAAGAGTCAATATCGGGGTTAAGTTTATCGCACCGTGCCCACACTCCACGTTAAGCATGACAAAATATTATAAAAATGAAAAAAATATTCTAGAATACCTACTAGATAAGAAAACGACAATCGATATAATTGTACGGTAGCGATAATTGTTTAATACTATTTATTACTAAATCACAATCGAAACAAACGTAAACGTTAAATAATATAGAATTTGCTAACCCTTGGCTTATATCCTCGACCAGCGTCCGCGGCCTAGTACCACGTTGCCCGAGGTCCATAGGTTGGAAACCGTTGCTGTAGTGTACCTATATGTTTCAAAATGGTTTAGTAATGAATATGTTTGAATCAATGCATCAGTCTTGAGAAATTAAAAATATTATAGAAATTATGATGTCTCTCTACTCGTTTTGATTTACATACTTTGTTAATGTTTAATAGTATTTTGTTCTATCTTCAGACATAAATAAAATAAACATAAACTATTATGATAAATACCCAAGTTTCAGATTATTGCTATTATTTTTTTAAACTATCCCAAAGTATATATGATCAGAGTACCGAAAGCACATATTTAGCGCATGTGGACTATCCTGACCTAATCTGCACTGACCTCTTATAATAATAATTGTACGACGGTACCATATTATTGTTATAAGTTATTAGGAAACGAATTTACACGTAATTAAAATACAAAAATAAATATAATTGGAAGTATAATTTCTAAAATGTGTGCGAAAAACATCAAAGTATGTGGGTTAAAGCAATTAAAATTTTGATGTAAGTATAATAAATTTACGAAAAATACATTAGATATAATTTTAAAAATATGAATATACGAAAATAAAACAAGGTCGGATCCAGGGAGGGCCTAGGAGACTTTTCTATCAGAAATCTTGCTCTAATGTATCAAGTGTAGCAACTTTCTTGAAAGGAAATTTTATCTAATTGGTACTTTAGAGATGTCATTTTTTGATGTGATTACCATAATGATTGGGAAAAACGGGAAAATTTACGTAGGTACATGTATAAAAGAAACTTCGTTCCAAATCGTTTTACGTTAGGTATTACTTTATTAGTAATAGTTTATCATTGTGTACAGATATAAATTAGATTCCCCTCTATATCCAACCTTCTCAACTTCTCATCTAGAACAATGGCCCGCCCATTGTGCGACATATTTTTTTGTTAGTGCCATGTTCTCTTAACTTACTGTGGAATAAAGTTCTATAACTCCTATCTTTAAATCGGATGACTCTTCTAAGATGGAGAACTTCCGGCCCATTACTATTCTTTCTCATATTGGTAAGTAAACTTCTTAAAACTATTGTTTATAAAAATATCTTTCCTTTTGTCGACTCCATCATAGACGAATAATTTGTATAATTTGCTCAGGTCGGTCTTCCATAGATTTTTAAATTGTCTATTCTCATTGTGATTTTGATGCATTCGATGATCATTCTCAAGTAAATTCCATTTTTTTAAAAATTTTTCAAATCATTCGATAGGGTTGACTATAAAATTTTGTTGAAAATTCGAGTGGATTCAGGTTTAGGCAAGACTTTTTTATTATTTCTTGGATCAAACTTTATAATGTTTGATCTGACCTGTTTACTCCTACATATGGTGTTTCCGAAGGTGGCCACCTGTCTATTTTTGTTTTGTTTTAATAAAATTGATCACTTTTATAATCATAGTTACTTTTTAGCTTTCACTAATAATTTTAAAATATTTTTGAGCAATAGATTGATGTAAATAATTACAATCTGATTTGGATAATTTTGTCACCTGGTCCAATATTTTGGACTTCCAGTTAAACATTTTTAGTGTCTTATTAAGTATGAGCTTTGCAAATTGTCTTAAATCTGTTATTTTAAACTATGTTATTCAAGGCTCAAATTTACACTGATATAATTTCAGTGAAATTTGTAATCTCAGTTTACTTTGTTTCTTTTGCTAAATCCTAGTCTTTATGTCGAGAGCCTGTTGTAAAACTTTGAAAATATTAGGTTTCTTGAAACATATTTCCTCCAAATTCAAATTATGTGCTTCTTTTAAAGCCCTCTATTGTGTCCTCGTTTGACTTAATATTGAATATGGTTCTGTGCTCTGTGGATCCCCATACTGGCCATACTGCAGTTTCCTGCAGGCAATTAGTACAAGTTCAGCGCAAAGTTCTTAAGCATGCAGCTTTCCTACTCAAAATTTAGCACCCAACGCATGTCTATGATCCTTTCTTCTATAAACTTAATTTAGTAAGCTTACCTAAATGTAGACTTTCTGCCAATATTAGCTTCTTGCAGAAATTCCTTCCAACAACATTAATTGTCTGTTAATAATCATATAACTAATTGAAAATTAATTGATCGTCTAGTTTCAAAAAATCAGCTAAGGTGGAAAATTATTTATAGACATAATTTCTACTACAAAATTTTAAAAACCTAATCAGTTATGCCTCTTAATCAGTATCTCCTATAATAATAATTATGTACTTAATATCAGTGATGTAGCCCTAAATATTTTAGTGAGTGGATACCAGCTTGAAAAATGTTTAAATTAACAATAATCTATTTTTGTAAACAATTTATCATTGTGTTTAATTATTAGTATAAACTATACAACTATGTATCCTACCTTCCCAACTTTCCACCTAAAATAGTGGTACTATCATCAGCAGTATCAGCTATTTATTTTGCATTATTATTATTAGTATTGTGTATTTTATAATCAATGTTTCAATTATATTACTTCACATACTTCATTTAGATTAATTTTGTTTATAACAAAATATAAAATCTCTCTTTCAATATCTACCTATCTATAAATATAATTTTTGATGAGAAATATATCCAATTTAAAATAAATATAATGCATAATGGTAATAATATTTAAAAAAATGAATTAAAATTACTTTTAATTGTCTAAGATTTGTAATTACATATTGGCATATAAAACTTAGTTTAACAAAAATATACTTTTACAACTATATTATTTAGAAAGTTTATAACGACCCCCAGTAAAAATTAAAAGGTGCTGTTTCACTTTTTCATCAAGGAAAAGACGAAGCTGTGTAAGACTACAATCTACACCAGTTCCTTGAGTAGCGAACATTTTCAACATTTGATGAATTCTATCTAATGGTAATGAGTCTAAATTTGTCAACATTCCGACAATATATGACCAGAACACCTAATAAAATAAAATTGTAGAATGATAATAATTTTATCTATATAACAATAATTTACTTAAATGTATGTAAATTAATAATATTAGTACTTGTAATTCTTCTTCTCTTTGATCTTGAGCTGACGCCACAGCACTTTCCATTTCATCATCGTCATCACCATAAACAAATTCAGAATTACGACCGGCAAAGCTTGTTCGATTACCTTTTGCTGATAAGCTTGCAGTTGGAATACCATCTTCCACAAAAATAAATGTATCAAAGGATTTTTCTCTTAATAAACCCTACATAAAATGATTATAATTAAAAATACCTATATATCTGAAGAATTATTACTAATTAATATTTAACATGATGAATAAATAATTATACTTGATTCTGCCAAAATGCTATTCGACGTCTTAAGGTTGTTGCTGGTACGCGCATTTTTATACTTAGATCATTGATAGTCCATTGCACTAAAAATATAAAAAATAAATTAACTTATTAACATTTTAAAAATTTTGTACTTTTTAATTATTTCAAGCAGACTACTTCCTTATGTTCAAATACCTACATTAAAACTTAATAATAAACGAGATAAGTTATCATACTCATTTGAATAATAAATTTAAATTCATATTTCATATAAATAATTAATGATATAGAAAGTAAACTATCATTTTTTGCTTAAAAAAAAAAAACTATTCTTAAAATATATTATTCTGTAACTTTGAATGTACGATACATAGTTTCTTAGTGGTAGCTGTTTTAATTTCTAACACAATAAATTATTTGTAATAGATATATAATAAAATGAAAACATGAATATTGTAAAAATATTTATCATTTGACTATTTTATTACGATTGTGATTCCCTATTACATAATATTGTAGTACATTGAATATAACTTTTTTACAACCCTTCTATAGCAATTAAAATTGTTATTACTAAAAAATTGTTCATCAGATATTTAAATGTATATGCGTGTATATTATATATTAGATTAAATTTGTCAGAATAATATATAGATATTATGAGTCGAATTTTAATAATAAAAATCGGTTATTTTGAAAATGTTGAAAAGAACACAAATGAAGTTATATATGTAGTGATAATTTTTTTTTTTTTGTATTGGTATTAACAGATGTATAAAACACAGTGAACATTCTACCTTAAACATGTTAACTATTTAAAATTTTAAAAACAAAAAGAAATTTAATAAATTGCACGGTTAAATAAATTGAGTAAATAAATTACTAATATTGTGTACATAAGTAAAATATCTACAGTTAATTGGCATTTATTTTGAAAACTAATAATACTATTAATAAACTAAATGCACCTTGTTCTTGAAAATGCCATATAATAGTGGCATGGATTGGTGAAACAATAAAATTTAAAGTTCTATCTCTCAACTCTAAATCAATATTGATCATTCCAAGATTAGGCTTCCAATTTAAAGTTCGATTACCCTATAAAAGATATTAAATCATATTGTATTATTGATACAACTTACTATCATAGCTGTTTTAATTATTTGTATATATTTGTTTAATCTCATGTTTGTTGTTTATACAATTTTACTCAACTTTAAATGATTCAAATGCTTTTGTATAATTATCTAAATGATTTTGAATAACCGGGGGTAGTTCTACACTAAAATTATCCTTAAAGTTAGGCCAAAATTGATTGGATACAATAATTGCTCTAACTGGAAACTGTTGAACAAATTCAGTATTTAAATTGTTGGATGATAAGTTTGAAGTTGGATCACTATATAAATGATGATTGATACGTTTTGAATCATAAACATCTTTTAACATAACTGAACATGAATGTAATAAAGTATCTCCAAATCTAAAAATAAATGTATGTTTACATATTATTTGTATAAAGTGCATAATAATATGATGTAATTTATTTAAAATTATTTTTAAATATAAATACTTACCTCAATTTCAATAACTCTAAGTATCTGATCTCATCACCTATATTATCCATAAATTGTGTAAGCAGACGATCAGCTAATAAAGCTCTATATTCATTAACAAATAATTCTCGTGTACCATAAATATCGACAAGCATTGATACAGTATCAGAGTTGCGGAAACGTTTTGATGATAAGGCTATATGATTAAACATATTAAATGTTTTAATTAAATATAAGTTTTAAATTAAAAAGAATATAAAATACAAACTTACACGGATTAGCATCTACTGGATCTGGTACCCAATTAAAAAAATCTAACATACAGTCTTCTTCTAAAAGTTCACCATCATTTACAACTTTTTCATTTCTTACAAGTTCATCGGTTAAGTAATGACCTTCTTCAGTAAGAGTAGTCATTACACATCGAACAGTATCCTTACGACTTCTTAAATATGTTCTAATATATATATATATATATATATATTTTTTTATTAAAATTACAATAATTTTAAATATTATTATGTATTATTAAAAACTAATCTAATGATTGGTTTTAAAATTGATTTAAAATTAATATTTTCTTTACCGTATTGGTAAAGTAACTTCCTGCAAAAGTGCCCCACAAGGATCAATTTTTCTCAATACTTTGATTGCAGCAGTATATGCAGTTATAATGTCAATAGTATTTACAGCTGGATGCAATAATCTACTATGCAGAGCATTTCGCAATTTTTCACATAGTTCTGATTTAAAATCGGTCTTTTGAAGAGTAAATGATAAATCAATAACAGCTGGTTCTGAATCGGGATATTCTGTAAATATGTGAAGATGTTTAGAATTATTTATTAATTAGGAGCTGTTTGACAATTTACCTATTATAATGTTAAATAATTGATCAATTCTTGTTCTAGTGTATGATTCATAAAGTAGATGTTTAAGTTTTCTCATAAATATTTCTAAGTTTGTATCATTTAATGCTAATGTAGTAACACTTGTATTACATTTTGGTTTATAAATATATTTCATCCAATTGTATACATTTGTATCTATCCACTAAAATAAATTAATACAATTTGTAATGGAATAAAATAATGACCATTATAGTGTACAAATAGTAAAATACTGTTTCTAAGGCTGGTATATGCTTTTCTCCGAAATTTTCTTTAGTTATTTCTTGAACTTCTGTCTCAATCTTTTGATGAATTAAATCAACAATAACATCACCTGCTAGTGGTTCTAAAATCCCAATAGTGATCAATTGCCTGTTAAAAAATATATCAATTTATTATCTATATTATTATAATTTGATTATAAATTTAAATTTAATTTAAAAGTTTAAAATTTATGATAATTATTAAGAACAACCTAATATTTATAATTGACTACATTAAATTTTAATTGACAATAATTAATAATGATTTTAAATGTTAGTTTAGTATAAGTTTATAATAGTGATATTAAAATCCCTGATTTTTAAGACTAAACCAATCTTTTTTTTTTGAAAAAAAATCTAACTTTAGAAAAAATCAAAGAACTCATAAAAAGTTCAAAATAAATGTTAAATATTTCATTATTCAGAAGTCAAATTTTGTAATTTGATAACAGAAGTCAACATTATGTACATTTTATATTTCTATCCAGTATAATAAATTCTAAAAAAATTAAACTAAATTTTGTTAAATTGTCCCATCAATCTTTAAAAAAATTATTTTGATTTTATCTATCACCATTTTCAATCTAAAGTCTAAACTATTGGGTATTTGATTTATTTTGATTATTTGTAATTTTCAAACTAAACAATAACCATAATTTGTAATATCACTAGTAAATAATTCATAAAACTATTAGTAATTATTTCATGTTATACAGTTAAAAAGTTATGAACAAAATAATAAAACTGATAAATTAGATCTAATTAATTTAAGTTATACATAGTTATAATTAAACACATTTTTTTTTACCAATTAGTCAAATGGAAAGATTCCAATATGTAATCACATTTACAAGCAAATAACTCAGAACAGCAACCATGGCAATAAAATGCTCCTTCTTTAGAAGTATTTCTTTTATCTGAAAATTTTAAATTATGAGTAAAATAGTAGGTAGGTTAATACCTACCTAATTAATTAAACACATTTTTATTCAGAAACATACATTTATAAGACAGTTTAAAATGCATTTCAAAATTAATAGTTTATAATTTATGCATTTAACTTGGGTAAAATCTATAAGAGCTTTAAACCCCTTAACCTGAATATACCATGGGCACAATCAATTTATATTTAACTCCAATTATTGTTTAATTATTTTAGAGAATTATTGATTTAAATACAAAAACTGTATCTACTTATTAATTTATATGTTTATTAAATAAAACATGAACAAATAATTTGTAGTGTATTAGTTAAATATTTATTAACACATACCTCCAACAACATCATCTCTGGTAAAGGATTTTAATGCAGTTCTATAAAACTGATAGATTATTGTATTATAATCACTAGGCAATTGAGAATGTAATAAAGCACAAATTTGAGAGTTCAAATTTTTTAACAAATTTATTTTGTTGTTTTCAAATAACATTTGTAGGCGATTTATTATGTCGACATAAGATTGGGCTAAGTTAAATAGTTCATCAACAGCGCTTTTAAATTTTTCGAAACCAACAAAATCTTCTTGAATTTTTTCTTCTACTTTAAGACAACTTAATTCAACAACATCATTAGGCAAGAAAAAAAGCCAAAATTTATCAATCTTCGACATCAAATCTTGTTTTATTTTATTCATAACCATTCCATGCACAAAATTGATTAGCTTCTTTTCAATAATTATATTTTTTATTGTAACAAATTCTTCATCATCACAACAATTGATTTGCTGTAAAACAAGTAACTCAACAACTATTAAATTTGATTAAACACTTAATAAACTTAATTAATATACCATGGCTAAAGGCCAATAATGTCCTAACTGAAGCATAGTCATATAGGACTTGTAACATAGTAACGGACATTGTAAGAATGGGCCTTACTCATGGGATATATTATGTTATTTAGTCGCTTTAAACATTTTATTCTCATTCATCTTCGTCCCAACTAATTGGGATCAGCTTCCTTCATCCTTAACTTCCACTTGACCCAAACCTTCTAACCATATAACATAGCCGGTCCTTTTGTAGAACTCGCCTTAAGTCTCAATGGAATTCTCTTATCGCATAAAACACCCAACACTTATCCTTTCCTTCAAATGCCACTCTCCATTCTTCAAGCATATTGCAACCTTCTTCCAGATTTTTGTCTATAAGAGCTATATCATCTGTAAATATCATGATCCATGGTATTTCCTCTCACCTGTTGTTCCCATGCACTTTTGAGATGAGAAAATCAGTCCACATATTATTTAGAACTGTTTGACAGAATTTTAACAGGTTGTTCATTCAGTTCTAATCTTTTCACACAAGAAGAGTAATTTGAAAATAATATAATTGATATATTATTGCATTAAATTAAACTAACCTCTTCGGGTTTGGATAATATTGGAAATGCTGTTACAATTTCTTTCCAGTATGATTTTGTTGTACTTGCATCCATTTTTATAAAGGTATCCAACTAATGAACCATTAGTTTTAATACCTAATTTTTAAAACTAATAATTTTACCAGATAGGTACTGTAATTTCCTGTGTTTTACAGTACCTAGTTTTACTTAAAAAATAAATAAACTCAAATTATAAATTAATTTAATTATACTAGAACATAATTAACTTAACCAATACGAATAATTATGAAATTAAACAAAATATTAAAAGATACAAATTCTATAATATATTTCAAATTCAAACACTCTGTTTAATGTTTATATTGTGCATGATAAGGATTAACTATTCACATGATAACAAATAGATAACCACACCACAACCACGATTTAAGATCTATTCATTATTTAGGTATTTCTTTTCTTTTCTTTTTTTTAAATGTCTGTAAACATTTTCCTACCAGAAAGTGGATGTTATTTGCGCGTGCCGTGTACAGGCGTATTTACAAAATGTTAAATTATCTTTAGACTTTCAGATATTCTCGTAAAATAATTCAACATAATTTTTAACACTACCCCGGATCTATAATATTTTTTTTACATTTTTGTCTCTAATAATATATGTGAAATATCTTTTTCCATTGAAACTCGTCAAAATATACAAAATACAAATCATGTATTTTAAACATTAGCCTTTAGGGCTTATGGCGTACCGTTTCATCTTGGTTTGTTATAAAATAAGAGGCCTGGGAAAAATATTTACTAGTCCTGCAACTTCTTATCCAATAACAAAAATAAGCGTACCTAGCTCGTCGTCATTATACACACGGAAAAACATTATTTATAATATTTTATTTCAATACATTATGCTCATTCGATAATATTTTTTATTGCAAACGCCAACAGCTGTTATTACTACGACTCCAGTCGGTCGACATCATCATAATATTGATGTTTAATTTCTTGGGCACCAACCGCTGTACAATATTGTTGAGTACCATTAGGTACAATTAATTTTTTCTTTATGACATATTTTTTTTTTCTGCTTTAGATTACAGCCGAAAATGGAACTGTTTCCTTACATAGTGTTGTATTGTTTTCTATGCGATTCACATTGACGTACGCTAAATTCTGTCGACTTACCGCCACCCGTAGAGGTCCGCCCAAACCGAAGCAGTAGCGACGGCGGCGGCGGTGGCGGTAGCGGCAGCGAAAATCAATGTCCGTATGTTTTAATACGAGTGCGCACTATCGCGAAATTAATACCGCGGCGAAAATGTTACCGCAAGATTGAGCGCGATGTTTTTGTTTTTCGCTCACCGCGACGATAGTCAATTGTGAATTCCCAGCTCGTGTACCAATGCGTATCGACAATTTATTATTAATATCGTATCAATATCTATAGAAAGCTAAAATTATCTTTACATTGTATGATGTACTTTGATTATATTTTTTCAACCATAATTTACAACCATAATACCTTGCAGTTGAATTATATTCTTTACGTAGTGTTCGAATGTTTGAACGATTATCGTGCCGTTTCTAAAATTGTTTTTAATAATTTAATAAAAAATGACAAAAAAAATTGAAAATTTCATAGCTGCCGTTAAAGAATACCCCATTTTATATAATATGGCACTTCCCGATTTCAAGGATACGAAAAAAAAAGATTATATTTGGGATAACGAAATAAGTGTTAAAATGAACGGTGAAAGCGGTAAGTAAAAGTATAATTAATCTATAATTATAATATTAATCATCATTTACTATTAAGTAATATGATGAAAATATAATAATTGATTTTATTAAATATTATTTATACTTAACAATGTCCATAGATTAGTTTGAAAAAAAATTATAAAAATTATAATCCTAATAATAAGTCGATAGTGATCATACCAAATAATAATAGATTAATTAATAAATTATTAGTTAACCGTTATTAAAATACTCGACAAAATGTTCTCGCACTTGAAAAGATTCAACGGTACCCCTTCTGGGATTATTTCCAATGTTATTCTGTAGTGAAAACGGTTCTTCAGCTGCTTCAATCTCATCGTATCGTAATTACTACAATTTTTGACTCTGGGATAATCGAGTAGTATTATGCATAGTTACGCATGTTGCCATCACAACTTTTTTTTACAGTTGTTTCTTGTACTTCCATTGGCCGATCAAATACCCTCCATTTCTTCACTAAAGTTCCAAATGCATTCTCTACTACCCGTGCTCGGCATAATCCATAACTGTAAGTATCTTTTTTTCTATCATTTCTTGATTGTCGTCTTGGAAATCGTTTCATTAAATAAGTTTTTAATGAAAACGCTTCATCGCCGATAATAACTAATTTTTTATTTGGTAAAGGCTTATCTTCGAGTACATTTAACTTTCTAGCTTCTAATATTCCCCCGTCACAGTTTCGTCCATATCCGCCGACATCTATATACAAATAAACTTAATATATTCTGGGTCTACAATTGTCATTAACACCGCTGAACATTCTTTTTAAATAAAAATAGTTCCTTGATCCACTATTATTGTTGTAAATCTTACCCTATAGCTAAGACCAATTGTCTTGTATGAATCACCCGTCACAAAAAATCTGTAAATGAAATATTAAAGTGTACCTAGGTAACTGAAATAATGAACAATACTTTTTTTAGGAGATTTATTAAAATCGAAGTGGAAAAACCTACGCGATACGTATCAAAAGCATTTGAGAGCTAATAAATTAACTAAAGGCCAAAGTGTAAATGAGACCAAAAATAAAAACCTTGCTACTTATAAAAAGTGGCAGTGGGCGTCTCATATGGAGTACTTGAAAGAACATCTGAGTTTTGCCGAGTAATTATAACTATTTCTGAACCTTTTTTATTTGAAAATTAATAAATTGTAAATTTTTTTTTCCAAACTGAAAGGACCATATCTAATGTGCACGAACCCGCCCAAGACGAGGATAATGAGACGAATGATTTGTTAAATTCCACTGAATCTACTTTTGAAAAAAACGAAGTCGTAATTTCTGAGTCTCCTAAAAAACAACGTAAAAAGTTCAAAGGTCCAAGTCAAAAAAATACTGAAAAAGATCCACAGTGTTCTAATGTTGACAAAGTATTAGAGCATTCTCAAAAGAAAAGAAAAACCTCACATAATAATGTTATGGAAGGGATTGAACTGTTAATGATGGGTCACGCAAAAACCATAAAAAAGTTTTCAGCCAGACGTCAAGCAATAGCTAAAACCAAAATAGCTAAATTGATCGGTGAACTAGAGTTGGAACAACTCGATGAAGACAGTTCCCAACAACATCTTCCAACAACATCGTCTTCGTCTCGGTCCTCTCAGTACCCATAGCTTGACATCAGTGACTCCGACGCCGTCGATTATTGGTAATTATTTATTTACAAACAGTGTAACTATATATTTATAGTAAATAATTGCATTATAATATTATTATATTACCCATGCAAATGGTATAGATTTATTTATCACATATTACCTTAGAGCGATAGCGAGACGTTCAGGTGGAGACATCGGCACACGAAAACGAGTCGTTTCTTTACGTTTATCTTAATCAATCAAATTTATAAATTTCATCAAAACAATTGGATGGCATTCGAAAATTAATGAAAAAACGTTTTGCGACATTTCGTAGCTTACGCGTTAAATGATTAAATTCGTCTAAACTTTCTTTTTTTGTATTAATTTCATGAACTCCTTTTCGTCTTTTACGTCTAAAAATTAAATATTACATGATTTTTTTTTTTTATTTGTTAATAATAATTAATTAGTACGGTCCAATCCATATTTAAAAATAGTTGCAATTAATGCATTATTATATTTCAAAGGTACATTTCTTGTTCTTTGCCATCCATTGCAGTTGCTAACAATAATAAATTGTCATCATCTGAACTTGAACTTTCCTAATAAATATCCATTTTGTAATTAAAATTTAAAAAAAAAAATGAGCAGTTTGTTGTGCATGTACTTTAAAATATTAATATTAATAATATGTAATAACTAATAACACGCATACACGCGCATGGAAGTCACGATGTCGATTATTAGGCTCAGCGAAATATTTCGCTTCTGTTAGATAGGTCAAGCGGTATAATACCGTTGAATTTACCTCTACTGCTTCGGTTTGAGTAGACCTTAATGTGGACAATGGGTAGCACTTAAGTTTATAATGTTCTATTTTGATGTACTATGCTCATTCAATAATATTTTTTATTGCAGTTGACGCCAACAGTTAAGACTCTAGTTAGTCAATGTCAATTTCTTGGGCACCAACGTCCACAAACCGCGTTTAAGTAACGAAAATTGATTTGTTTTTTTTTTTTTATTATAAAATAATTATTATGTTTCGTACTTATATACGCTATATGTCAAATTTTTAAGAGTTGTTAAGTATTTCACATTTTGACTATTAAACTATACTAATTGAATTGGAATGTTGATTGTTGACTATGTTAATATTATAAATTAATGAATAAAATATAATGTCTTGGAATTAAAGTATTTGTTGTTGGTCGACAATGTAATTCAATTCAAAATATTCTTATAAAATTGTGAGACTATACAGAAATTATTGAAAATTTAACAGAAAGTTCATTATGAGTTGTAATTAGTGGAAAAAAGTTGAATTTAATATAGTATTTTTTTTTGTTTTAAAAGTCTTATTATCAAATTTTTACGAAAATTGTAAATATTACAGACTTTCCGAATATCGCTCCGAGCGTGTTTCCTGAGCATAGTGTTTTATTGTTGTTTACAAATATAAATTAAATAATTCTACCTTCTCAACTTCTCACCTGCAGCAGTGGCACAGTTATCCCCAGTATCATTTTTTTTTTTTTTTTATTAAATTTAATAACATGCATCAAAAAATGATTTATGTACTTTATTCATATTATTATTACAATATTATATTATATATTAAATAAATGTTTATATACTATTAAATATAATATATAATATATTATTCTTTATTCAATTTAACTTATTCATTTATATATATATGTATTATATTATATATATTGATATACCTATTTCAAAATTACCTAAATAGAAAAATAAATTATTAAATTATTTATAATACATGTTTTACTAATACTTGTGTAATTATTTGTCTATTCCTAATTAAAAAAAAAAAAAAAAATGTTTCCAGCATGTTTGTTAACGATTTTACTTGGTTTAAATTAAATGTCCAAATGATCAAATTAAAGTAATAAAGTATTTTAACGCCTTAAGTCAAATAATTTTTTATTTTATATAGCTTAAATTTTAAACAATACATATGATCATATTCAATATTTTGAACTTTGAACATCAAATACCTATATAAAAATGTTTAAATTTCTTTGTTTTTTTATTGTTAAATGGTTTTTAATATTCCAGTGATATTAATGAGCACAGGCAAAACTAGACTTAACTTTTCAATTAGGAGCCAAATTATAAACTATTATAGTTAAGTAGTTTTTCCATTAGTCATTCCAGAAATTGGAAATTGAGTTTTTTTATTATGCATTTTAGGATAGATATTTTAATTATTTATACACTCAATTAAATTTGATTTTAAGGTTATTTATATTTAACACCAAATAAATAAAAAGTACTTTGGTTCTAAACAGAAACTTATCATAACTATAAAACATTTTTTTGTGAACAAATTTTACATTATTGAACACATTGATTTATTATTTTCTTCTATACTATAATCCTCTAATGAATCCTTTAATGTCGAATCTGACCTTCGCTGGGCTATAAAATCTGGCAATGGTACATTCCAGTTTTCAGGCGGTTGATCTCTATTTTCCCATACATTATTGTCATAATATGATTTCCATCGCAACATTCTTTTATTTTGTTCACTATTTATCAAGATTTCCTTTGTAAAATAAAAAAAATAATATAATTATTATTAAAATAAATATATATTGAGTAAAACGTAATATTAATATAAATTACGGCTGCTTTTGTATCTTTGTAGTTTTTCCATTTTAAACAATTTGTATAGTCTTCGTGCCTATAGTTACAATCTGTTGTACTACCAAAAATAAACATTTGATGTAATCTTGATAATATTGAAGTACATTGATTATACTCTTGATTGTAAACATCACAGGGACGTATCTGAAATTAATCGATTTATAGTAAAAAAAAAAAAATTAACATCCATTACAAAATCTTAATCCTGATAGGAACAATTATAAATATAATTATTTGCTATAGATGTCGCATAATATTCCATAAGAAAAAAAAAAATCTAGGTAGAAAATATTTTATTATTACCATCCAAAAATCCACTGATTTTGATTTATTTTCATCCATAATTGTTTTGTAAATTACTGATGATCATTACTAAAGTTTTAGCTGATGAGGATAAATAAAATACATTATATTTTTAACGAATATTAAAAAATCAAAGCTCACCTGACTAATGACAATAAAATTTAGTATTTGATAACAGGTACTACCAAATACCCTATTATTACGTATTTTAAAGTTTTATACTTTTTACTCTGGTAGCATGGCCAAAAAAACTCTATAAGCATTATCAATGACCAATCACTATTTGATAACATATGTTAAAAATCATTCACAGATATATACTATATATTAGATAGTACCTAACTCAGTACCCATATTTGAAGCCAATGTAGATTGGGAAATATTTACAAGCCGATGTTATCAATCTTAGTGATAACCAACAAAATTTGAATAATTAAAATAGTATTTGAATTTTAAATTAAATGTAGACTGTAGTGTAATTAAAACTATATTTTTGATTATTTGTAATTATGTTATCATAAAATTATTGATAACAAATTTTAAACGTTGACCATGGTTCAAAGACAACTCAAACACGTTAAATTATAAAGTCTGGCATCTAGTATAGTAGTATATTATAGTATTATTCTGTGAAATCATCTTAGATAATAATAAACACAGATAGAACCAGTATATAACAGTGCATATGTTCATGGATAGAACTACCTACGGTCTATGAAGATAAGACCATGGATAGAACGGGAGCGCGTAAAAAAAACCGAAAATAAATCAATTAAACAGTATTTCAGTCGAATCGTATTTTATACAAAAATATTACCATCCGACCATGATTCAGATCGAACTAAGGTATATCCACAGCACGAACCAAGATTACGTAATGTTCGTAATCCACAAATATATTAGTCCGTGATAAGGCCAATCCATAGATATATAGGCCGACTGTAATAAACAGATGAGGTCTTCCAAAAAACGATAACGCGTGATAAGAAATTTAAAAAAATGTTCTACGTTGTACGTACTTATTTTTTAAACGTGATAATATATTTTTGTTTTATAACTATACTATAGGTAAAATATTAGATTTTAAAATTCGCGAGTATCGTATATTGGTAATAGCATAGACATATTAACTATAAAAACAATAGTTAATAAGTCTGTGGGTAATATATAGGAATGATCAATGATCACAGCTTTATGATACACAGGTACAATGGTCGCCATTGACAGTGATTCCGGTTTTTCTTTCAATCACTCTGCCAGTCGAGTTTTTCTCCGTGAAAAATTATGGAATAAATAGTTATGATCATACGTATATATTTATTTTTAGGAGGTGCTGTAGCACAGATTATAATTTCATACAATATTTAATTTATGTCAGTGATATACTTATCTATGATCATATTGATTAAGCACACTTTGCCTTTATTTCTTTATACACATGATTAGCACTCGGTCACAAAAAAGCGCTCTCTATGTTTGACCTCTGCATAAACGTGCATAGCTTATCTATTACGATATTAAGGTGTCCGCAGTTTCCATAATAATAATCAATAATAAACATAATAATAATTAATAAGGATATTATGATTAATCAATAATACAACAAATTAAACCTAATTTTATGTTGATAATTTTCTTCTGAATCTAGTCCATAGTCTTAAGATTAAATATGAATTGTAATTCATTTAAACACTGCTTTTTGTTCCTGGCCATCATATTGGTTATCTTATTCAATGTTACCGTTCAAGCCGAATCAAGCCGCGAACTATATGACATCGAAGGCACAGTTATGCTTCCCAGTCTGAAAACTTCCTGGTTAGCCGAAACTGTTGTGCAACTTAAAGGAGGCGAAGCAGTTGGTTTTCTAAGGTATGCATAATTAACAAACTTATGTAAAATCTTTATCACACCTGAGCACATTTAAGCTCCCGTGGTTCCATTTACTTTGAGCAATCGCCAATGATCAACAGTTTGAGTTAATGACTTGTGTACATAAGTGATTTAGAGTTATCTCGAATGTGCTTAGATGTAGATGCTTATTTGAGTCAATTATCAATATAATATGGGTAAACTTAATATTTATTTTCAAAGGTTTCGATTTATTTTATTCTATAATAAATATTTTCGTTTTTTTTTTTTGTAAATTCCTTTTATTGTTTATTTGAAATGTTTTTAATATTTTATCATTCAATAATTTTATATTTTTTTAATATTTTGAATAAAGTCATCACAATATAGTAATAATTTTTTATAGTTAAAAATGTGCATGGTGCATTTTTTATCAAATCAAATTTACATTTTCAACAACTTAAAAATCATTTTTGCTTTCTATTTAAAGAAGTCCAATTTGCTGATCACACTAAATTTCCCGACCTGGAATCTGAAAGAAATATCTTTGATGGTTATACTCTAAATTAAGATACACTTAGTATCAACCTATGGTATTGACTATTAACAATAATTAACTCTTAGTAAAACTAACAGTTTTCTATGATTTTTTTTGTCAAGGAAAAGTTTATAGTACAAAAAATATTCCCTATTAAAACCATAACTAAATATATAAAAAGATATTAGAAGTAATTAAAAAAACCGAAATGATTATAGACAAATTCAAAAATATGTAATAGTTAAAAATTGTATTAGTAATATATTCAAACTATATTTGTAAATATAATCTGGTTGTGTAAATTAGTATTGTATTTGTACACTAATGTACAGATATGAAATCTATATTTCAGCCTGGTTAGAGAGTTAGTTTAATCTGGCCTGTAAATTAGTACGCCCTTAATTCATTACAATTATTTTTGTAGCACTATAATGTATATTATTTTTATTCCAATAGGAAAAATGGGTCTTTTCTCATTTCCAAAGTCCCATCAGGGTCTTATATTGTTGAAGTAGTCAATCCAAATTACTTCTTTGAGCCAATTAGGATTGAAATTAATTCAAAAGGAAAATATCGTGCACGTAAAGTAAATTATATTCAGTCATCTTATGTTCATCACATGCCATATCCATTGGAGTTTGTAAACTATATGCCAGCCAAATACTTTTACTCAAGGGAACAGTGGAAAGTTACAGATTTCCTTTTTAATTCAATGGTAAATTTTCAGCATCAATTTTATGTATTAGATATAATCATTTCACATTTGCCTTTCAATTTTTAGGTTTTGACCATGGTATTACCTCTTCTTGCCATATTAATTTTGCCAAGGTTAATGAATGACCCAGAAACTAAGAAGGTTTGATATATATATATATATACATATACATATATTAGTCTGAATGATACTATTATTTATTCATATTTTACAGGAAATGGAACAATTGAGCAATTTAAAACATGATATGCCTGAAATGTCTGAAATGATAACATCCTTCTTCACTGGAAATGCACCACCTACTGAGAAACCAAAAGAGAAGCCTAAAGCCATAAAAAATTGCAAAAAATTCAACAAAAATAACTAATTCACTAATTTAATAATTATTATTTATCATGCAGTCATGTAAATTTGTAAATTTATCAAAATTATGTTTTGGTTAGGCACTTTTTGTATATAAAAGTATAAGACAATATATAAAACTATTATGTGTTTAAATAAAAAAAATAATAAGTATTATACAATATATAGGGAAATAATACATTCAATAAATAAATTACTGGTTTAAGAAAATATTGTATAATTTAAAAAGAAGAAAAGTATTCATCTTGTTTCATAGAATTCTGTATTCATATATAGACATAACATTATCACTTATATTCCAATTTATAGCAAATGATAATATGTATAAGAAAATTAGCAGAATAAACGGACTTAATAATACTTGAGTTTTGTGCAAGATGGGTAAGCCTGAAAAAAAAAATACATTACAAATAATAATTAAGGGTGTACTTTTAATTATACTTAATTATAATGTTGATAATTAACGAGTTATAAAATCATCAAAACTATTTTACTTAAAACACCAGAATATAACTCAATGTAACTTTTTTTTTACTAAACAACTCAACATTAGTAAATGTCAAAATGGTTAAATGTTTTATTTACTAATTTGGCAAAACAAATATACCTACATATTTTGGTGCAAAAGTTATAAATAACATTAAAGAGATTCTGTATGTTTTTCAACAACATACAAATTAGTGAATAATATCTTTACAAAAAGCATATTCTTGATTAAATAAAAAAAATCGGATAATAAATTACACAAAATATTTAATACTTACAACTGTATCCTAAAAATGTGATGTACAAGTAATAGCCAAGAGCTATAAGCCAGAGTGTGTTGCCAATAAACAATGGCAAAAACCAATCATGTTTGAGAAATACTAAATAAAACAGAAATTAGTATATTAGTTAAATATAAATAATTATTATAATAATATACTATAAATACGTTTTTTTTTTAATTTACATAATCTATTGAACTACAAGTTTTCTAACATAAGACAATATACCACTACTACAGTAATTTAAAACTGTTAATAAAAGTCGTAAAATTGTATTCACAAATTATAGTCTAGGACAATATTCATTATAATAAATTATTTTTTTTTAAATAAAACAGATAATTAAAAACGAAAAACTGTTAAAAATATAGATTAATATTAAAGTAAATTATAAAATATATTGAGGCAAAACAATATTTTACATACCATGATAGAAAAATAATTGAAATATATGAGATATTACTAACATTGGTACAAAAGCATTTAAATGTATATCAAACGCATATGCCCATTCAACATCTTGGCCTTTGTAGTTTGATTTTATTAAATATTTATTGGCAATAAACCTGTAAATTTTAATTCAATATTAATTAATAGTATAACAATAAATTCTTAAGTTAAAAATGCAATGGTTTAAATATAAATAAACTATATTTATGGTTAACTATTAAATTTTTCTGTTTTCAATTTAAAGGTCAGGGCATCCATTTCACCTCTACCTTGAACTTTAACAACTATATAAATATAACAGTTAGTAAAACTCTTAAAATCCTTGACTTTATTGTACATAACATGAAGACTTTCAGTTTCCTAGTCTATCTTCATATTTTTCATTTCTTGTTAGTTCTAAAACTCAATACTATAAGATAATGTGATAGTTTGACATCCTTTTCTTACAAAGGACTAATTAAGACATAGGCAGTTAATAAATTGATTCGTTTCCCACTCACAACCTACGATATCGAAATTACACATTTTGTAAAAAAGTGAGCAATTTTGAATTTTTTTTCCTCTTTTGTTTTGATGGTTTCCTAGACGTATTTGATTTCAAGGCTAAAGTAACAACCATATACCTTCATATTTATTAAGAAGTCAAGCTCCTTTCCTTGTTCAAATTTACATTCCACTTTCTTATGGTCATAGCTATGTATATAAGGGATATATTTATAAAGGGCTCATATGATGAATCAAGCTAAAATAGAGAACAGAGGAGGAGGAAGGTACCACCCCTATATGAACTAAAATTTAAGTGAATTGTAATTTATAAAGAGTAATAATTGACAAATATTAACGTTTATTATATTGTGATAGATAAAAAAATTTTATCTTACAAGAGTGACTTTACTAAACTATCTATGCAATTTTTATGTTGTTTTTAAACATGATCAGGTTTTTAATTTCAAACAAAATTCTCTATTATTTGAAAAATTGAGTTCCTAAATACTAACTTCTATAAATGTAAGAAAGAAATAGAAGTGATTAGAATTATTTTAGTAAATTAAAATATTTAATAAATCATTTTTTAAAAAACATATATTTGAATATGCTTAAGATTATATTATATTAATATATATTACACAACAAAAGCAAAAAATAGTACCTATGTATCAGAACAAAATAGATTAATATAAATATGAATTATAAATTTAAATCACTTACCATAACACTGTACTTATTATGACACCAGATAACAAACAATCAATTGTTACAATGTATAATAAAAATTTTAAGAATTCTATGAAACCAAGCCTTAAAACATATGTAAATGCTATTGATGAAACTGTAAAAATAAAAAAAATTTGTTATTGACTATTCAATTTTGAAAATAAATACTAAGTAGTAGGTATATAATATTTACCACAGAGTAATCCACTTAAAAGCACCAAAAATGCTGGATCATCACGAGCAAATTGTAATTTTGTTTCTAATCGAGAGATTTAAAAATATATTATGCAAATTACATTAATATTATTTAGAAATAACTACCTACGCACCTTTTCTATGTTGAAAATTTCTGTAAACTTTTTGTGGATTTAAAAATAAAAACGTCATTTGCCACAATGCAAATTCAAAATCCATTTGTTTGAAATTTAATAGTTTTCGCATGTAGCGATATCTTTTCACAGCAGCAGTCATGCATGTTCTACAATATTTTTCATACATAACAGTAAAATATTATAATCAACGAATAAATTTAAATTTTATACCGCTGTGTTACTGGTGAAGGTAAATATGACAAAGATGATGTTGACCGGAAAGAATTCACACTGCTTGGCATTGTAGATATACAAAGTACATTCAAAAATGGCAATAGCTCAATACCGAATAATACAATATTTTTATATTTTAACGACGATATTCGAATAAAACGTGCACGGAAATAATATTAATAAAAGTAATGTAAAATGTAAATCGATGAACGCTATTTATTTGGGAATTTTGTATTTTTCATCTATAATATATAGATACAACTACAAAAATATTGTTATCAGTATATTTTAAGATTTTGATACGAAAGTGATAATATACTGATACGAGCATTTGTATATACTATTCTGAGCCTAAAATTTGATTTTGGTCCATACCACCAAGATATATTGGTTCAAACGACCAAAATGCCTATTGAAATTTGTTCAGTTTTCTAATCAAAAATGTAATATTATCGTGCTATATTCTTTAAACCAAGGTAGTTATAATACAATGTATTAAACTTATACAGATTTTTACCTACTTATTTATTTTATTAATGTAGTTGTAAATTTGATACTAACGTTAAAAAATTAAAACCACCCCAAACAAAATCCCGGGCACGCATCTGCAATTGGCGAAAGATTGATACATTTAGACAAAAAAAAAACCCTTGTCCAATTAAATGGGTATTAAACAATAGATTAGTGGAAAAATTGTATTAATTAATGTTCAGAATTTTACAAAATTGTAGAAAATTTGAAGAACTTAGATAATCCATTTTCATAAAATAATTTAATCACACTTTTTTATTCTGTGTGATAAATGTATTGATTTTATAATTGTGTTTTGTTTTTTTATACTGTGTATAAAAATTCTACCAGAAATCTCTTTCGATTTTCATGTGTAGCATCTTTTTTGAAACGAAATTTTCCTAGGATGATCTATATATTTTGATTTCTCAAGTAGTTTTTTAAATAAATAGAAAAACCTGGACACGTTTAATAAAAATACTCAAAGCATTTATTATTTTCAATTTTGTTTTTTTGTATAATTCGGTTCAAAATGTCTGTAGACTTGAAATTTATTTACATATCTATCTTTTAGATGTGGATAAAATTATCTGACCTAATAGAAATGCTTGAAAACAGGAGGTTCATTATAAGTTCTAATTAGTGGTCAACAAGAAAACATTGAGTTTAATGTAGTATTTTTCTTTCTTCAAAAGAATTTTAACATTAAATTTTGACGAAAATCATAAATATTACACTTTTAAAAAACATATAATTCATTTCGCTTACAATCGTTTTTAGTTAGTAATTTGGTCCACCCATATGTTAGTTTTTTTATTTGTATTTTGTAAAAATATCAAATGATAATCTAGGTATTTTGCAATTCTAGAAAATACAATATCCATCCTTTATACGCTAACAAATGTATTTAATCCAAAGTTATAATTTACCAAACAATTCAAAACATAATTATAGATTTAATCATGTGTATGGAAATTATTAATGGGTACCACAAATAATTTTATAACAAAATTGAATTATATATATTGTAGTATGTGTAATTTTGAATATTGAAAACTTGATTAGCATGGTGTTGAAGAATTTACCAGATTCTTATGAAGTTTGGCAACAATAGTCTCAATTTTCATGTGAAAATCACTTCAAAGTTCATTTATTAATAATGTACTTACTGCTTTGTAATATAATACATTTTTCAATAGACTTCCAGTATATTTCTTTTTTAAAATTTATATCGTTAATTTATCAAAATATAACCATTTGTTTTATCAAATGTTGTATTTTTAGTTATTTTGATTTAAAAGTGAAAGTAAAAGCAAGGAAATAATGGTTACAAGTTAGTAGAACGAAAAAAAACAAAATCAATAGAACACCTTGAAAAGTAGTCCTAAACTAGGTGGCAAATTAGTCCATTGATTCAATTACAAAACAATCCACGTGGGTTCTAAGGGTCATACACAGGTATTAGAGTACAAGTGTACAGGGATTTAGGATAGGTTATACATAATGAAAACTTCTAAGCATTAGACAAGTAGGTCCAAAAAAAAATTGTTAGGGATAGGTACAAATAGATTAGGATGATATAGCTAATAAGTCAACCACTTTGTCATGGATACCTAATGGCTTGAAATACATACAAATTCAACTACAAAACAAGATACCATAAAAAGAGTTTTCTATTCTAATTCATGAAGAAAATGGTACTTTTTATTTTTTCCATTAACAATATATCATTTCCGTTGAATAATTTACATCCTTATTTGAAATTGACTACTTTTATTGTGGTTGTTTTCTTAAAATATTGAATTATAATAAATAAATAAAAATTATTTCAATTCACTTTATCATTTTATTTGTAATATAAAAAGAATCCACATAGTTGTTTCTAAGACCTAGGCCTTTCCTTCTTTTCTTTGTACAAAGCAAGTAAAGAAACATTTGCTACTTTGACAACCTTGAAACGAACCCCTGTAAAAAAAAAAAAAATCAATTTTAAACTCAAAATTAATATTTTTTCAACACTCACTTAAATTATTATTATTATCACATTATATCACCCCATTTTATAAATACTTTCAAAACATTAAAATTGAAAAAAAAAACAATGACTGGTCAAAATGTTGAACTTTTGTTAGTATTTTATTCAGATTATACAGAATAGATCAACTGATACATAAAATTACAAATAATTATTAAACTTCAATTAACTTTCAATATTTATTTAAAATATATCTGTTATCATTAATATATATTTTAAAGATTGTATACAGGTTAAATATTAATAACCATAGCTTTAAGTCTTTATCATTATTTGATGGCAAATTATGACATCAATAAGGTAATGAATAATCTAAGACCTACCATAACTGAAATGGTTAAATATCGTTAAATACTAAATTTAGATGCCTGACCAATATTTAATTTAAGATAAGATTGTTGTTAAAACAAGTTGTTCATTCATAAGTATGTTACATATTAATTTGTTTTATTGGGTTTCGTTTACAATAGTGATAAGTAGTATTTTTTTTTTTTGATTTAAAACACTTGGCTTTTACTTTGAATAAATCATTATTTAAAAGGAGGCTATATTGGTTGATTTAATTTCTTTTGAACTGAAGATTAATTTAAAATTTAGGAATTTTGATAATAATGTGCACAACAAAATTAAAAATAAATTATTTTACCAGGAATATCTCCAACAGCGTGACCTTTTCTACCAAATCCGGCAACTAATACTTCATCGTTTTCTTCAATATAATTTAAGCAACCATCTCTAGGTACGAATGCTGTGATTTTCTTTCCATTCTTAATAAGTTGTACACGGACACATTTACGGATGGCAGAATTAGGTTGTTTTGCTTCAACTCCACTATAATAAATCAATTAGATTAACATTACAGAATCATAAATGAGTTTCTTGCAAAAGAATATGTACTTACACTTTTTCTAAAACAATTCCTTTTGCATGGGAAGCACCTCCGAAGGGATTGGCCTTCCATCTTGTTCCCAAATGGGCTTTTTTGTAATCTTTGTCTGCCCACTTTTGGACTCTCCGATGATTAACATGTTTACGTGCCGTACGAATACCACGAGGTTTACCTATAAAGAAAATAATAATTCAGTTGTACCTACTAAAATTTAATTAAACCAATAGTAATACTATAAAACCTATTGGAAAAACAAGGCGATACTTAAATTAAATTCATAAGTTCTTATTTGTTTAAATGATACGAATAGGTTTGTAGATTATCGTTCAAAGTAAAAACAGTAATCCACGTTGAATATACCTAGTGGTAATATGAACAACCACATGGTCGGCAAATTGTTTCTTCTTAAATTTGGAAACATACATACTATAATAATGATAATTTTTTAACTTACCCATGTTGTTGGAAAGTGTTTAAATATAAGTTACTCAAAAAGTTATAATACGAAATAAATTTGAAGAAATCTTCTAATGAAAATTCCTCCCAGAGCACAAAACACAAGAAGTGTACAATGTAATAATGAAAAAAAGTAATGGCTGATGATCGGAGATGGTAGTGTGGTTGTGTTGATGTTACCAAAATTTGGGTACAGGTTAACCAACGTAAACCAAAAGTGTTGACGTTAACAATAGTAATTTAATAACGTTTTTTGTAGGTTAAGGTTAAATCGTGTTTGCTGTTATCTCGATTGATAACTGTTATCAAGTGACGATCTACAGATACAATTTTATTAAATTAAAAAAAAAATTGTACATTTTATAGTTGTGTTAATCATTAAGAAATAAAGCAAATTCGATATTTTAATAACGGGTATTGTTTTAAAATTATTTTTAGTGTACTATGAATGTAATAATGAAGGATAGCCGACTTGTATTAAAATCGTCCACTCAAGTATCATTAAATCATTCGTGCATTGAATATTGTGTAGAAAAACGAGAATATTTTTCAAACATTGAATATATTGTTGTTGTACTATCGCTACTTATGGCATTATACTCTTATATAATTAGTACGACCATAATATGCATAAAAATTGGATTTATTGTTTTCATCTTGTTCATGTTATCACTGTGGTTAAGCTTTAAAGTTCACAATGAATCATTACTCATAACGGCTCCAATTGGATTACAACTGACTACAACATACATTACTGGACATCAGAGAGTGTTTTCCTTACCATGGCAAAGTATTACTGATGTACTTATTGTTGATGTAATTCGTACTCAAAAAGTATTATATTACCTAGCAATTAAAACACCCCAAAACGGATTAGTTACATTATTTCAGAAAAGTGCACCAAGGTTAAATTTTTTAGAAATCATTTATAAAGATATATACAAACTATTAGAAAGCAACAGGTGAAATTTTTATACTTAATATTTTTATTTTTATTTTGTTGTTACATTATAAAATTCATTATAAGTCCATTTTGGAAAAACTCTTTTGTATAAATTTAAACATACAGTATCTTGTGATTTTACTAGACCATCAAATCCACATTTCATGTGTCCATGAGTACCTAAAATCATAAATAAATATATTTTTAAAATTGGTTTTATTTGATTATTATTTTTATTTAAAATAAATAAGTTTAAAATATACCTAAAGGCTCTTTAATATGTCCTCTTCTTCCGTATTTAGTGCGAAGTTCAACAGGTTTAAACCAATCAATATCTTCTCGATTGAAAAACATAAATCTGACTACAGCTGAACGTTTGTGTACTTTAAATGGATGACCACTGAGAACTGTTCTCTTAACAATGACTCGATTTGGATTAACGGATAAAACATTTCCATTTCCAATTATTTGCTAAAAAAAAACAAAAATAAACCAAAATAATTGTTAAAAATAACAGTTTACGGAATAAATCTAGTTTATGGTACAAGCACGTTTTCCACATTTTTTTTCCAAAATGTGTGTTATTAAATGTTTACTCCGTTGATAAAATAAAATTCAACTATCATACTTGTTTTAATAGTTTTTGTACATAAATCTTGAAAAATAGACATTTTTGTTTATTATTATTAATACTTGTAGTTATTGATAATTTGATAATAAAGTTTTTTTTTTCGAAGTCGGAATAAGTCTATTTGGCTAAGTTTTAGAGTTACAAATGTTAATATGAAAATAAATCTTCATTTGTTTGGAATGCCACATCAAGATAACAGGGCAAAGTGAAAAACATATGTGGAACTACAGATCTATTAAAAAAAAAACACATTTTGAAAATATTAATTTCTAACTAAGAAATACACAAATGGAAAACTCGAACTTCATGAAGCTTTCCTCCACAACTTCAAAGGTTTCTTTTAGATCCTTAATGTACAGGCACATTTTGAAAAAAAAAATTGAAAACTGAGGTTGGCCCGTAAACTAGATTTATAACTAGTTTACAGATATTTATTATACTCACAAATGAACCATCTTTACAATACTTCATCGCTATTACTGAGCATGGTGAATAGACTATAGGAGCAAACATTGTAGCAACAACAATAGAATCTTGATGAAAATAACGCTCATACTTAAATAGAATAAAATATTTAATATTATTCAAACCAAAAATTGATTATACCCCTTACTTTAAATTTATTTCCATTTGTATGTTGACTAAATATAGGTTCTGCAGTAAATCTACGGAAACCACATTGGAATATCAGTTCTGTTTTAGATTTAATTGGTTCATCAAAATCTACAGTAGATGGACGTTTTAAAACAACATTAAGTACTGACATTTTTTGTTCATGTGGCAAAAGACCAAATACTACAATAGGATTACGACCATCTCTTGAATGAAACATTTTAGATGGTACATTTTTCACGTGAATTGTAATGTACGAATCAGGCTGAAAAAAAACGTATTAATCTTTATAAAGTTGTCCTATTGAAAAATAAAAACAAATTATAAATAATAAACTAATTACTAGGTGGGTAAATTTTATGTGTTGGTATAAATTTATCTGTAGTATTACAAGCATATCTTATTGCATATAACCTTTTTATTTTTTTATTTTAATGGAATAACTGACAGCAGTGGAAGATTAGTTTTTCACCCCGAATATTGCATATAATCTAGACCTCTAGACCCAACAAACAGGTCACTAAACATATAAAACAGTTAGTAATAGTGCTGTCTACTGTTTCATGCAAGTAAAATTGGTAAATACGATCCCGTACTAATAAACGTAATAAAATAACAGTGTTGATAAGTAGCAGAACTGCCAGAATCAATATCACAAATTTGTACACTTATAATAATTACACTCTGTTCAGAAAATTTGTTATGAGAAATGATATAATTATACTATCAAAGTGCAGTGCACACTGATGTCACTTGTAAAACATAAAAATAAGCTCTAGTGCACAGTGCAGTATAATGACAAATGCTATAAATAAATATTTTATGTCACTAGCAATCACCATAATCATTAGGAGAGAAAATTAGATTATTATTTATTTAGTAGAAAAATGTTTGATAAAAGTTGCATGCATATAAACTTTATTGTAAATCTGTTTTTAATTAATAAACCATCTTAACTTTTAACTATCTTAATAGGACAACAAATTATTTATATTTCGATAAAAGTTTAAATCAAGTGTCAATTGCATTACTATATTTGTATTTTAACTCAAATTTGTAATAAAACTAAAAAATATTTACCATGGCACCATCAATAATTTTATCTAAGTTTTTAAAGATCCTCTTTCTTGTTCTATCGAAATTTTCAAATTGAAATATTCTAGCATAATCAGCAGGTAAATTTTCTTTAACATCCCATGGAGATGTTCTAAAGGATTGTAAGCCTCTGTATTTTTGAAAACGAATTCTAGCTGGTATGTCATTAGGCGTATCCACTTCATCAGGAAACATTTGATCAGCTCTAGCTTCTAAAAAAAAAATTATAATACCAACAGTTAATCAAAAATGGTGTATGATATTAATTAAAATAATAATACAGGGTCTAACAAAAAACCTTCTGTATTTCAAAAGGCAGTTAAATATAAACAAAAAAGGAAAAAATTATTTTATTTTTGAATTACAAATACTATGCCATTTTACATTAATAAAATAATTATTTATTTTTATGAAGTACTTCATTGTTGACACAATGACGGATGCTCTCTCAGAAGTTGCTCATAGCATTTCTAGCATTTCTCATTTCTAGTGTAATGATAGCCACTACCTGAGTGATTGTCTCCTTAAGTTCATGCAGAGATGTGGGGCGATGAATGTAAACTTGTGCCTTTAAATATCCCTAGAAAAAAATCATAATGTGTTAAATCAGATGACAGGTTTCCTCGCAAAGAAAGAAGACGTACAGGAAACAATTCTCACAAAATCATGGTGTTCAAGAGCAATTTTGAGAGAGTTGTGTCTTGAACATCTTTCTTTGCGAAGAGATATCATCTGTCATCTGATTTTTCACCTTGAGATTTTTTCTCTAGGGATATTAAAAGTCACAAGTTTACATTTATCGCCCCACATCTTTGCATGGACTTAAGGAGACAATCACTCAGGTAGTGGCTACCATTACACTAGAAATTACATGAAAAACTATGAGCAACTTCTGGGAAAGCGTCCATCAATGTGTCAACAATGAAGTACTCCATAAAAATAAGTAATTATTTTATTAATGTCACATGGCATAGTATTTGAAATTCAAAAATAAAATGATTTTTCCATATATTTGTTTATATTTAACTGCCTTTTGAAATATGAGAGGTTTTTTTGCCAGACCCTGTAGTTAGTAATTTTTTAAATAAACTGAAATTTAGAATGAAGTGGATTAAAATGTTAAGTGTCTAAATATATATTATGTTACTATTAATAATAATTGATTTAGTAGGATATATAAGGCTTAAGGATCTATAGTTCTAATTAATAACATTATATTCAAATAGAAATTCTATAACCTTTTATTTTGGATAATATATTTTCTTCTTCATTTATATCAAACTGCAGATCATAACGTTCAGAGTCTATTGGTGCTTCGGAAATAGCAGATGTGACTGACATAGTTTCTGTTCCATCCAATACACTTTTCATTTCAATATCACTTCCATCATCTATTGAATAAAAGTCATCAGATTCTTTAGATGATTCTGAGACATCATCTAGAAACACATAGAAATAAAAAAATTACAAAATTGTTTTTTCAAATAAACAAATATATATAAATATAAAAAATACCATGATCTGATTCTTCATCAGGAATCCAAGCAGATTGATACACAGACATACCATCAGGTACACGTTTAATCATACGTCTGATTTTAATTTTGTCTGTTGCTTCTTTCATTTCTTCATCTGTAGGCCAAGTTTGTTCAGCATTCAATGGATCCGGTATATTTTCAGCAATCAAACTATCCTACAAATAATAATAATAATATTAATATTATAGACAGCTAAATAATAAAAATTAAAAATTAAACAAACTTGTAATTTGGGATTAGCAACTTCTACGACCTGATAATGTGGATCTGGTCCCAAAAAAATGGGACCTTCGCTACTCGAACTTGTCATATCAATTTGTTCCATTTGAAAATCACCCCAACCAGGAATATGTATTAAAGAATTCACAGAAAGGGGTTGACCTCTTAAATAACCACTCACTTTCATGGTGCCTACATTTTCCTAAAAGTATAAATTAATACAAAAATGTGTTAATTGATTGAATGAATTAATATCATATGATATACCAGGTGATTTTTTTTAAGAATGCTCATTTTTCTTTTAATTAAATTTTGTATATATTATAATATTCATATTTTGATTTTTGGAATTTTTAAATGTATTTTAAAACGATATTTTCGAATACTTAGATTTATGATCAACTTTTAGTAAAATCCTGTGGCAATACCAATTTTGATATTTCAAATGAGAACCTAGATGTTTTAATGTAAACAGAGAGTCAATTTTTTCTGAAAACGTTAACACAATATTAATATAATCGAAATTTGACCAAATTTTTTTTAAGTTATTCTACTTTAAATACTAAGGATAGTATATTAAATACATTATAAATAGGTTTTTTTTCAATTCCTTTTTTTTTTTTACAAAAAATAATTAAATACATTAGTATATACATTGATTTAAATGAGTTTGGTAATTATAATTAGATATGCGAGATAAAATATTTGTTAATAGTTAACTACTTAGACAATTTTAATATTACAAATTACTTATTAATTATTACTATCAAACTCGTAACCGTTTACAATGTATTCATTTTAGTATTTAAAGTAGAATAAATCAGAAATGTTTTGTTTTCATTTAAAATACACTGATATTTTCAAAACAATCATCTGATTTACAATTTGCATTAAAATTCATCGGTTTTCATTTTTAAACCCAAAGTTTGTGTTGCCACTATATAGTCCTTATATGCTGTAAAAAATCTGTGTATTTGAAAATATTGTCTTTAATTATACTTAAAAATAACAAAATTGAAATTTGAATAGATACATAATTTAAGCATGCTAGAAAAATCAGATTGTATATATATATGCATGTAATAATATACAAACATTAGATCCTGGAGTAAAAGACAAATCTTCTGCTAATAAATGAGCACGTTTGTCACGAAATGTAATTGATCTTTTTTTTTGTGTTTTAATACGTCTTAGAACATTTAGAATGTCATTAGATGTATCAATTTTGCTAACTTTTTCATCTGGTAACCAGTTTTCAATTTCTTTTTGAATACACTGTTTTACTTCATGTTGTTTCTTTAAAATAATAATTACAGTTAAGTAAAATATATATTATTTAGTAAAATACTAATTATTATTACTGACTTTAAGAGGAATTTTATCAAGATCTATAATTGCTACAACGGTCGAAGGAAGTCCTTGTGCTAGTATACAAGTCATTAATAAATCTACATCTCGATCAAAACCACTATCGGCTGAAACCATAAACAGAATGGTGTCTACTACTTTAAGTGTATCTAAAAGTCCAAGAACACTGCTACAGTCTGGTCTTACGAAAGTAAATGACTGTTTAAGCTGTTGAATCCTGAAAAAATAAAAAAATAATATCTAGTTGAATATTGAAGTGTGTACAAAGAAAACCAACCATAAATGTGAATATCCTTCAGAAGCAACTCCTGTATCTAAGTTTATATTAGCTTTTTTTAAAGTGTTAATCATATCCATCATTTTTTCATTGACAAACACATTATTACTAAGAGGAATGACAGCAACCAGATGAGGCAAAGTTACAGATCTTCGTTTTTCAGACAATAATTGGTGTGCTTTTATTTGACGTGCAATCTTAGCCTGATTTCTACGCTCAATGCGGTTTAATTGATGATTGGCCTTTGATTTAGATGTATGCAGTGCGGTACGTCCTAAATTATATATTATTTAAAGCCATACGAACAGAAAATATCAACTAAATATTTTAAATTACCTTTTTTCATAACATCCAAAGTTCCTTTACTTCTGTGTCGTCCAGTTTTGTGTTTTTTATTGTCCTGTTTAGAGGGTCCAGGTCTGTGAACTGCTTGGTCATTGTTCATAACTGTATAGTTTAAAAATACAACTTAAATCATGAAAATAATTAAATTTGTAATATAACCAAAGTGGATTTATCCAAATATTATAAACATCATTTAAAATATTTCGTAATTTTGTTTATCGTTTATCTATGATTTTAGTGCATTTTATTATATGAACACGTGATTGATAAGACTTAACAGGAAACAGAACGTGATAATAAAATTATTATCTCCAAGGAAGTTCTATACAAATCATAATATACATATTATAGTTATTATTGTTATTATCAAAATTTAAGAGTAGAAATATCTTTTTCGTAAGAAAATGTTGTTTAGTACTAGTTAATTAATAAGTAATTTTTTTTCTATTTTCGAGACAGTTTTCTTGATAGTCAAAATACGGAATGTTTATGGAAGTAACGGTTTTATAATTTTCAATTTTACCTTTTTCTTTTAATTCTGTTAAAAAATATTCGAAGAGACCTATATGGCTAATGGCTACATACTATATATTTTATATTAATAAAAATAGGACACAAATTAGGGTAAAATTTCCACTAAACTAAGTCTTCATACAGTAACTAATAGGTAATTTACTTAGGTACCTATACCTATATTTAGTCATTGTTCTCCAAAAAAAATTCGCTATTTATGCGTATGATAGTAAGTATAAAATGAAGTAAGAAAGCTATTTGTACATTGAGAATAAATTGTAATAGTAATAATTGAGTTAGCGAGCGGAGCGAGTTGTTTTTTTTTTTCAGTTTTATTATGGGCCGGTTTAAATTTTTGCCCTTCTCTTTTAAAAACTAAAATGACGCTACTGACCTGCAATTTTCATAGAATACTTAGGTATAATAGATTTTTTTACAAGTGATAACATTTTGAAAACATTTTGATAATTTATGAGCTATTTGTCGGTAGGTAGGTATTTGACATTTTCCAGTTTTTTTTTAATTGTTTATTTTGCTAGGCATTTTGTGAATAAATGTTATGTTTGATCAAACTATATATGTAATATGGCAATATGCCTAAAAATTTAACACGAGGTTTATCTATTATAAGTTATACACATAGTGGTGAAAAAAAGTTGGACGTAATATAGGTACTAGGTTTTTTTATATGCGTTTTAATATTAACGAAAATCGTATAAATTATAGAATTTCGAAATCTACACCTACTACCAAACTTCGCTCAGAATCGGTTTTCGTTGAATACAAAATACAGATATCATAAATTAAATGACTTTTATATCCTACCTTTCCAACTTCCCATCTAAAAGAGAATCAGATCCGTTTCTATAGTAGATATTTTATTTTTTTTTATCTTTATAAAATAATAAAATAAAAATAATTACCTAATAAAATATTTATTTCATATCGCATACAACTTAATAAATTACATAATGCTTATAGTAATTATTAATAGTTAAAATGTTGAACATCATAATAGCACAATACCTAACTAATATAATTAATGATGTCAATGCTCCTATATAGCTATTCACGTCTTTATCAACGTACACGCACCTACTTACTTTTTACTTATTTCCCTATGGTAAAAAATACATTTATAAAAAGCCACGTTTCTATGAGAGATCTACTTATCGTCCTACCCTTTCCATAAAACCATCATTGGGGCCGTAAATTAATGAAAAAGTCTTATCATTATGGTGGTCTAAGGTCATTAAAAGTTAAAAAATACTTTTCAAATTTTACAAAATCGAAGAAAATGCTCTTATTGTAGGTAGGTATAGTTTTATTGGTTACTAATTTTCGTCAAAGTTTTCATGATGTAAATAATTGTATTGAACATTGGTTCCTATATGGGAATTTTATATCGTATAATATTCATATCATGCACGTACCTACTTCCTTTGTTCAGAATATTTTTTATTTTTTTTCATACACTTTGTAAGGTATGTACGCTCTAAATTAATGTTTGTTAATGTTTTTAATAATTAAATACATAATGTTACGTATGTTACATAAATAATCGAAAAATTAATTTTGACAAGTTTTAATTTTTGTTAATGCATTTTTTTCACTTGCAACAATACTTTAATTATTTAAATTATTTCTCATTTATTATAGCCGTCTGTAATTATTCCACCTTTGTTAAATATTATTACCCGTTATTTTATTCAGCCCTTCATACACGAATATATTTCAAGCAGTTTATATTTTTTAATTATACAAATTAGTATCAGTAGGTATAGGTAGGTTACAACTTAATTACAAAATATATTTAAATTATAGCACCTATATAGACCCTTAAAATAAATGATCATATATAAAATTAAAATTAAATAAAATATACTAATGGTACATTAAAAGTTAAAAAATACTTTTCAAACTTTACAAAATCGTAGAAAATCCTCTTATTGTATGTAGGTATAAAAAACCTATGAAAATAACAATATTATTAATTCTTACAAAATTAAATAGCCGCCACACGCGTTTGTGTAATATGTATTCGGAACACAACTTCAATAATCCATTAATATCTCTGGTAACAACTATTTTATTATGCAATATTTTAGTCTTTGGAATACTAACTGTTTTATTTTAATTTTTTTAGATTCCAAGAGAAGTGAAGGATTTATTGGATTTACCATGATGTGAATTTTTTATTTTTTTTTTATCTGTAAATAATTTTTCTCCTAGAAATCTTGCCCCAATCAAAACATAATAACATAACTTTTTTGTTGCATTTTGGCTCTGTATAGTTGGTACATTAAAAAGGTTATTTTTTGAAATGCTCATTAATATTTGAGGTACTGTGGAAAAACTGGTTCTTTAGATTAAAGTAATATCAAATATTAAACATATATGTATATATATATATATATATATATATATATATATATATATATATATATATATATAATGTTATATTTACTATATATATATGTATAGTAAATATTATATAAGCAACATTTAAGTTCAAAGGCTGCGTAACATTTTGGATGTAATATTTGTATCTATAATCCATGAAATTTTGCGCTCTTTTATTGAGAAATCACGTTAGTCGTTTGTTAAAAACATTTTACAATGATAAACAATCGGAAATACGCTCAAGTTCGTTAAATTTATTTGAAACTAAAAAGTTAACATTTTAATTAAAACTGGATTGATATAGAACACTGAATCGATTATGTAGATCAGTGGCCACAGGAATCCAAAGCCTTAGCTGTATCCAGAGGTGGATAAGTAGTATCTTTGTTACAAGGAAATATTTTAAGGAGCACAAAACTGAAAAAAATTCTTTTGCCACTCGCATTACATATTCAATATAACAACTTTACTTAAAAATAAAATTTTTGTATAAATATTTTTTACAAATCAATCAACTTTGGTTAATTATTTACAATTTTATTATAATATTTTTAATACAATAGTAATTTTTGAAACAATTTACTTTTAGAAGCTACTTGATCAATTATTTGACCAGAGTCAATTCTGTTCAACAATATTTTCTCAATAGACATGAGCATAAAACTTTCTAAAAGGTCTTGTGATAAGGTGTTCCTTAAATACGATTTTATATATTTTAATTTTTAAAATCTACGTTCACAGCTTACTTGAGTGACTGACATGTATGTAGTAATATGTAGCAGTTGTACAGACCTGAATAAGTGTTGGTGTATAAATTATACTTCACAAAAAAATTAAAAACACAAACCCCACAGTACTTATCACCAGCTGTAGTATGGGAACAATTTTCTTCATCATCACCATCAGATTTATTATCGGAATTATATTCAGTGTAGTCATAATTTTCACAAAAAATGATTTTTTTGAATTCACTCCACTTAGACATAAAGTCTGTAAATTCATCTCTTAATGTGTCATAAGTCATTTAGTCATCATAAGTCAGCTGTTGGAGGTAGAGGCATGTTTACTTGAAAATTATTTGGGTCAAGGCATGAAAAGTCTACAAAATTTTGACTGTGCAATGAAAATCTAGATGAAATACTTTGTATTATTTTATCCAAAATTAAATTATAAACATTTACTTAAAATGCATGCAAAGGGTCATCTAGTGGATCATCAGTTGATTCATTGGCAAATTGCCGTGTTCATTTTTTTTTCTTGTTTCTAGAAAACTATGACTGACTTTTACTTCTGTGTGTTCAACTTCTTATTTATTATTTGCCCATGCAACAAAATTATCTGCTGCTTCCTTGATACTTGAGAAGTCACGTGCATTAAGTTTAAGCTCTTCAAGTGTTACTTGAACCATTTGATAAGATGTCATCATATTTATTCCATGACCTAGTAAATACTTAGAAAGTGAAGTAGTTTTTTGAAAAATCTGCAAATAAATTTGAGCTATTAAAACAGTTTCATACTTGCATAATCCTTCTATCAAACCTATTGCTTTAAACCGAGCATCAGCTGTAGTAGAAGGGTTATTTTTAATCTCAATTAATGTAGTTATAAGTTCCACAAATAAACCAGGTACTGGATTCTTGAAATGACCAAACACTTTAGATAACGCACTATGTTTAGACCATTATCTAGTCTCACCTATGTAACATATTCGTTTATTCTTCTTTATTAGTCCACAAATGGGATTCTTTAATAAAAACAGCACATCCATTGAGTATTCCAAACAAATTAATAGACTGAAGAATTTTATTAGTTAGATCACCAATAACTAAGTTTAAAACATGAGCGTAACACTATATATGTATTTGATTTTTTGCCACATTACTCAGTTGAGCAGAAAATCCACGGTACTCCCCCTGCATATTTGCTGCTCTGTCAGTAGAATTACCAACACACTTTTTGGGATCCAAGTTCAAGCTATTGAAAATTTTCAAAATTAATTCAACCATATCAATTTCTTTACTAGAGGTACATTTGACAATACCAATTTTTCATGAATAGTAGTACCACTGACATAGCGAATAATAACTGAACATTGATCAATTATGGATACATCTTGAGTTGTTTCGAGTTGAACGGTATACATACGGGCCTTTAAAATTTCTTTGATTTTTTGACAGATAGTTTCAATAATAATTAATAGTGGTTTTTGACAACAGTGTAATAACCTCATCTTTTTTTTAAAACTTTATGAACTTTAACTCGTATGAATACTCCAGAATCACGTTCATATGCGATACATGTGTAACAAAATAGAGCTTTATCTTTGGTATTGTAAGATAACCATTTTCTATAACTACCATCCTTTCTTTTATATGCTTTGTCTGCTGTAAATGGAATTTTGTTAGTTGGTTGATGCAGGTGAAATAACCAATACATAGGAATATTATTTGAATCCAGGTTCTTGAATGAAATATCAACAATACTTTGTTCCATAAAGTGTTCAGTATTGGAAACTTCATTTTCATCTATAAAATCAATTACAATCGTTAACATTAAAAACAAATAATACTAAATAAACATTTATATGTTAAATACACTTTAAAAAAAAAAATCAAAATGAATAATTACCTAATTCTACAATTGGGACTTCAACATTACTTTGTTCTATTGAATGTTCTGTATTGGAATTGGAAACTTCAGATGTATCTATACAATTAATAGCATTATAGCAATCATTATAGTTACCAAAGAATTATTGTATGTTTGTAATACATATTGAATACTTTTAAAAATGTTAAATGTTTAATTTTTAAAAAAATTTTAATATTATTACAGTGCCTGATGTACTTTAAGTAACTTAATCAATATGGATCCATTAATACATTATAAGAATACAATTTAGCTTTTAGTTTTAAAAAATCAGCTTACTGGGTTATTTTAATTGTGTTATTATTTTGTAATGTCATTAATTAAATATAATTGTATACATATATATATTTAATCAATAGTAATGTCACTCATAGCCCAAAGGATAACTAAGTTGTAAGAAACAACTTTTCTTAAAATACAAGGGAAAGGAAGCGGATCTATCCTGAATATCACCCCATTTAATTATAAATACGGCACTGTCTGTAATATGTTAATAATTTTATACCAAAAGTTGTTGGTCTGCCTCACTACTTGTTAACTACATTATTTATTGTTAATTCTCTATTTTTTTCATGACGTTTTTTCGAACCGGATTAATATTTGAGTTTAGCATTCATTATAATTAACAAAAACTAAAATACCAAGTTAGTAGTTGTTACTTGCTATAGTTTATGGTTAGATTTAGGTATACACTATACACTTAGATACCTTGTATCGACTCTTAGATTTGAAATCACAAATAGGCAGTAAAAAAAAAAAAAAAAAATAAACAAATCATTAATATAAATGCACGATTTCATATTCTTATTTAACTCTATAATATTCCCAAATGTAAAAATCGTAAAACCAAGTTTTAATTACGAGATACACAGCTTCCACGTTCCACGCGCACGATGAAAACGGTCGACTATGGAATACGAATGGACACGATCATGGATAACAAAAATACAATTATAATACATGTATTAAAAATAGATATTAAATACCCAATCGTTTCTGAAAAATTTGTATTTCGTATCGCCCGTATCGGGATTGAACGTGCGGTGTTCGCGGCCGGCGGCTGGTCAGATATTTCGGTCTTCCATTTAACATTAACAATGTTACGAGTATGTATCGTGTACCGATGAATTTGACACGGTTCCTAAAATAATGAGGCGAGAAGAAAAATTAAATGCCTTAAAAGATAAGATAGATTTCACCGTTCATCTAAATTATATAATAAATTTTAGATTCTGAGTGGAGCGAAGAAGCTAACAGTTTTACAAAAATATTTAGTTATTTATTTTGTATTTTCTGTGGACAATTTTTCTACAAGAGGACTTGCTCCGAATTTTACGTGTAGCAACTTTTTGAAAGGAATTCGGTGTGAAGAGGTACCTTAAAGAGATCATTTTCCCAACAGTTTTCTCATCAAATGCGAAAAAACTGGGGAAATCGGGAAAATCGGTACAACATTAAACAAATATTATTAAAGAAAATATATAGAGTTTATTTAATTATTTTACTATAATGTGGCATATATATTGTTGACAAAGCATCACTATCAACTGAACTTCGCTCAGAATTGTTTTTTCGTGAGCAATGGTTTATCGTTGCTTACAGGTATATACATTAAATTACCTATAACAATGGCTGCATCCATCCCCATTATCCTAGGACGACTATTTTTGTTCATGAATCCATAATTTTGTTTGAAGCAATTTCAATGTTATTGAATGTATTATCGTATATCTACGCAAGATTCTTTCTTGGACGTATACGGCAACAAAACATAAAACTAGATTAAGATCTTCGGTTATTGATGTTTTAACATCAAGAACTCGGTAGATGGCCTTACGTCTAATAATATTTTAATAAAACCACTTGTAACGTCCAAAAACGATCACTTCCCGTTATCAAAGGACCAGCATACCTACCGTCGACCGGTTAATAGGTTACGCCCGCGTCGACGGATACGTCATCATGAACAATAATTCCCCCCCCCCCCCGAGCGCAAAGGTTTATGCGATCGCAATCTGATGCAATTCGCAATAATGTTATATTTCTGACTACGGGTTAACGGCCAATCATATCACGTTTCCCCTTATCGCCAAAAACGTCGGCCCGCGGCGACGTGTGCCACGAACGTCTCCGCGCTCCGCTACCCAGTTGTTCTTTTTCTGTTCGTTCTTTTCATTCTTCGTGTCTATACGTCGTCTCGAGATTTCTGTCACCGGACGGCCTCTAGATACAGTTCTCTTAATAAAATACTCTCGTGTATTACGCGGATTCACCAAGTTTTTGCCGTCAAGTAAAGGTCGTGTACCTTGGCGCGATTCATGATGGCGCCTCGAACGAATCAATGAAGTGAGTCCCGATCTGGTCCGCCGAGCGGACATCTTCGGGAGAACGATGGTAAAAGGTATGTAATTTAACAATTGGCCGATACCCCGTTAATTAGTTAATTAGTTTTTAGGGTAATTTAATTAAGTTTTCTCCGTATGAATATGTAAAATATTTTCTTTATCGTATAGTAAATGCTCCCGGTATACTTATGGGAATCAACCAGCCAGATTTGTGTGTCCGTCTCATTGTGCTGACCCCCGCGTTCCACATCCTAAGTGCGATAGGCCAAAACCCTCCCCAGTATTTTGCTGTTTCTCTCATTTTCTATCCCCTCTTAGTGCTAGGTTTCGCATCCACGTGTGTGTGCATATAAAAAAAAAAAATACTATATATATGTAGATCGATTTTCCCCATTTCGCGATCCAGATTCGGACGCACCCCGCAGGTGAATTCATCCTTACCCATACATATAAAAACGCCCGGCCTGCACGTTCCCCGTGATGCCACTATCTATGTCCGGAAAACACTTACGGCTGATTGACGCCCCAATCAATGTACATATATGTTAAAATATAAATTGTCTGTAAATATTAGTTTTTAAGCCTATGTATTAATGGTATAAGTCGTACTTATTATCCATTATTTTTTCATTAACAGTTTATATGAACTTAAATTTTACTTTTGATTGATAAACTATAAATTGAATAAATAATTATAAACTTTCCCCCAAGAAAACCACGTGTTAAACTTATTCAAATTCTCTTTTTTTTCCCTACCCTCCTCACAAAATCCTAGGACTGCGGACCTCGGTCCTAGGCTGGCGACCTCCCCACTAGGCGGGTAGTCAGCTGGGCGCTCGGGTCGTTCCTCAAACAAAGCCGACCGAACCGGGACGTACCACACTTAAATAATTTTTATAAAATAAGCGCTGCCCCTGTAATACGGCCGGCGACTGCGTGTCACATTTTGTTGAGTAGACGTACCTACAATATTATATTTTAACATAACAATAATAATGTCGGCGATGGTGACGGTCGTGTGAAAAAATATTTTTTTTTTATTGAATATATACAATTTATACATATAATTTAGCACGATTAGTAAATGATATGAACAATTTTAGATTCTGAGTGGAACGAGGAATGTATCGGTTTTACATTGATGTTTATTATTATTATTATTTTTTTTGTGGACACTTTTTCTGCAAGAAAGAGCATAGTCCAATTATCTAATATAGCATCTTTTTTAAAAGGAATTTTTCCCTGGGTGGTACTTTAGAGACGTTATTTTTTTTAATTTCTCATTAATATTCGAGATAATGGGGAAAACCTAGGTATTTAGGTTAAAAAAGATCGAAAGATTAAAAATAAGGTTGTCATTGGCAACCGTTTTTATTTATTTTTTTGTTTTTATTATTTTAATATTTTTTAAACAAACACTGTTGTCATGGAAACGCACATTATTTTAATCATTTTACCATAATATGACATAATACCATGTATTGTATTTTTGACAAAGCAACATTATTAACTGAACTCTGCTTAGAATCATTATTTCGTTGGCAATGGTTTATCGTTGCTTACAGATATACATTAAATTCCCGTCTGTAGCTTACCTTCCCAACCTCCCACCTACAAAAGTAGCTGCACCCACATGCGAAGTATGCCCGTCCTTTTTTTTTTTATTTGAGTGATAAGAGAAGGGAGGTTATCCAATAATAGAATCCAACGTGATTTAACATTATTATACTATGATCAAATATGTTATTATTATTAGTGGCTGGATATACTAAAGTACTTTACAATTTAAAATAAATAATACACGATTTTCGAAAACATGATCTTACTGCAATGGAAAATGACTTCCTAAAAACAGAAGTTTCCGAACTTCAAAAAAGATTAACCGATGTTGAATTGGTTAAATCTAATTTAGAATTGACACTTTCCTACATGTATTGGTTAGTGAATAATATAAATAATTTGTAGTACGTTAAATGCCGTTTTTTCGAAAAACTATCTATAATGTTATTATTAAACAAATGAAAAATATTATGGTTGTACAGGGTGATTTTTTTTCATGAACCAACAATTATCTCAGAGAATTTTCAGTAAATTTGATTTCTGTTTTTTCTAATCACTATGGAATCGTTTGTTATTAAAATCTTTATTTTAAAACCATTTTTTATCTGTACCCCTACTCTATACACTTTAAATAAGTACATACTTTTGATTTTTAAATAAAACCCTTTCCCTTTTGAAAAAAGATTTAAATAAAAAATATTTTTCTAGACATTTTAATATGTATAATACAAATATCAGATTTACCATTTATGAGTTATAACAGTTTAAAGTTTAGACCGAATAGGAGTAGGGAAGGGTAATAAACTGCCTATCTAAAAAACTCCGAGATAATTGCTGGTTCATGATAAAAAAAATCACTGTATACTAGTGTTGTATATTTTCAAACTAAATTACTTTCTTATTACCATGTTATTATTATTATTTTTTTAGACTATACTTAAAGGTTTTTTTTTGTTAAACTTGTTATGCAATGAACAATGATATAATAAAAATGTTTTTGTACATACCTAGCAACTGTAATTATTTTATATACGTATACAGTAGCACAAACAGAGGGGGGTTAAAAGGTCAAAACCATTTCCGAAATGTCTTCCTTTACTACATTTTTTTAAATCTAGTTTTACATTCAACAACATAATATCTTATACCACAGAATAAAAAAAAATTAAATTTCATCAAAAATAATTTATTCAGTAATAATAGTGATAGTACTGTACTGATAATATGTGCTATCCCCTCTTTAGAAAATTATAATTATAGCGTAGCGGGGGAGCTATTAGTTATACTAAGTTGTTTATTTTTTCTTTGTTCTTTAGTTTACTCTGTAGACACGTTTTTTCTAGTAAACTTACTCCAGGTTTTACGTGTAGCAACTTTTTTGAAAGCTCAAGTTGTCTAGATTGTACTTTAAAGGGATCATTTTTTGATTTTCGATGCCATTTTTTAAATGAAAACACTTAAGTGGGAAAAAACGTCATGCAGAACATAGAATTAAATTGACATGATAATCTGATAAATATTAATAATTCCATAGTGAAAATTAAAATATTAAATTATTTTTTCCATGGTTGCCCCTAATTAGCATATCTCTCTCACTCAATATCGGTTTAGTTAGCGTAGTGCATTTATTAATACGTCTATATATTTTTTCATAGTAGTCGTTCTCTTTCATAAACACGAAATGCGATTAAATATTAATGAAAATAAAGTAAACAAAAGTAAATATATTTTTAGAGATGTACTGTTAATAAAGTATATATTGTAAACCCTTTGGTTTACAATATATAATTTGTGGTTTTGTTTGTGTAAAAAAGTGTTATAACATATGTTAATTTAACAGTTTTAAACAGCTAATGCTGTTAATACCTATAATCTATATAGGCCATTATTCAAATAAATATGTCGATATCAGTCTTTATGTTTTTTGCGTCATATTCAAAGATGGACATCGCTTATCATAGCTAGAAAATTAACATTTAAATCGACAAAATAATGAGTTGCCTATTATTTTATTATTAAACATTTCTGATACTCGAATATTTTAACTAAGCATCGTTTAGTTTTGTATACCAATTAAGTCTTAACATTGAGGTGTCAAAAAAAAAGTAGGCGATATACATGGGTATATTCAACTTGAAACATTTATATATTTATTTTTCTTTTCGAAATGGATAAGAAACATATTATAAAAAGTTAAAATTATAATTTCAATTTTAATATATTATCGACTATCAAGGGACCGGTTCGCAACACACAATTATTTTGTATAAGAGCGAACACGAAATTGAGAGTCCGGCTGGAAACGTAATATTATAGGTACTACAAGTAAAGCATATACGAGTTAATAATTGTAGTTAATGTGAGATTTAACTCGGGGGATTTTTACCATCTAAACCTTTTAGAATCGTACGTTCTTCGTGTATAATACATGTACGTCTGTACGCATTTGCAGATGACTTGAACCGTAAGAAAATATTTTAATTAATAATTATGATAATAACAAATAGGTTTTTTTTTTTTTTTACTATTTTTTCCCGGTTGTCGCATGAGAAGTGTGATATAATAATGTGATATATTATAATGTATAATAATACGATCAATGCTCGGAAAGAACAGATTCAAAGGTACTCGCTCCTTCGATTCCGTACCCTTTTCAGAAATTGATCGAAAACAGTTCTGCGAAGTAGCGTATTGGAATTTCATTTAGTTTTTTTATTTTTTAGAGAAACGACTTTTTTTGCTTTATTCTTTTTCTTATTGCGTGTGGACGACATAGCGATAATTTGTGTTCAGCAGGGACACCGCTGTGCTGTTAGTTTCAATATTAAAGTGAACAATTGGTAAACATGTAATAATATTATCTGTGCAACGTTGGCAACTATTTCTCGATATTGTAAATTTCCAGCGGGATTCAATCATTACAAAAATATTGTGATATTTCTCAACGTATTACACATCCATCTGGAAATGAAATAACGCTGTGCCCGCCGAACGCAAAATATTGGCCGTGTCGTTGGTATAACTATTGCGTGTAATACGAAAAACGCGCGCGCGGGTGTCGTGCACCGCGAAGTCCTCTCAGCGGTTCGCCGTATCAACGGAAACGGGTTAAGACTTTGGCCGGACCGATAGGTGGCGACATCTGACGACGCGCCTCGCGCGCGCGGTCACCGCACACGGGCGAACGACGTCGGCGCTTACTCGCCCGGCGCTGCACGCGGTCGGACGCGCAACGCGCGGGCGCGTGTACCTATACGCGCGGCGCGTATGTCATGATGGCCGAGACGGCCGGTCTCATTAAGTGGGAGGCGCCACGTTATGGCCATTTCCATACACCTTCCGCGCGCGCACGCACACGCCGTATACAGTACCACACCGCTACGGTATAATATGTACATACGCGAGTGAAATTAAAAAAAAAAAAAACAAAAAAAACCGAATAACAGTCGGAGAGAGAGAGAGTGAGAGAGAGAGAGAGAGAGAGAGAGAGAGAGCGAGTGAGGCGCACGGAATAAACCCACGTATATCGTGTGTTATACGTAATAACGCTGAAATTATCGAGGGGAAGATAATTGTCGCCCGGCGGAAACCGCCGCCGCACACACACACACACACACACACGCACGCAGGCGCGCGCGCATATACACGCGGGCGCACTGCACCGTGCACTAACACAAGCGCGCACAGAAAAACCCGACAAGTCGTTGCGGCGTGGTGGGAATACACGGGTATACCTGTAATAATAATAATAATAATAATAATAATATTATACCGTCCATGTTGTGCCGTGCGCCGCTGCACGGAGGACTGGGCAGGTAGTGCGGCGATAGTTGGGAAGAACGGGGGGGAAAAAAAAAAAAAATAACGTAAAAAAGAGTAAAGCTAATATTTTCATTAGTGCGAACACGGTTTGCTCGCGTTTCGTCCGTCCGCCGTCTGCAGCTGCGATGGTCGCGGGAAAACGGTTCGGCCGCGGTAAACACACGTCGTAGCGATAAAACGAAAAGTAATCCCGAGATACGTACGGGGTACACTCGCGCCGTCGCCGCCGTCGTGTCGCTGTCCGTCAGCCGTCCGCCGCGTTCTTATTCGTCTCCGCCGCCGCCGTCGACCGTAAAACGCGTTCGCCTGAGTTATTGCCCGTGATACGCGTAAGCACAAGCGCGCGCGCTCGCGCTCGCGCACGCCCAAGCACACACGCGGGGGTCGCGTGGATACGATTGCCGTTTAAATCATATACACGTATATATGATGCACGTGCGACAAGCGCACGACGAATTAAATAATTTACGAATGTGCGGGCCGGCTCGTCGCGAGTGCCGGAGCAGTGCGCGTCGTGCGGGCCATGCAGGAAGAAAATGACCGGCGGAACAGCGCTGCCGCCGCGGACAGTCTGCACCGTCAGCGAGGGACCGCCGCCGTCGGACTGCTCGGCGACCGCGAAAAAGACGACAGTAGCAGCAGCAGCCGCAGCGGAGGAGCTGCCGCCATGAGCGTAAGTCCGCGACATTATCGTGATACGTTTTATTTCATAGCGCCGTGGTGTTCAATTATATCCCGAGCAGAGCGATATTGTTCGCGGTTCGCTAACGGCCGCAGTGTCGTTCGCGCTGCACTGTAGATTCGCGAACACGAACGCGTCGAAAGAAACCGGATTCGGCGATTTTAGCCGAACGCGCTCGACATCCGGCCGGATCAATTGACGGCTTATTTACAGGGGTAGTGCCGGCCTATCGTCGTCGCTCACAGGGTCGGATGAAGCCCGAGTGTAGCCCTAGGCGCATATTTTTCAAATAGCCTTTCTATTTAAGGTCCTCTAATCGATGTACCACAAGGTTGTCATAATCAACACCTGGGAATTTATTAGCTGTAAAACGATACCTTTCAACATTTATGAATGGTTTTCGTTTTATGACGCAAAGTTATAGTATTTAAAACATTTCGTGATGCTATTGCGTACATTATCTATCAGAAATAAAATGAATGTAATCGCGCCGGACATTGCTTAGCCCGGCACAGGCACGTGTCTAACTCGCCTATACGCGTTAATACTGGCCCTAGCCATGACATTTCCGGGACGGGGTTACAATTTGTCGCCACCTGAAAACCTGTCGGCTAGTTTGCAAGTTTTGGTCCATCATACGATAATTCAGGTCTAAGTACGTCGCTGTTCAGGACTGGTTCGCGATCGAACGCATCCAAACAGCACACGAGAATATTACAAACACGAGGAATGCGAAAACGATAGTTGGAAGTTGGAGAGGTATGTCGGTTGCAAAACACAATAGTCTGACGGCCGCGAGGCCAATAATCAATAAAATTAACCGTTTTCTACTTTTTCCATTTTTTACAGTTATAACAATATATCTGTTGACTAAACTCGTTCTGAGAACCCCGGGTCGTTCCGGCCCCGGAAACTGTCTCCGGTTCATTACTCAACTAGTAAAACGTATGGTGCTCGAGTATCGGATTCGAGTTTGAATAATTTAGTAGTTATCTATACACTGTACAGTCCACTTGTTCAGACAAAATGTAGAAAAGTTATAAAGCGCTGCTGATCAGACACACTATAATATGTATAGAGTATTTGCGGCCATAAATGTCTATATTAATAAATCATTGGTATTTTCTTGTGGCGTTTAGATCGAAATTAAAATCGAACAATTTTTAAAAGGAGAATATTTTCGAAAAAATATCGCCGAACAAAAAGAATTACAGTCGTGTTAGTTTTGGCTTTTTCAAAATAGCTGTAAAATTTTGTTTGACAATGTTTTAGAAAAACGGCAACGCACGGTTGTGCACGCGTAATTTTGCTATGTCGTCCGTTTGCCCGGCTGTACAGGGACAGTAAATTCGCGTACACAATCTCCTTTTCAGTCAAATGTTTGTCAATCGATATTATACATATATAATATTTGTAATAACAGACGAATGGACATTTTGTTGAAATGGGACCTAAACAAATCACATTGTTCGAACGAAATAGTATTCATGGTAAATTACGTTTATTTTTATAATATTATTGCTAACGCTGAACACGTCACGATCGTGTTAAACAAGTTGTTGCTCATTTCGTTGTACATCGTTGCAGTCTGGACTATAAACAGCCACTCTCGTTACAGAAAAACAATATTAATTTTACGTGTATACGTTGGGTTTTCGCCAGACACGGTATGATCTTTCGTGTCCGAAACTGTTAGCTTATTCGAGCTTTGATTTTAACGATACGTTTGTTTGTGGTTAAACTTTCGATACACCTGCGCGTATACTATTTTTGTTCTATATTACACTTCTTTTCTGCGATATGTCGATTCCGACCGTCGTCGTGACCTTTTGAGCAATACGTGTACCTAATTCACGTTTGGCCTTTTATTCGGTCAATAAATCGAGTAGATATATTATACAATATGCTATATACATGTACTTGATGACGGCCTTGTAGAACGACCTGTTATAACCTGTATAAGTGCTCAGCAGTATTACAACCAGGATCCGTCAAAGGGAGTTGGGGGTCCAAACATGATAATTATTTCATTGCACAACAAAGTACATATTTTAATGTTTAGTACAGAGTGATTTTTTTTTTTTACCAGATGAATAGAGAAGAGGTATAAATTAATCACTTAAAAATAAATATGCAATTTATTACCATTCTCTACGCCTTCGGTTTAAACTTTAAATGGTTATCACTCATAAAAGGTAATTATTAAGGTAAATTATCTGTAATTATAGTGTTATGCATATCGACATTTCTAGACAAATATATCAAAAGTATAATATACTTTTTTAAGATGAATGAAGTATGGGTGAAAAATTAAACATTTTTTAAAATAAAGTTTAACCGATTCTACAATGATAAAAAAAAAAAAAAACAGAAAACAAATTCAATTAAAATCCTCCGAAAAAATTGCTGATTCATGATAATAAAGGCGGTCATACTTCACACGACGAGTGAGTCACTGTTGTAGGTGAGAAATTGGGATGGCATTATATAGAGAGGAATTTCATTAATATCTGTACGCAACGATAAACCGTGCAGGCTAAAATCAAAAAATTACCTTTCAGACGACCTTTTAGGAAATCTGAACAAGATTTCTGATAGAAAATTTGTTGACAGTTAAAAGAAAAAAAATGAAAAAAGTTAAATATCATTGTAAAATATTCCTCGCTACGTTCCGAATCTAAAAAAGAATCACTTGCATGCAGTACGCCTGATAAAATTATCAACGGAATTGTTACGTTTTACAAGACTGAATGAAAAAGGGAAATTCTTTATTTGTGTACAATTTTACATTTAGTACATGGGTTATTTTAAAATAATATACACAGTATACGCAGTGAAAAATCAAACGGCCGTTTTTCCAACGCCAATATATTATCTACTCATTTATTGACCGTTATAACCGACGCACGTGTATGTCGAGAAACGGATTAATACGCATTTTTCGCGTTTGTATATTTCTTAGACACGTCATTATTTTAAACCGTCGAGATAGTATTATAGTTCATAAACGATAAAGTCAAATTAACATTTTTCTTTTCAAACGTTAATACAGTCCAATAAACAGAGCTGTCGTGAGATATTTTCCGCTCTAAAGCGAAAATTGTATTGCTGTCTTTTTTTGACGATAATTAATTCCATTTTGCCGTTTCAATTTCTTTAAAAACGTTATGCCGCTCTGAAGCAACGCACGACTTACCGTAAAGCGACGGGCCCGGATCCAAGGACCGGGGCCGTCAGACCCGGAGTCCGGCCCCTCGGTTCGCGCCACTGCAGGTGCTCGTTTATATACGCGCAGGACGGAAAGTTCGTCCGGGTCGTCGGCACTATGCTGTGAGGGGTTTGGTGATGGATGGCTATCATCGCTCTCGTCCAATACAAGTTATATCCCTTTCAGACCTGGAATTAATTTTGTTGAGTTAAATATTTTTCGTTTATCAATATTTATTAATGGGTTACATCTTAAGACAAAATCAATTTTTTTTTATTAATTTTTTATCAAGTTATTAGCGTGTCCCCAGTAGAGGATATTAGGCGTTCACGGAGTTACAATTAATATTATCGGCATTTATTTTCAGAAAGAATTGAGAATTCGTACTCGTTGATTACTCGGATTACTATAAATATACGATTTTTAAAGTCATACTTTCAATTGTAAACTATACACGTTTATTGTCTGTGACAATCAAGAATAATGTCATATCGAAATTCGTCAAAAGTGTTTTATGGAAAAAAAACATAAACGCGATAGGAGTTACGGCGTTCGTCTTACGATTTTCCCGTTAACAACATGCAAACTATGCGGGCGTAAACTTTTAACGAGACAAACCGATTTTAAACGGTGATGGACAACACTTAAAATAATGTCCTTCTCACGGGACATCAGTTCTGAAAAGGACGTGTGGGGCGTTACAATTGCGATTATACTTATACCGGCACCACACCGCCCGGATAATACCCGTCGAGATACACGGAAGTTATTACGCGTAGTACAGACGGATGTACTGGCAGGTCTAGACGCGTCTGGACGAATAATCGCGAGCGCGCGCGCTTCGACATACCGTACAAGTATTATTAATAATATGTATTATATTATCGTTGTTATCGTTATTATCGTTATTATGATTATTGTTGTTGTACGTAGGTACAAATGCGTAATTCAATATAATACTACAATATCGCAGGTGTGTAAAATCGTTATAATATGCGGGGTGGTTTTTTTCTAATTTTTTTTTTTTTTTCTATATTTCCACCCACCCACAAAAATATTGTTATATTATTATAAATTGATCGATCGGCAATAATAACCACCATCACGGTATACTGAATGGAACGGCCGCCGCCGCCGTGTAATGATTAGACCCGTTCCTTAACAAGCGCGTAACTATCGAACGCGCGTCAAAGGTGTCGAGTCATCCGGTTAACAAACTCGACAATAATAATAATAATAATAATAATAATAATAATAATAATAATAATAATAATACATCTTCATTACGCCCGGGTGTGACTGCGCCGGTGTATGTACGACTGTATACACGCGCGTTTATGTTGCGTTATACACGATATATTTAGGTACGCGCGGATGCGACAGATGATAACAATATTGTATTTTATTGTTATTATATTATATATTGTTACGCATACGTGCATCCACAACCGAAACACGGTACTATACACACGTGTATTATGTACGTGTAACGTGCAAAGCGAACAAATACGATGTATCGACGTTAAATTAAAAAAAAAAAAGCGTTTTATAAAAAAATATATATATATATTATATTAGTTTAGTATAGGAACTTATACGAATATCGAACGTTTTGTAAAATAACGATAAAACGTATATATATATATTATAATCAGCGTTCGGGACTTACAGCGCTTCAAATCGTCAAAGTAAGGGCTGAAAATAACACTTATTACACACTATTCATTATATGTAAGCAATCGAATAAGGATTTAAAAACAATGAAAATAAGCTAAAAATAATAGAAAAACACGACGAAAACTATATGAACACAATTTCTTTTTTCTATTATTCTATAATTTTTACACTTGAAAACATAAAAAAAAAAAAAACTAAAGCATCAAAAATCAAAAACATTTAGCATTTTTGAGTTTTTGAGAACACTTCATAAAGATTTTCGAAAAATAAATTTAAAATTTTTTAAACGATTCTGAGAGCGGAACTCGGTCAATAGTATAATGCTTTTTCAACAATGCGCGTTTTCACGACAACAAAGATTGTGTACAAAATATTAAGAGATTTAAATAACAAAAACTTAATGATTACAAAAATAAATAAAAACTGTTACCAATGACAACTTTATTTTTAATCTTGTAATCTTTTTTAACTTAAAGAACCAATTTCTCTTCATTATCTCGACTATTAATGAGAATATCAAACAATTACCATCCTAAATAATTATACCAATTAGAGCCAAAATTCAACAAAAAAAGTCTCTTCATCTAAAACGGAAATAAACTAAAATGTTTGTTTTCGTCGGTGATACGTATCCATAATTAAGTAGATAAATACGCAAAAAGCCAAAAATAATCTGAAAAACTAGAAAAAAGCAATTTGTCAAAAAACAATCGAAATAAGCTGAAAAGAAGCACGGTCAATTTTCATATTTGAGATCATTGTTACACGAAATAAGTTTCCATAGCCCTCAGCTAGATTTGATTTCAAAACGAAAAAATAAGCGAATACTTGAAGTCCCGAATTATAGTCCCTGATTATAGTATATAGGCACATTTAGACGATATCGCTACTCGTAAACGATCAGTGCACACGCTCATCCGTTATACCCGTATACCTGCACGTATATGCGTAACCAATAGTCTACTGCAAGTAGGCACTTATTTTATCGTTATCCACCGTTTGTGCGATTTTCAACGATACCGATATTATGCGAGTGCGGCATTGGAAGTTGCTGACAATAATATTATTAGGAAATCGCGGAAATTTTAGACAATTATTGTTATCGCAGGCTGGTATTGTATTCTTTACATTTTATAGAAGTGCAGTTAAAGACAGGGTAATACGATTATAATAATTGCGAAATACAGAATATAACGTAACGGAAATACAGAGCGGAGAAGTTTCAACGACACCGCACTGAGATTATCGAGATACGAAGATGTTGAGTAAAATCAATTTAGTTTTAGATATACTGAGTGGAATCGAGGAATGACGTACATTGGTATAGGTTTTACTTTGATGTGCGCATTTTTGTTTCCGTCTGTGAGCGAATATTTTTTTCCAGACGTTATGTTCCAAACAGAAAACTACAAGAGTTTTGTTATATTCCGAATTTAGTTGGAGCATTGTGAATGCTTGATTTTACAAGTGGTTTTCGTAATAATTTGGCGAAATCGGGAAAAAACATAGAAAATCGTGAAAATTACGGGATTTAAAAATACGTAAAACTGAACTTAGCAACTTTATCGTTACTCACACATATAAATCAAATAACTTCCTGTATCCTACCTTCCCAAGTTCTCACCTTCCCATCTATAACAGTGGCGCGCCTATCAGATCTAATATTATTATAGAAATATGTATTGTATCTTCATTTCCAAAAACTTTAATGCAACGACAGAAATAATACTTTTGAAAAATTTACCAGTCGTCAATATTGTTACCGTCCTGAATAATGCCATACAAATCGTATTATATTATATAATAATAAGATTTTTGTAAAACCAAAATAATAATAACTCGTTCTGTACTGCATTGCGAATTCGTTTCTTAGTCTGGAGTTATATATTCGAGTGTTCGAGTGATGTAGCAAACACATTTTCATTTATAGCATTATCTTCTATACACCTCCGCAGGAGTGAAACTACCCGAGTGTACATTTATTGCACTTTTACTTGAGTGGATTTCGCAGAAAGATTCGGTCGGTTTGGCCGAAAATTACAACAATTTGTGGCGTACAATCGAGATCGTGCGATATAATGTTTTGCTATTGTTGGTAACGTACAACCGAAACCCAAAAACCAAATAAGCGGTAACGTAAAAACCGATTGCACGAAATCCGTGAAAACCAATTGACCGGATACAGTTAAAGTACGAGAAGAACCGCAAAATCGGCAAAAAACCGGATCGCCACCAGACTACGTCTATAAGCCGTGCGTTCCCAAGTGAAAAAGGACCGCGTGTTCCGGACGGCCGGAAGGTCGGTTCCAAGGTCGGGAAAAGCAACGCGTCTGAAATCTCAGTGCGGTATTCCAGCGGCAAATATAGAGCGCATTATTATGGAAATCGGTAATCCATATAGCGTGGACCATATGTGTAGGATGCGGGGGAGAGCTAAGGAGATTAAATTTTTACTGCATGTTCATTATCTGGGAAGCTGTGGAAAACAATGACCGGGCTAGAAGAGATTTAGGAAAGGATATAGCCTTTTTAGCCACCCCCTCCCCGAATCCTGTTCCCATTGCGTGGACGTAACTGAACCGGTTGCCCGGGTCTATAGAGTCTGGCCGAAAATAAATGTCTATAAAAATATGAATATTATTGTTCATGGGAAGGTATATGGATGGGAACAATATACTCGTATTTACTAGTCGTCTTGGTCCGTGGAATCCGACAAAAAAAGCGTCTAAAATAATAATATTGTCTATGAGAAAGTGGATGGCAACGAGTTTGCGAAAATTGTGCGTTGTTGTTATTAATTTTCGAATTTTTTTTTTTTTTATAAACACTTAGTTTATATTTATAATTGCCTTTGTTCATTCGCAATAACCTGTTTTGTAAATTCGAAAACATTTTTTTCTTCGCTTATACCACGAAAGTAAATTATTACTCGTTATTTTTATTTTGGCTTTTTTTGCATTAGTACACCACGAAAGCAAATATTGTAGTTTTTATTGTTAATATTTCCTTTTTTTCTATTTAATTTTAAGCAAAAACAATAGTTTTCAATAATTGCACGATATATTTGCTTGTTTTAATAAAATGTTTGTAATTTTTGATAGACGTCATATTTTATTATTAACTACCTACGTGATATTTTAAAAAAAAGAGTATTTTGCTATACTCGAGTATATCTATATGTATACACTCTAAACACCTACTTTGGCTGTCAGCTGAATTCCGATTATCGTACCTATTATACGGGTATACGTACGAGCTCATTTGAATCCGCAAGTCTAGTAAGTACCTATCCCAAAAAAAAAAAATTCTAATAAAAATCGACAGAACATATACACCGATCGTAGAAAACACGTATAAAAATGTTAAGAGTAATAGGATACATGTAAAGGATGATTAAATCTTTGTATCAACAATAAATCACTGTAAACTAAAAACGATTTACTCGGGGGGTGCCAAAGACCCCCTTGCACCCCCGTAGTTGCCGCAATACGAGCTCTTTTTTTCTTTAATGTTTTTTTTTCGATAGATACCTTATTATGGGTTGCGGCCAAATTTTTAAATTTAAATAGAATACAAAGATTCCAATCGATCACCTTGCGCATGGTAACTAAGACGCCTTTTTACGTATCCAACCATACACTTCACACAGACCTAAACATCAAAACTTACTGTTCCAGAAATGTTCTCAATTATGTGTAAACATTGTCGTTCACGACTAGAAAACCAACCTAATCCACTAATTTCAGCACTTGACTTAGACTCCATACCCGATGATCCCCTCAAAAGGGGGCTTAATAGAAGACGGTGTCCTGACCTAAACTTTTAATCCCAATCGAAATTAATAAAAACCAAATAAAAATACATAATACCCATAACATTTTAAATAAATTTAAAGTGTATCCGCTGGGTTACTCCTTTTATCAAGTAATTCACGTCAATTGCTGTTATCATAGAACATATATTCTTACTGTAAAATCAGTTTACAGTGTGTGTATTTAAAAAGAAAGAAAAGAGAAAAGACGATTAATATACGCACACACGTAATATGAAAACTTTTTCGGTCGCTAACGTTGAGTCATTACTGTCGTTATTTCTCGACTAAACAAACGCGAATGTCAAAGCGTTTATTGTAATGGCTTTTTCCCGGTGTGAAAATTCTAATGTACCGTACGGCGGTATCCGCGGCGTCGCGCATCGATACGGCGGAAAAGAAAAATTAAATACAAAACCGACGGATATAAAAATATCTCGCGCGTATTTCGTACGCATACATGCGACCGGCCGTGTGTGTGTGTCCGTAAAACCGTTTTGTCGATCACGCGATAAATCGCCGCAGTTATCGTAACAGGCGGGACGCACGCCGCCGAGACCACTAATTGATATCGAACTGTACGACCGCGTTGAACGTCGAGATCATTACAACACCAACGACAACAATAATAATGATATCGTAATTTATCGATTTGTAATTCGTTCGACGCACCCGCAGCTCCCCTCCGCCTCCCCCCTGTAACTGCCGCCGCCGCCGCCGCCGCCGCCACGTACGAATAGGTACCGTCATGCAGGCGCTATATCCGCGTAACGACGCGCGTTTCGGCCGCGCTCGCGCTGGAGCCCGTACAGTGAACCGACGGCGTTTTCTTCCCGTTTCCGGAGACGGGCGCGAAGAACGCGCGTGATGAATGGTAATAAATTCACATCGGATCGACGTGTGGACCGGTGCACAACACGGTAAATGCGCGCGCCTAACGTACCCCGTGCGGCATGCGCGCGCGCGCGAACACGTAACGCGGCCGATCGACCGCCTTCGATGCGTAAACACGCAATAGCAAACACCGCGGCCGCGACAAATCCCCGGGCGCTTTTTCGGTCGGCAAAATACCGTCGTCCACTCGGCGGCGGCGGCGTTCGACCGGATCACGCGTTGGTTATTCCCGCGGTCGAACGCCGTTTTCGGGTATTGCGCGCCGCGGCGTTATTATCGTACCGTGCCGCGGCCGCCGTCGATTCCCGTTATGACAATGTTATTATCGTTGCGCGGGCGACGGAAATCAACGCCGCGGGTGAGGGGGTGGGGAGGCGCCGTAATAATAATTATTCCGTGGCGTCGTACGATTCGCGCCGGTATTTTTATTGTTACTATTATTATGGGGGTTGGGGGGGGGGGAGCGTGAGTTCGTCGGCGTTTTTTCCAGCCGATCGCGAAACGTAGCCTTCCGAGTGCATAATACTAATTTGAACAATTACGTGACAACGAATTCGTCCGTGAATCTTTTGTTCTCCGTCTCTCCGTCGTTTTATTTTTTTATTTTTACGGCAATAATTTTGAACTTTTTAAATCGTGTTTTCCGCCGTGTTTTAGTTCATTTTCCGGTATTTTCAATCGAATCCGCGTCAATGAACATCTTTACGCGTATATTTTTTCTTTTTGTTTTACACGTGCCGCATAATATACGTCGAATTTATATTTTATACAATTATATTGCACGCAAGCTGTCTATACGGGTTAGGGGATTCGATAAAATACTGGCAATGTTGCAGAGGTCAACTTATTCAACATTCAAATTCGATCGACATTTTTATAATTTTTCTCAAAGAAATTGTTTTTGTTAAACGAATAAATTTGTATGTAAATATAATATACTAATATCAGTAATATCAAATTAAATACAAAAATTAAATTAAAAACCATATCTTATTTTGCATTTTTTGACACTTGAAATGCGTATTTTATCGCATTTTTTGTGCAAGTTTTGCGCATTTTAAAGATTTTTCACCGCATTGAATTCACTACCCTAATTGTTATCGATGGCGCGAGTAATCGTATTCGTTATTCCGATGCGTGTACAGATCCCGCGATCTTGTTTAGCGCCTCGCGAAAAATACAATATTTTACACAAGTAAACAATAATAATAATAAAAACACGGCTAAAATTCTTTGTAAAAAAGTTCTGCGCAAAATTCTGTGCAAGGTGAAAATTACTTCATTATAATGGTCGGTTTGCTATAATATAGCAGCCACATAATGTTATAGTACAATCGCGTATTTTGTTAATAAATCGCATAGTGTTATTGCACCGTGATGCATTCATTATAATATTTATTCGTGCGGTTTACACGGATGTATGCAAATACGACGAAGCATAACAAATCTTAACGAATATCGTTCGATCGGTATTGATTTCGATATTAAGAGGTCCGTTGTACTGCGATTTTCACTCGAAACGTGCCGTACAAGAATACTTCTAGTTTCTCGCAGAGTGATCCGATTATACGGTCATTTTTCGAAAAACTTTCTATAATAATTGTGAAAATTAGTCATATTCAAACTCTATAGAATCGTCGCGTTTACTGCGGCCATTTTCGGAATCCAAGTACAATAATAGGCGCAGTATACTCCGTAAGAAGTTTTCCTAAAAAAAAAAAAAAAAAAAAACCGATAGAAATCCGTCCGACTCTATACGCGGCCGCACGAGTGTTTTGCCCGCGGTAAACTGTAAATCGTGCTTAACAGTGTAAAAAAAAAAAACCAAATAGTTCGTAGGCGTCTAAATAAGTTTGTCGTCATCAATGCGTTTCGCGGTGCGGACAGCGTCTTGGTTTTGGGGCGAGAAAATCGGTTTTGTAGTAAAAAAAAAAAAAAAAAAAAGAAAAAGCAAACGTTAAATTTCCCCTGTCGTCTATTTACGCGCGTGTATACTTTGGTTAGGTTAGGTTAGGTTAGGCCTCCTCGGGGCTGGCCGCAGAAGGTGGAGGGGCTCGGCGTTGCAGAAACTTATCGAATTATCGCATTTATATAAATACACACACACACACACACACACACCCACACACACGATCACTCTGTATATCACATTGCGCGCGGACATACATCATAGCCGCCGTGATTCCCCCGAACGCGAGTGTTCCCCCGACGAGCAACAGTCCGAATCGAATTATACCCCGCGCGTATATCGTACCATTATACGCGTAATACACTGCAGGTACCTGTATTATGTTATTATTATCGTTGTTGTTGTTATTATTATATATCGGTTCGCAACCGCATTGCGTGATCTCCTTGACGGAATAATCGGAGCTGTCCGACATCACCGCAAACAAATGGCCGGTTCTCGTGTTGACGCCGCGCGCGCGCGCGCGCGCACACACACACCGACACACACACACACACACACACTAACACACTAACACGCGCACACCAACACACACGCTTAGGTACCGTGTACCTGTGTGTGCGGGTTTCCCCCCCCCTCACCGTAAATATATTACGGTCAAACTCGCGAATGCCCAGACACAAAAGCCATGCCGTCGTCGTGGTGTGCGGCGGGTATATTGACCCGGTTGAAATGTCGACCGCAGCGAATAAAGCGTAAATATCGGTGTACACGAGTATGATATTACAAGTGTTGTACTCGTATTATGCCGGACACCTACGTACGATGTCGTGTTATTACATTGTATAGTGTCGGAGAGTCAGAATACGATGGTTTTTCACACCGACGTCTGTACCGCGCCGTTCGGTATAGACGAACAGAACAGATGTACGTGACGAGCTGCTTAGCGTTTCCGAACCAAATACCTAAATAATTGTTCCGATGATTCAGCGCGGTCACCAATACGCGATGTTCTGCGATGGGACAGGGCGGCCTTGTTACGAAAAAGAAAAATTCTATTTTATTCGCGTAAGTGCACGAGCCGAGCAGTTTGAGAACCTAGGTTTGAAAACCAGTTTTTGACCTAACCTAGCCTAACATATTTACTTTTTTTAATGTTCGGGTCCAATAAAATGTCTTATAAATTTTAAAAAATCAGGGTTCGTAACATCTCTAATAAATGGCTACAGCCTATAGGTCATAATAGGTTATAATAATATTGTATGTTAATAACGTCGCTTATTACAGGCACTGCGAGTACCGCAGTATACAGTACTCTGTAACCGGGTTGTTTTTTTTGGAAAAATCCGGGAGCGATCGTTTGTGCCGGCTTGTACGGCCTAATGGTCATGTATAGTTAGCACCAAAAACAAAAAAAATGTACGTCCGTTTTTAAACGGGGTGACGGGGACGTGCCTATATGAGGTTCTGAAAAAATCGTCACCATTTGATTGACCTACGTTAGTACCGGTAAAAACGGTATTATTCAAATGATTAAAACTCGCCGAGTTATACACGCGGGTAATGTTTAATTAATAAGCATATATTATGTTGCACCGATAATGCGTGTTTTAAAATATGTATTCTTTTTCTTCACAATGCAACTATTGTTGTTCGTTATTCATATTATTAATTTTTATTTCGCTGGATAAAAATGCAATACATAAAATACAATAATAATGATAATAATAATTTATAACTGAACAATGATAAATATCATATTGAATTTTGAAAAGAAAATTAACAATTTACTAGATTCGATGACGAGAGAGGAATTGTTATGAAAATAAACGTAGTAAAGGAAAGAGGAGGAGAGGAAGATCGAAAAAGAGGTGGTGTATGTGAGGTGGGAGATCTTGTCAAATTTTGGACGAGGTCGGCTGACCTCAAATAGTTAGCGATGAAGGTGTAGGAGAATTGATGACAAATACTTTTTTCGAAAATACCATTCTTTGCAGAGAAAGACGTGTCACCCCTCCGTTCCAGTAAAAGTAATTAGTAAGGGGACGTTAAAATGAAAAAGGAAAATAGTAAAGGAGCTCCGATTACCTACGCCCCCCTCCTTTTCAAATTCAAGTACTAACTATGTATAATATTATATTATTTTATATACAATTAAACAACGTTTATTGAACTTGTTAAATTTTTACTGTTATTATTTCCAGTATATAAAATGATACAATTTCGTTTTTTTTCCTAACAAGTTCAAAAGACGCTTTTTTTATGGTACAATGCGATGCATAAAATAAAGAAACTCATTTTTCACCACACCAATGATTAAATTGCAAGCGAGAAAGATAATTATAGTGTCTTCAAAACTTTTAAATTAAGTTGATTTTTTATCGGTATTATTTTTGTTAAAACACTTTTCTTGATCTGCAGACTGCATTTTTCATTCAGCTATGTTTTCCGTCTGAATACAGTTTATCGTCACTTTTATTTTTAACCCAAGTGCAATTCGACTAAAATTATTCCAATTCGACCTTACTCTCCGTACAATGTTTCATAATAAAACCAAGCAACCCGACATGTCTCAGTGTCCACGTCCTATTTCCACTCGTGTATTTTTTTTTCGATACTTTTAGATTCGGAGCGTAGCGGATATGATGATGTATTGGTTTTACAATTATGTTTATTTTCTTCATCTGTGAACAACTTTTCTATCAGAAATCTTGTTCCGATTTCCAAGTGTAGTACATTTTCCGAAAGGACATTTTATCTGGGAGGCTATTTTTCAGATTTTTCCAGAGGTTTTCATAACAATTTGGGAAAACCGGGAAAAATGTAGGTAAAACAGGATAATTTACGTACACGTAGAAAAAAAAAACTTCGCTCCGCAACGTTTTCCGTTATTAGCCCTGGTTGCGTACGTACATAAACTAAATTCCCTTTTATATCCCTTGTACCTTCTATGACCTACCTTCCCAACTTCTCGCTTACAACAGCGCGAGCGACCCATCCGTCGCGCGAAAAGTACGTCCGTCCTTTTTATATAACACTGAGCTCTCGTGTCCCTGACAATATTTATTCCGACACTTCTCCGTCAGTCGTTTTTTCCTGCGTATCACGTCACAACCGCATTCCGCGCAGTATAACACCGTACCTCAAAAGGTTCGTCTGTTTTTCGGATAAACTTTCCAATGTATTCATACGGTATAGTCTATTCGTCTTCGTCAATTATCGGACGTCGTTCTTCCACGTCTGCGGGCCGCCGCACCGCGTATTTATCGCCGCGTAAAATATTATATAATGACGCGATGCACACATTGTAAAAATGTTAAAAAGAAAAAAAAAAACGAACGGTACGCGCGTACGTAGGTACATTGTGCATTTTGTTATTATACACGGGTTGTGTATTTTTAACACAAACAACACCGCGGCGGACGTGACCGCGCGTAGAACACGTCCCGTCGCGGGTCACGATTGGCCTCAACCGACCGATCGGATCGATATTATATCGGTAACCTACGCGCGTACAGATAATAATGATTTTTTTTCCCATTTCTTTTTTTTCCTCCTATAAAGAATATATCACTGATTTATCGACGTTAAGATAATCGCGTACGACGACGATGACGACGACGACGGCGACGACTAACCTCCGTCCATCGTTCCCATGGTATCGTTTTATAATAATATTACATTATTACCACCGATACGTACCTATACTATATATTCTGGTACTTACCATTGTATACCGTCGTCTCGTACGACGTAGTATCGTAGGTATATATATATATATAGGTACCCTTATTACCTTTCGGGCATCGCGTACCTCATGATGCGTATATTATCATAACACGAGAGTGCGACGTCGTATACGTCCTGACGGGGTCGTGAGCTCCGCAGACGCGGTTTTTTTCCCATTATTTTTTTTTTTCTTTTTTTTTAATATATCGTAAAATTATCCTAATTTCACCGCGCGATAGAACAATAGGAAATCGGTTTGGTATTTTTGTCACGACTATAATTATCATTATTATCATTATCGCGCAAGGGACCCTGCTCGCGTGTAATACGTCCTATCTCCGTGCGTCGTATATATAATACGTATGTAGGTATACCTCTCTGAAGTATACATATATATATACATATATATATATATAGGTGCATCATACGGCTTAGTATTATAATATTATGTTAAATATGATTTTTTTTTTTTTTTTATGTCCAGCATTATAATATAATACGCCGCCGCACGCGGGTAAAATCTCGAAATAATGTAACGAGGCTGAATTATGAATACAATGGACGCGTTTTTTGTCGCACGTCGTCGCCAAAATACGGTTTTTTTTTTTTTTTTTGATACATTACATGACGCATATAGGCACTCGGAATTATTCATAGACTCTGATTATTATATATTATGTCGTGATTATCGTGTTGCGTTATAATGTATGTATAATGAAAGTATAATAATATAATTTAATATTAATAATTCGTATACGTACATATATATTTGTTCGAAACAATAATGTTTGTGCGCTGCGAGTCTATATAGGTACCTAAATATGCGTCATCCGCGACGTGGGTCTGCCGTGGCGGTGTTTAAAATAATGATAATTATTTGAATATTTAATACACGTGTATTAAATAAAGGTATTGCACTTTTTACAACAATCGAGCGCGTCAAGGCTGTTTTTTTTTGATATCGTTATTGTATCGCAATAAAAAAAAAAAAAAAATAGCAATTGTAATGCGCGTTTATGGGTATTCGTACCGTACGCGCCGTGGACTTATTGATCACGACTGCGGATTTTTGATGTATACAAAAGCGGGTGGTTTCCAGTTTATACTAAGGAAAATTACTATCGAATAAAATACGTCAACAATGACGCGCAGATATACGTATTTTAAAGGTTCAATATCGCAATTAAATTATTATAATGTACGATGCAGTAGCGTGATGGGAGAACAAAAATATTTTCAAATACAATTCGGAAGCCTTATTTGTATTTTATTGTAAATGTACACAGATTCGTTGTCGAACACACGGACATAATAATATAAGACTCCGCGTTATATATATTACTGTATGTATATGGATACGTGTAGGAAGCAGGTGCTTTTACGAAAATAATTTCGGGGTGAGTTTAAGAGTATGAAAGTTCATACTCTTATAACAAAGAAGTTTACATACTTGAAATTTTAGGATTATTTATCTTCCATTAAAAATGTAAATATTTTATAACATTCATTTTTAGCTATTTACATAGTTACCTATTGGCTATTACTAGATTTTACGTTTAATATTTTTTTTTTTTTAGTGATTACGGCATAAATGATGATAACGTAATTCATATTATTGTGATGATAATGCGGAATATGCGGTATCGCTGTTTATCAGTTATAATTTTCTAAACGCAGGAAACCACAAACAATTAGAAATCACAATATAATAATAATATACACATATACTATCTAGTATTAAAATAAAAATAAAACCAGAATCGTATTTTTCTTTCCCATTGTCAGAAACCACTTTTGAGACTCTATTCAAAATCTACTTTCATCATAATTTTCATGAAATTTCGGGTTGGGGTTTAACCCCTGACCCCCGTATACACGCGACTGGTAGAAACCATTACTATTTTGTGTGACAATTTAAAAATATTTAAGTATTATTTATATCATATGGACGTACGATTTGTACATACACGAATTGTTTTTTGAAGTCGTTTAGGACGTATTATTTGTTCAAAATAAATACTACCTATATACATATTCGTATAGTGCTTCGTACCTATATTAGATATTTATGAACCTCGAAGGGGTGTACAATTTGGTAATAATTTTGTGTTTTTATTTCGTGCGGATACCTGTTACTGAGGTTCTCTAAAAGTACTGAACTTTATATCATTCGAAAACATTATAGCTCTTGCACACAACCCTGCAGGTGAATCGGTAATGTAATATCATATAATAATTCAGTTAGACGGCGTGTGTATTAAACTCGAACATTATGTTTTGTGTGCTAGTCAAACAGACAAACGCGAATACATAAAATATCCAAGTTTATGTGTATATAATTTTATCTAAATCGAATACAAAACGCATTCATCAACAGCGCTATCCAATTAAAAGTATAATGTAACCCAGCTATCACTGAAAACAAAAAAAAAAACCAGTATATTTTTCCGACGAAAAAGGCGGTTTTAATTAAAATATGTTTCAATTAAAGTAAGAGCGCGTATATTGTATAATATATATACCCCGGAAAACAGTCGTATAAATAACACAATATTGTTTGGCGTTTTGAAGGGGGACAGTCGGGTGTATAGTAGCGGTGAAATACACATAAAGGCGTTCGGCCGACACACACAAACATATTATAAAATCGACCGCGAAATGTCTTTTTTTTTTTTTTTCGTTTTGTTTTATGAGTTTTGAAAGGGGCGCCGACTGGCGCCGCCGCTGTATGATGGGTAAGCCGCACAGGTAATATCTATACGAAATTAAAAAAACGAAAAAAAAAAAAAATAATATTGCCTCTGATGCCGCTGCAGAAGGCCGGTCTAATTTGTGTGAGCGGCTTGTCAAAAAAAAAAAAAAAAAAAAACGTAATAATGTATTATAACAGGTGTAAAGTTATGAAAAAAAACACTCACTATATAGTCTGGTTTCGAGAATGCCAATTCACACAACATAAAATGTTCGACTGATGCAGTAGGTATATATAACTACTTACCTATTATATTATTTTCTGTATACATTAATTTTCGGTCGAAATGTATTAGTCGATTTCAGCACGTGCGTATACAGTTAAAAAAAAAATTTTAAAAAATGTTATATAAATCACAATATTTTATGGTGTAGGCAATAAAATATTATTATAGTTTTAAAATTCGTTTGATTTGTGTTTTTTTTTTTTTCTGTCATTTTAAATAATTATATATTTCCTATAACGGATATTTCAACAGCTTATAATTTTTAATAATTAATCACGATATTATTAAAATACGATTAGGAAAAAAAACAATATGCATTTTTTGTTTATTATTATAAGTTTATAGGTATTAGTGATATTATAATACGTGTTTGTAAAATTATATACATGTTGTTTAATTTTAAACTGTAACCCATCGCATGTGGTTTTTCCAGTGTATTATACCTACCAATTTAAACATGTGTTTACTGTAATCTTGTAAGTTACCTATATTTATAACAAGTTGTTATTTTATTGTTTATTGCCTTATTTTAAATTGCAATTTTAACCATTTATTTTTTTTATGTCAACGGTTTGTGTGATAACGTTTTCATTCATGTAGTTTTAATGTGCTGTGTCATTGTTGGATGTAAACATTATCAATAGTCAAAACACTTATGTCTCATAACGATAACAATCATAAACTCATAACAGTACCTACATAATCATTGTTATTATGTACTTATTATCAATTATATTAGATTCAAGCATTGATAACTAACAATATAAATAGTTGTGATGCAGTGAAACCAACCAAACAACCATTTAAAAAATAATTTATAATGTTAAGAAAATTATATTAAAATTAAAATTTCCAAAGAAAGTTGAAAATATTCAAGCTTACATCTCTAATTTTCGTGTTTTTCCTACGCTTTTTCCCGATTTTTGACATTTATTGGGAAAATCAAAATATGACCCCTATAAAGCACCTCTCCAGTCAGATTTCCTTTTAGAAAAAGTACCTATCATTGAAAACCAGAGAAAAAATTCCGATAGAAAAGTTTTCCACAAAAAAACAAATAAATAAACATGTTTATAAAATCAATATATTCCTCACTCCATTCAGAATCTAAAAAAAGCTGATATTGAGGACGGGTGTGCCACTCTTGTGAGTGAGAAGCTTGGAAGGTGGTTACGTGGAGGTATTTAATTTATATCTGTAAGCAATGATAAACCAATGTTAACAAAAAACGATTCAGAGACAAGTTTAGTGGTACATATTTTAAAAAGTCATACAATTTACAATTTTTGTCGAAATGTGATTTTAAAACTGTTATTAAAAAAAAAATAATATTACATAACAATCAATATTTTTTTTTACCACTAAGTTCAACTTATAATGAACTGCATGTCAAATGGTCAAGCATTTTTATCTAGCTTAACAATTTTGTCCATAGAAGTATCTGTCAAATAAAAATTACGTAAAAACTCGACAAATTAAAATATCTTTAAATTGCATAAAAATGGCTCAAATGATTTGAACATTTTACCACGTCTATTTAAGGCAAATATAAGTTTTCCGTCAAAATGTCAAGTCTTTAGAATATTTTAAATTTAAATACAACAAAAAGACAAAATAATAAAATAATTTGGTATAACTGGTATGAACGATATATTATATTATATTAACAAACAACAATATCTCTCTTTTAAATGGATAGATGTTTTATACAAAAAGTGGGGTGCTGGTGTAACGTTACATTAGCATTACTGCAGTAAATATCGATTTTCACGGGTTCTGAGTGGTGTACAAATTCGAAATTTGAGATTACAAATGTGTATAAATAGAATAAAAATTGTTGGTGCAATTTTTTTAACCGAATTCTAACTTGAGGGTGCTAATGTAATTGACTTTGGTTTTCCCCAAAACAAATTGGGGTTTATTTTCGATTAAAATTTAAGAATCGAGCAAATATGCGACGGGCCGTATATATTACATCGGGAACTGTCACAGATTTCTATCATTCTAGCATGCAAATAACTTACTCGAATATTATTTTCTTGATTTATACTGCCTCCATCTTTAGACACGCATATTCGAAAAATTGCTACAATTCAAATTAGGTGTTAATTAGGTAAATTATACATTTTCTATCGACAATCGCGAATTAAACGTGTAATAAATAATTTTTATGTCTATATTATACAGTGTTAAAATGTAATAAGTGGTGTGTAGAGGAAATGTTAGTATATTACTCGCGTATATAGTATATTTAGGACGTAGGTATATTGCAATAACCATTTAGATTTTATATTAAAAATTAAAAATTTTAATGTGGTTAAAACGAGATTATTGCAGAATGTAATATACGTACTTAATTTTATAACCTTGCAGAAGTAATTTGACGAGAGTTTATTAAAAATCTAATAAAATATAAACACAAAAAAAAAAAAAAAAAAATGCATGGTATGTGCTCATTCGTTTATAATTATACCACATTTTCTGCTGTTTTAAGTGTTTTAAGTAATATCAGTTAATTCGAATTAATTTAACATTCGTTTATATAATTATGCATACCTAGTGTACTTGTATTATTATATTAACAGGTTATTTATTTTATCTATATCGCTAAATATTGTAATGTGTATAAAACGGACAAATTCGAAAATAGTTAAACAGAATATTATTATACGATGAGTACCCATTCTATATGTATATATAGTTCTTGTTTAGATATTTATAGTTTACGTGCTGTTTTTTTTTTTAATCTTTGTAACGATGTCTTAAAGATTTATGTACACAGCGTAATAAAGTGTAGGTAAGACAAAAGTAAAAAAGAAAAAAAAGAAAAGAATAATAAAAATAAAATAATATATGGAGTATTAAACCCCCAGTCCTTTTCAATACTGTTTCAAATTATAGAAAGGTAGACAATGAAACCGAATCGCGTTTCCACTTCGGGCCATAAATTTGGCAGCGGAAAGATTTATACGTTTCGTGTATAATGCCATAAGATGCTGAGCGGTGTTTTTTCGCTACACACAAAGGGCCGCGCTCTTCATCACATAACTAAATAGTTTTCAATTTAGATTCAACTGTATAGGTATACTGCAGGTATCGTATACCTATACATAATGACTTACTGTATATAACCTATAGTATAGAAGTCGCGAGAGAAAATCCGTATCGATAGGTTTTTTTTTTTTTTTTAATTAAATAATAACATAATATATTAAAAAACGTACCGAATACGTGAACAAAATGTAAGTAAAAAAAAAAGTCTTACTATTACTCAATAAAATATCAAACATTGGCTGTACCCGATGATGAGGATTTTTTACATACATTACATTATAATCTATTAATCTATAAATATATATATATATATATATATATTATATTATAATAATCCAAGCTCAGTTTTTTATTTCCTAGGCACGTACATTACATTTATTTTTGTTTAAAAAATAAAATTATACTTGTTCTTGCCAATAAGTACCTAAAATATTAAATATAATACGTTAGAATCTCGTTAGAATCGATCAATATTATATAAAATCGAAAAAAGAAAACCGCGGATATAAATCTTCGAGTTTAGATATAGGTGTGTGTATACCTACTGTGGTATAATGTCGTAATAATTGTAATACATTATTACTATAACCATTAACCCGCAGTGTTAACTATAATTATAATCGTATAGGTGATTAAACGTAACGTACGTTAGGTACGTACCTAATACAAGAAAATTGATTTTAAAATACACAATGCAATCGGCGATCCGCGCATTTAAATTTGGAACATTATTATGTTCGTCTATATCGTTAAAAGTGATTTAATATATTATTATTATGCCCATCATTCATTTGTGTTGTTTCTGGCGTCTGTCCTGCATGTTTTATAACAATAATTATATTCATTACGACGTGATATTAGCGTGTAAACACCGAGGCGTGCAATTGCAGTGTTACCTACGTTGAAAATCATCAGATAACAATATTAATATATTTATATTTTAAAACATTCCTCCTCCCATATGCGAGAATAATAATTATATCCTGCAAATTACGATGAATTTATAAATCATATATACGCTAATTATGTATATACATGTGTGTGTGTGTGTGTGTGTGTGTAAACAATATTAATAAAATTTAAAATACACCTTTTTTTTTTTATACAAGTACTTAATTAAGAGGACTTTACACATTCTCCCGATCTCCGTAGTTTTACAAACGCGCGACGCATAGCAAATCTGTTTGAAAATTTTGTTAACAATATTCAATGTTTTCTTCTTCTTGGAATTTCTATTTGTTTAGGACGTCGGAAATCGCAATAAATATTTTTTCTTTGTCGTTTGATGAACGAAGTAATTAACTTGATGTTTTGCCAGCGGGGGCAGAATCAGGACAAAATAACGGGGAGTAGGTGATTTTGAAAATGCATATAAGGCACACGTTTATGAAAATGAAGCTAAAAGCATTATAAGGGAAATGAACAAGGGGAGGGGGCGATAGCCTTGGCAGCCAGCATTTGCGCCGTTAGTTTTAATAATAGAGTGAATCGTGACCTAATATTACCAAATTTAACGGTAACATTCCTGTGCTTCTAAACGTTCCCATGCAGGTTTTTTTCTCGTTGTTTAAATATTTAAGTGAAATATATCCAAACACTCATAATATCTCGATTGAAAATTTAAATTAGTTATCGGAAAAAAACAACGTTGGGTCACAGATAATTTTCTTACCTTTACGTTTAGTAATTGGTCGATTTACTGTAATATTAAAACTAACGAAACAATATATTTATCCTACTGAACGCAAATTTGGTATAAATATTTGGTATATTTGGGCATTATTACATTCAGATAGGGTCTTCTAAAAATGTTATAGTAAGTTAATATAGTAATACCGATTATTTGTAGGTAGAGAAATTAATATTCTCGTTTATATTGTCTGGATATTATATTAGGTATAAGCGTGAAGTGACGAGAGAAGATATACGGTAAGGAATGAGTGTGTAAAAGGTAGCTTATTAGACGTGGCTTTGATAGTAGACAAAATGAGAAAAAATAGACTGAGATGGTTTGATTATGTCATGAGAAGAGAGGAATCAGAAGCAGTAAGAATTCCAATGAAAATAAACGTAGCATAAAATGGGGGAGTAGAAGACCAAGAAAGAGGTAGTTGGATGCGATTGTGAATGATATATGGACGACGAATGTACGCGAGGACGGTGGAGGGATCGGTCAGATTGAATCAAGTGGAAGTTTAGGATCAAACCACGAAGGTGGCTGACCCAAAATATTTAGGATGAAGGAGAAGGAGAAGAAGAAGTTATTCGTTGTTTATATTATCTGTACCTATGTAAAGCTAATTGATTGATTACTTAAACTAGAATAAATTGTACCTATGACAAAAGTAAACTAGGTACGTGAAATAAAAATTATATTTAATCAAATTATTGATTAATGACAGTTTTTTAGATGGTCGTCATGAACTACAACATTTATTTAATTAATTTTTAATATATCTACGCGAAGCATTGATCGAAAAATTGTCATCATTTTCCATTTATGACAATTTTTCGACTATTAATATTGTGCTGGTTAGTGGTTATATTACAATAAAAAGAACCGCTGACTTTTTTTATATAGATAATTTACTAGTGGTTGAAACGAAAACTTCATATTTTCGACTATATTATAATTTTTCACAATTAATCGACGAACATTCATATAAATGTATAATATTGTATTTATTTCATCTTTATGTACTAATAAAATAAATACAAGTCACCCTCATACATTAAAAAAAAAAAAAAAAATGATACTTTGTTAACGTTTTAATTTGAACGTCCACCTACATAATATATATTATGTATATTATTATATACTCACCCTTAACAAACATCTATAATGACTGCGGCCATTAAATGGGTCTGGAGCAATAATTTATGTATACAGGGTGATTCTTTTATGAAGATCCGTTACTATTATTATGAGGGCTGTGAACTTAATGCACTATAAAACCTTAAAAATGCATTTAAAATCTTTGAAAATGTTAAAATACTAAACGACAATACCTAAATAATCTAATCGTCTATAGATTAACTAATAAGGTACCTTTGGAAATTCGTTACGGATAAGTCGCAATTAACGACTGCGATTAGCCTTATCGAATTGAATCGTGGCAAATAAAACTTACTTACATTCATACTCGTATATAACTTGCGTAAATTATTTCAAAACAAGTTATTTCATTTATGTCTGTAAGCAATTATAAACCATTACTACCGAAATACGATTCTGAATGAAACTCGGTTAAACACGTTTTTAATAAAACGTGATTTTTTACGACTTTAATCAAAATTTTAATTTGAAATGTTTATGCAAAAAAAAACCATTCTATAATCGTGTTCTTTAATTTTTATCTTATTATAGAGTTCTTTAAGTTTAAACATATTTCTTTCTAGATAAAACGATTTTTTGATACAAAGTTTTTATTACGTTTAAAAACGCTTAATTTAATAGTTCAAGTAACAATTGAAAAAATATGCCTATAAATCAATATTAAAATCTTCGTTTTAATCAAAATCTAAAACACAAATCAAATATACTCAAAATCCTCCGAGAAAATCTCTGGATTATGGTATAAGAGTTACTCTGTATATATATATATGAGTGTGCAAGTTTATTTATTTAATACGTACGTGCGTTTAAAACGATACATGCAGTATATACGTATTATATGTCTTAACAGAGTTTGGTCGTTTGATTTACACAACTTACAACGTTTGCAAAAATTAGAGGGACGTAATATTCTGACCGATCCCCGTGGCTACTGGCCGAACAAAGGCAACAGAGAGAGAGGTGAGTGAGTGAAAGAGAGAGAGAGAAATGGAAATGGGGAGAGAAAATAAGAAAAATAAGGAGTGCCGGATGTATTAAACGACGACCGGCGTTTCGTGTAATGCGGGCTAGCAGGCACTTTTCCCAAGAGAGCTTTTGCCGATAATAACATCCGGAGGTCAACCGTTTTCCCTCACACCCGCAACCTTATATTATATATAATATATCCCCCTAATGGACCATTGAAAATCCAACTATTTTAACCCACTCTGTCGTCGGATTTCTCGCCACCGTCGCCCTCGTGTGTTCGCACGACGTATAGATTGGGGACAAAGCGGCTACACGAACCGTAAACACGCACGCCGCATTCGAATTCCTGCAGCGCACAGCAAACACAAACCGATCGTGATCTGTTGTAAGGACGATTGCGGATGGCTTAAAAAGACAAAAGGGCAACTTTTGGTACGAATAATGTATTGATTAATATGCATTATTATTAAATTCGCGATAACTATTGCGAGTATAGGTGCGTAATTGAACGATTTCAAAAAAAAGTCAATTTGAAAGTCACTTGAAATGTATTCATGTTCATATTTTGATGAATTTATTCCCGTATATAAATGTGTAATAATAATTGTAAAATAGTAAATGTATACGGATTTTTTTTCGTGTTATCAGAATTGATGTCTACTGGCCTGCAAGTCGGTGCAAATACTGAACAACTTACACTATCTACGAACAAACATATTTTTTAACAGTGTTGTGTTTTCTTATTGTACTTGTACTTTCCGATAGTTGTTTTTTCACTAGTCTTGTAAAAAAACACGGTTTTATCGTGGCGTGCCAAATTAATAAATACAGAATTTGGTTTTATCTGCTACACCTATTATACAGTACCTCTTTACAATATATGTACAACAGTAAAAGTTGTTTGAGAAACACACACTTAATAACAATCCTAACAATAATTAAAAAGCACACAGAGAGTCGGACATTTACTCCGTACCGTGAGTAGGTATCACTTCCATTACTGTCGTAGATAGAAAGTTTTAGAATGAATACATATAATTACAGTGACATTTGTTACTAATTTAGTTTAAAGACTGAAAGAAACTGATAAATGATCGCCATCGAAAACCGATTCCGAGAGGAATTCGGTAAACCGGTAACTTTAGCTAACGTATTGGCAATATATAAGCTACGTATTTCATATTAAACGCTCATATGTTATTATATAATTATATTATTCGACAACGTTCTATATCGAAAGGTAAATTTAGAGAAAAAAATAAAATTACTTGTAGGTTGACGCCGCGAAAACGTAGTCTAACAACCCGCAGCGCCTATATTATTATATATTCAGTGCAGTGTACACGACTCCGGTATTATAAATAATATACATTATAATGTAATAGGTATAATATAAGAAATAATATTGTGTGCACGCCGAATGTATAGTATGAAATATAATATTTCGTTTGAAAATTCAAATTAACAGCAAATCGATTTTTTTTCTCGCGTTTAAAATGTCTAATCTATGTCTACATAATACACCGCGTCTTTGATAATAATAATTATTATTGCGCGAACATCACACCGGGGTTAGTGTATATTATAATATTAGATATAGGTACACCTATATGTGTGTAATATTCGACAACGACGGCCATATTAAATTGTCTATAAACCGTATAGCCAGCCGTACTCTATAGGTACCTCTATACGTACGTTCTCAATATTGCTTAATATAATATTTTATACATATTATATACTTAATAACTAGATCCATTATACAACCGAAATTATTTCCTTTTTTGTACACATAATATCCACGTGTATACCAGCTAATACGCGTTTCGATCCTCGTATATATTTAATATACGCACTGTATATTGTACAATATAATATGGCGTATTACCCCGCGTCTAACGGTTTTTGAGAGTTTATAATAATCGAGACGATTTGCGTATACCTACCTGTATACATAATTACTGTATATACCCGCGATGCTATTATATCATACTATGATATGGATAGCGGGTACCTATATCTTTATCAATCTAAAAACAACTATTTCGTTTATAACGTTATCGACATCATCGCGTTAAACGGGCCGATCGTTTTGAACGGTTTCGATTAAAAAAAAAAAAAAAAGAGAAGGCAGATATACTGCTGATGGGTGTGCCACTGTTTTTTTAGTTGGAGATAAATTTGAACGGAGATTATATTACATAGAATAATTTAATTCATATCTGTACGCAACCGTTGTTATCAGTAATTTTCAACGAAAAAGGTCGCCGAGTTAACCTACATAGACATTAATACAAATTATATAAAAAAACTGCTAGTTTTTCTCATAAAAATACCAGGAAAATCAAAATCTTCTCCAACGCACCAACTAGATCAAAAATGTCACAAGACAGTTCTTATACAATTTTTGATTCGAGCAAGATTTATGGTAGTAAAGTTGTTTAAAGACGCGTTAAAAAAAAAATAATATACGTATCGTAAAAAACTACTTTAAAACTGCTTCGCTTAGAATTTAAAATGTATTTAAAAATAGGTACGAAATATATAGGCAGTACGTATAATATTAAGAGTTATTAAGAGTAATAGTATTTATTTTTATATACAAAGTGAATATTACCATCCTAACGTTACTTATATAATATTAAATTATTACAACGTATACATTTTTTCGCAATAGGTACCGAATAGAAATTAAATAAGCCAATCGAAAAATTCGTAGAAAAAAAGAACCCGGTGGGTTTCGAAAAAAAAATGCACGTAACTGTAATTGCAATGGTCCTCTTGTAATTTTAACCTTTAAGCGGTCGAATACTAATGTAGAACTAATAGGTTAACAAATATTCTATGTATTTTTTTTACGACGATGTTGATTTCCGTGTTATAATTTAAGTACAGGTATACACCAGTATAATTTGTTTATCATGAATTATTGTACCTATCATTATTATGATACATTTTTAATAATTTTCCCTACTACGCCTCCTGTTTAAATAATTCTAAATTGCGATTTTATAACTCATAAACTGTAAGTTTAGTGTTATGCATGTATAAAAAAAACCTATTATTTTTCAAATCTGTGTTGAAAACAGAGGACGGACTCCTATTTAAAATTCAAAAATCAATACTTATAATTTAAAGTACGAGGAGTAGGGATACGAATTTTAAAAGATAGCGTTAAACTAAAGCTTATACAATTCTATAACTATTGAAAAAAATAAATAGAAATACAATATATTAATTAAATCTTCCAAAAGGATCTATCGATTTTACCATATGATGTGTTTTTTTTTTAAATTTTTACCACCAATATATAATTATAATGTAATGTTCTGAACTACTTTAAACAGTAATTATTTTGTACTATTTATTATTATATTAGAATGTATGGTTATGTGGAATTAAAAACAAAAAGTTTCATACTGAACCGTAAATGAATTTAAAACAAAAAAAAAAGTTTGTAATATTTTGCATTTATATATGTATTTATTTATTTATTCTTTTGGGCGTTAGTATGTAAAACTTAGTATTAAAATACGTATAGCCGTGTATATACTGTATATATTATACGTATATATATAAGTAATATTAGAAAGAAAAGAGAGAGAGCTTTTATTACTCCGACATAAAATTTTATGAAACTGTAAACGCATTAAACAGAATAAGTTACATTTTTTTTTTTTTTTTTTTTTTTTTATGTCCCTATATATATATTTTTTGAAGATTTTTATATGTACGAACCCTCGAAAATGCCGCTCTCTTCCGCCATGATGTTAAACGGTGTGAAATAAACCAGAACGAGATTTTAGTGTTATTATATTTACTTAGTACTTGTTGGGGGGCGAGGGACTTTTTTCATTCTTTCTTTATATAGTAATTTAAGCGAAAACATTACGACTCTTTTTGACATAAAATGTGTTCCGGACTTTCGACATCTTTTACATCGCCACGTACCGTATCACTATTATATCGTATACACTGTATTATATTATATTATACGAATAATAAACCGAATGTATAATATAATATTGCGCTATGGATTTATAAAAAAAAAAGTCTGTATTTCGACAATAAGTAGTTGATAATAATAATAACAATAATAAAGAAGCGATTAACAATAAATATACGGGACACAATATAATAGTTAGGAGTATAAAATTATGACAGAGATATTGCGTATGAAGTTTCCAGTAGCTTCGAAATACCACAGGTGCTATTATAATATATTGTAATAATTTACATTATTATAAAAGAAAAAAAAATACCATAAATGAAAGCAATTATCTTTCACTCAATTTACACGATATCCAATATTTTTATTATTATTATTTTCATAATATCAATTTTTTAAATAACCTACACAAGGTCCTTTTAAACATTTACCTAATGGTTTACAGAAAAAAAAAATTAAGAACATAAATGAATCTAATTTAAAAAAAAAAAAAATAAATAGTAATAATAATGAAATTAAACGAGATATCGTAATTACCTTCGTGTGTTGCATGTTTGTTTTCAGATATTTTCCTCTCTTTTGTGTACATCCGTCGACCTTGAAGGGGTCGAGGATAACCAGTTCCCATAGACTCGTGATCCATTTTTTTTTTATTCGGTCCCTAAAAACATTTTTCGTCTACCTGACGTGCGATAAGAATTATTATTTTTTGTTTATTGACAACTACGTTTCGGTTGTTTCCGATAATTATATTATAGTACATATACGGAGGCGTGTTGAAGTACATTTGCCTCATGACTAAAATGGGTGGGTAAGTGGGTGACCAAATATGTTGAATGTTGATTGAGATTGACTAGTTCAAAGATCAGATATACTTTAAGTTCTGTGCATTATAATAGTATATCTACTTACGAGTATGATAGCCTATATATTATGCAGTCAATACAGCTAAATAAAGATTTTGCTGTAATTATTTATAGGACATCCATAGTAAAATCCATGTTTTGATTACATGGATCATAATTTTTTTGTTTCGCCTCAAACATGAAAAATGTTCAGCACGCCACTGAGTACATACATAAAATATAAAAATAACATTTGGCTATAGTATATAGTAGTATAGTAAATTATTATTGTCCGCCGAGTACTGACCCATAGGTTCTCAGGTTTTTATTCCGGTAAATAACACTGAGATTAATAATACAACATGTGCCTACGAGCGAGCTATTTTTTTTTTAACGTTTTATACGCAATTTTCCGTTGAAAGAGTTAACAATCTGGTCGATGATTCACCCGAAGCAAATATTATATTATATACCTACTTCAGACAAGAATCGAAACACGGGTTTTATTATTTTTATTATTATATTATTCACCAACAATATAATATATATATATACTAATATACCTTTATAAAATATTATGGTTTTAATATTATCATAATAATTCCACGCTTCGGGCGGTGGTAAATATTATTTTGTGGTGTTTTTTTTTTTTTTTTTTGACGGGAACCCTATACCTACACCTGGTATTGTAAATCAAAAATACCGGACAGCAAAATTTGTCAAAAACGAAAAAAAAATAATAAACTGCCAACACGACGGTCTCGTTTAATATACCAGCCAATATACCAATTTACTCGTTGTTACATTGTTTATATTATCGTGTTACCCGATTCCCGATTTAGGTATACTTAGCTAATACCTAGCTGGTCTACGGTATTATCTTGTAATTTACATTTTCAATGCGCACTACTTTTCAACATAATTTCGAGGTTTTTTTTTTTTAGTTTTGTATAAAGTATCTTAAAAAATTAAGAATTTTATTATACCTACATCTATGTATTTATAAGTACTATACACATATTTTACCATATATTACGGGTAGATATCTAGACAAAATATTTAGTTCAATAATTTATGAGTTTTTTTTAATTTCTTAGCGCGTATTTAAGTACCGTCTATACTATATTATAATAACAGTTCACGATAGAATATCGCGCGAACATTTATTATTATTATTATTATTATTATATTATGATTAAGTACTTTTTTTTTATATTATTATTATTATTATTATTATTTTTTTTAAATAAACCGGCAACACTGTTAATTATTTTGCTATATGAACTTAGACCGAGAAAATACACATTCACACATACAAATTTATTTTATACACAGATACCATGGTACCTCGTACATGTAAACTGCAGCATATTGTATATTTATATATATATATATATATTATTCCTCAATTCCTCATGTAGACGTGCTCCGTTAGATAATTATAGGTTGTACGCGGCCACAGAAAATGTTCACCCAATCTTTGGCCGTGAGAAGAGAGAGGAGACTTTTTTTTTTCTGTATTCGATCGTATATATATATGTATATATAAGGTATAGACAAATATTTTATCACACAGACTTATTTATAATGGTCGCAGAGTTTTGTTTTGTTTTATTATTATTATTATTTTTAAATTAATGTTAAAACCGTACATACCTTTAGTGATCGGAATATAAGCGCATGGAAGTATGCAAGATCGGTATAGTGGGCACTGTGTACTATATATTGTTGTATTACTGAAGTACCTATGTACTGGCTATATTGGTAATATTTCGTTTTAAAAAAAATACTCGTTTTTATATGTATATATATGTAATGTATACAGGATCAAAACAAAAAAAAAATTTGGTTTTCACACAAGCGATGTCGAAAGGAATTATAATTTTTTACTACGTGTATATAGATAACATCGCGTATGTTTCATTTTACTAATATTATTTTGTACATGTTTAGTACAACATTATACATTTGTATATTATATTCTAACATATCTAATGTAGACAAAGATTTATCGCATAAATATTGTTATAAGTTTATTTTTGCACAGCGCATATTATAGTGTATATAAAATATATACAATATTATTATGCGAGGTATATTCGAGATAGCCTTACATCACGAAAAAACGAAAAAAAAAACTAGTTGTGAGATCGTATAATTGGATAGTAATAATAATAAATTTGAAAGAAAAAAAATACATTTAATTAAAATAAGTAACGTAAATTTAAGCGACCGATACGATATAATATTATATACCTACGTATATACCTACATTTGTCGGATACGATCTTAATAAAGTTTTTACGTGTGGATTCTCTTTGGTGTCGTATCGAATACAACGATACATAACATCAGTATGGGCGGAGTTTTTGAAAAAAAAAAAACCGCCTTCGTTTCTCTCTTGTTGGTAACGAAAAATATGTTAGACGTCCTCTATATTATCGTGGTATTATCTTGGACAAACAATATATTATATTCCGTATTATTATTATTATTATTGTTCAGAGAAATTAAAACTTTGATTGTAATATATAGCCGTATTGATTATAAGTAGGCATGACGAATTATAAAAATCAAGTCAAATATATATTAATAGAACGTTTTCTTACGGGCATGCTACTTCTACTGCTCATATGGGTATGATCACATCTGTTGTAGGTGGCTAGTTGGGAAGGTAGGATAATAATATGCAGAGCAATAATTTAGTTTACGTGCCTTACGGTGTATGAAACGATGAACGAAAGTATCCAACACTCTGAGCGGAGTAAAATTAGTCGTGTTTTTCTCCTGTTGCCGCGGTAACCCGTTTTTCCTACGTTTTTACTCAATTATCAAGAAAACTAAAATTAAAACAACGGCCTCCTCCATGCACTGAATATATCTAAAATTCTAGCAGAAAGTTTCTGTAAAGTATTTAATTGAAGCATGATTTAGTAAAATTAATACGTTTCTCGTCGCTACGTTCGAAATCTAAAATAAACAATTTGTGGCGATGGGTATTTACGATTTGTTGACAATATAAGTTATTATATTAATTTATTTTAAACATTTTTTCAATCATAGTATAAATAACGTTTTTTTTATTCGCATCAATTTTATCGCTATCATAGCCAACTGCAATTATATAATGAATTACCCCCTACAAATAATAATAAAAAAAAATCCCGTACACAAAAAAATAATACTGGTTATTCACAAAAGGTGTTGTCATTTAGGAGTGTTTTGGTGACTGATGGCCAAAGGTAAAAAAAAAAATAAATTTAATGGAAAATCGAAGGGTTGAAAATATCTAGTAATGGATTAACGTTGATGATTGATGTCATCTGTTTTGAAGTACGGCTATTTGCAGGTTTATTATTATTATTATTTTTTTATTAGATTTCAAACATATACCTATAGTTGTTGATCGATCGCTTCTTTTTTTCTTTTTTTACCATAATAAATAGGTATTGTATGGAAAACGGAAATAAACCGTATTTTACTTTCAATACGATAATTATAGTGCAATCAGTTATTGAATAATAAAAAAAAAATATATATATATATACATACATAAATCATAAATAAAACGAGCAATAAATTAGGTAGGTAGGTATATTAATATTTTTATTATTTTCGATCACGAATAATTATTGTGTTATATATTATTATTTTAAATATGATTGATGGATCTTTGGCAACAAAATTATTGGATTCGTATCGATTTTATTATTTTAAATAACTATAACGGTACACAAATACTTATACTCATGCGCCTATATACACTGCAAATAAAATAAATTTGATTTGAAGTCGAATTCGTATGAGATATTATGATATAAATGTCTAAGATATAGGTAAGATTTGATTGCAGGAAATAACAGAGTTTTGACGTGATTATTTCAATTGAAATTCCAAAAAAGTGAATCATTTCTCCACCACATTAATTGTTTATGCTCATAAAAAAAAAACAAAAAAAACATGAACGGATCATTATGAGTTGCACGAATGCTCAAGGGCAACAAAAAATTATTCTGTTAACAGTCTTAAGTTTTTGTTTTGTTGTTGTTATATGCATTTATTCTACCTTCCTGTTTTTTTTTTTAAATATTTTTTAAGTGCTCGATTTCTAAAAGAAAATATTTTTTTTAATATATCATTATAGAAGAAAAATTATACAAGAACGGTATACGCAGAATATAAGTATTAAGCACCATCCAATTTATTTTGGTTGCTCTATGACATATATGATATACCTACTATAGTTAATAATAAGAAAAAAACACAAAAACAAAGAGCCGATATTGGGGACAGGTATGTCACTATTGTAAGTGGAAAGTTGGAAAGGTACTTAAAGTTATTTAATATAATATATCCGTAATTCGTGCTTGAAAAGCCGAGAAAAACGATTTTTATCAAAATTTGATACTCAACATTTTATAAAAAAAACTACATTGTATTCAATTTTTTTTTTTTTAACCAGAAGGGCCATTCTTAATGAAAAAGAAGGCATTTATTTGATTCTTAAACTGAGTTTATGGCTGAGAACCGACCACGATTAGTCTATTATCTTATAAACTTCGTTTAAAAATTAACGTTTAGATTAATGTGAACGAGCCTAAGTATGAATTTTATTAATGAACCGCATTGTTAAATTTTCAAGCATTTCTATTTAGTCCTTTAATTTTATCCGCAAAATACCTCTCAATTAAGAATTACGTAAAAAGCTCTTGAAATTAAAATTCATATAAATAGCACAAAAATGGCTTAAATGTTTTGAAAATGTTATCATGTCTAGAAAAAGCTAATATAAATTTTCCATCTAGGTCAGAAGCTTTATATTTTTTTAATGGTGTTTTCATTATTTCTGCGCGAATGAAACCTACATGCATGTTTACGTGTAATATACGACAATTGTACAATTTTGTTATATGAACAAGTAGCTAGGTACAGTAAATGTTCCAATACATTGATTATTAATTCTGAATGTTTTATTATGTATTTTGTTATTTGGATAGTATGAATACCTACTAATACATAGGTGCCCTGTACAGCGTACATGCAATTACTCTATATTTATGGATGGTTTAAGTTTTTTTAAACGTATGTTCAGAACACCTTATTTAAAATGTATATATTTTTTCTAACCGATATTAAAAAAAATATCTACCAAAATATAATTACATTAAGAATTTTAAAAATGTCCTGTGAACTATTTGAAAATCAGAATATTTAATTTATTTAGGTTTCAACTCTTAATCGTATTATACTACTATTTTACCGAACTTTTTCAATATTGTATTCGGAGTTATAGTTTTTATTGTTTGAAATACGTTTAGAGACCGGGAACTATTTGCACGCTTTCATAGTGGGCTTTCTGAACTTTAATAGTTAAATATGCAACAGTCGGCATTTACGCAACTTATGTTTTGGTACAAAAAGTCATCAAATAAAAACAACATACTATTATTATAGTGTTTCAAATGTATTTTTTAAGTTTACGATTTGGCCACTACTTGCGTGTATTTATATTATACGCATACCTACGACGTCTAGAGTATATAGAAACACATAAAGTTGCGTATCGGTACTAATTACTGTATCTACGGTTTATTTTTATATTTAATTGCAGTATTATTGTTAGATATTATATTGTTCATGGATATATTAATATTTTACAGGCAGATGTTATTACGAATTATAGACAACAGTAATTTGTATTATTATCATTATTGTTATAAATTTGTATTTATTTCTTTTGTATACAACGATTTAAAAATAAACAAGAGCGCCGTAGTGTTGTTTTATTGTTATAAATAAAGGATATATATATATTTTTTTTTTGACAATAATAATTATAGGTTATGGTAGTTTGAAAGGGTAAAACGCAGACGAACCGCATGTTCCCAAACCTCTTGTGTTTCATTTTGTAGCTGTATCATATGTATATTATATATAGCTTTAGCGGTATGTCATATATGTACATATTAAAAAAAACTGATATATACATATATACACATAACAATGTGTATATGTATATGTAGTTTTTAATCAAAATATATTTCTTAATTACTCCTGCAGCTATCTCAACGATAAACGAACAATTGTTTAGGTATGGGCACTTGTAAATAATATACGCACCCTTAATAATATATAGCAATTAAAAATGTTGAGGCAATTTATTATTCTATATTTATTATATTATATCTTGTTCAAGCAATCAAGCTATTATCTTGACGAATTATTTCATTAGATTATCATATACGTGTAAAGGAGATAACTTTTTTTTTATTTTTATGTAGGGTAGGACGTATATTTAGGTGCATTTGCATTGTTTTAGTAATTATGTATTATAATCAGTGCCCTAACTAATTTTCGTGGTGCCCTTGGCAAATTATGCATACTGCGCCTCATTTACGCAAACAAGTGGGGGCATTACCTACCAAAACCTAGCCGATTCCACAAATCAAGTAAATATATAATCAATATTATGGGTGACTTGAGCTCCCCCTCCCAAAAAAAAATTGGTTTATTTATACCAATAAATGGCGCAAAAAAAAAATAGGCTAAATGCTTTGGTATATAGTCTATATTGCCTTACTAATGAACGTACTGTATGTATTGAAGTCCACTCTTCCGATCATCAAAAAGGGTGTTTTAACTTTTCCGTTGTTTTTAATATTTAACCATTAGTTCTTACGGAATAAATATATGGACAAATATATGGAACTAAAACTAAAGTCATTTAATTTACTAACGGAATACGTTATTTTGTGTTTTTAAATTTTTACGGGATAGTGGTAAAAACAACTTTTAAAAAAAATTGAATATTTTTGAACTTTTAATCGAAATTCCTTGTCAACCAAAAAACTTACATATGAGGTATACAAATTGTGTGAATAGTAAACACTAATCAATAAAAATTATCAAGTTACTATCTAATATGTAATTTTTGCACATCATAATTTTGAATTTAATAAAAATTCAAACATATTACGAGAATAATTACTAATTCTGATATTCAGTAAAAACAAAAATTACCTATTACAAATCGAACCAATTATAATTTATACCAACTATTTAACCAACTTCTAGTTACGACACTGATTATTATAGGGTTTGCTTAATTAAATTATTAATTTCTTGTTTCAAAATTGATATCATTTATCTGCTAGCTGTATGTAAAGGTCATTTGTTACAACGAAAAAACGAAAAAAAAGTTTAATTATATATAAAACAATGGTGGTGGGAGGCAGAATTGGTTTACGCGGGACGGCTGAATACGAATAAATGGCAAAGCTCTTATTACATTATAACATTGCTATACGGAATTATTTTCAAGTTGTTCATAGTATAAATACTGTACAAGTATTATAACATCGACTGCAGGGAGTCGTTACGGAAAATAACGATTTCGGAAAACAAAATAATATAATAAGAATGATGAATCGAACGGGGCATTTGTATACCTGACCTAATTGCACAGTACTTCAACACAACAATATTTATACGGTCCTTTTTTTTTTTTTAAATTTACACGCCGTTGCAGTAATGTCGAATCCCCCGATGAACTCGTTAAACATCGATTAGCTTCATAATATTATTATTATACGTACATTATATATAATATTAACCTGTCTGGTGCACGAACCCAAACAAAACGATGTATATATATATATACATTTTTTTTTTTTTGCTCTGACCCGGGCGCGCGTGTATACACAAAAAATCATTAATCCAAAACTCCGGTAGTCGAGTGGACGATAATAATTTGTCAAAACCCGAAGCGCGCGTACAGCGTTTTATTTTTCATTTTTTTTTTTTTTAGGCGTTCCAATCCCCCAGCGTGACGTATTTTCGTCGGGGAGGTTCGGTATATTATAATATATCATATAGAAGGTAGGTATATAATACAGTTAATGTTCGTAATATAAAAATAATAACGCCGTTGCGATGACGGCGAAACGGATTAACGACGCGAATATGATAAACGATCGACCGGGGCCGGCGCGACGGATGCGTTTAGTGTTTACCGCACCTTACCACGGTTAACCATGCTGGTTACGTGGGTATACGCGTGTACGTAATATAGCATATTATAACGTATTTAATATGTATATCACGCCTATACATTTTATCGGATAAGTACATTATTATATAAATTCGGAAAGATTCGTTGTAACGACGCGAAAACCGTACGCGCAAATATCGTTTTCTCTCACTATACGTTCACCAGTTTCCGCAAAAATCTTTCGGCCGATTGAAATAATCGGTTTAATATTATAGTAAAATGAAAATCGTATACTACTTTATTTTTTTTTAATGAGATTTGATATTTCCCGGTGCAACACTGCAATCGAAATGTTACTTTAGATTTTTACTATAACCTCACATACTCTTAAAGTTATATTTTCCATTATTATTGATAAGGTGAAACTATAATTAATATAGTTCGTGACGTTATCTGATGGCGGGCCACACACGTTTCCGCACAATATACCTCATATACCTGAAAAGTGTAGGTATACGTTTCAGTGATTATTCGTCATACGAAAGATTTATTTTGACCTGAAAGTAAAAAAAAAACCTCCGTTGTTCCATCAAAGAAAGCAACGGCTCGCGATGGATTTCATACCACGCTATTGGTGACGTTTCTCGAGTTTAATGTAACTCTATCAGAATAATATTATATTTGTTATAATACAAGACTACATATAGGTAGACGGTCGTCGTTTACAATTTCCTCTGAGAAACGTTGATTTTATCGGGACTCCTATTAGAATAATAATAAAACAGATACTTCTAATTTAGGAGTATCTGCCGGGTGGTTGTGTACACGTTTGCAAGACATTGACAACTTTTTCCCCCCCGGTGGGGATCGGTTAATACGGTTTTCATTTTTAACTATACCGTTTAAAATTTGAACGATGTATTTGGATTTTGTGTCTACGCGATCGAAATATCTCCGTGTATTAGCGGTCGAAAATACGGCAACGTTGCAGGTTCGTTTCATCACGGCTTTATGCGCGTGGATCACTGCCGACGGCGACGCGAATGTGTCACCAGCACGTCATTTTGACAAAACGCCGTGGCCCGTAACCCCGACGGTAATAACAATAATACTTATTGTGCGGTATGCGTGTTCGATTGGATTCGGGGTAGGCAGTTGCACCGTGCACAGGAAACGGAAATCGGATCGGATTACGAGCGCGGATACTATTCGTATCAATAACAATATAACATTTTACGGTCCGTGTATGTGTTTTTAAATTTGTTTGTGTGCGGCGACACCTGCAAATCGTCGCGTCGGTGCTGTTTCGTTTTGAATCTCCGATGTCACCTCCGCCCGCCGAGTGATAATAATAGACACTCCGCGCCGCGTTCGAAAGACGGCGGAGGAGGGAGTGCGCGTGGCGAGGATTTGTCATTCTATGTTTGTATAACTAACTTAGGCGCCTGCGCCACAGATATCGTAAAACGATTAGATGACCGACTCCGATTTCATCTTTACAGAAGTCTGGCAGCCGTTTCCTATTAAGGCTGTGTTTACACCGCGTAATCTCTACATATCACTGTACAATATCGGTTGTTTCCAATTTTGTTTAGTGATAACAAATATCCGATTGTTGATCGTTCGGGGGTCGGGCACTGCATCGTCGGCGCCTCGCGGTTCGTGCGGTTTTTCGTCAATCCGTACGGCGATATTGTTATTATCGTTTCTCACGGTCCGTTAGCAGTCGACGGTGTTCGTTTGCCGATCCCGGCGGCTCGCTCGGCGTAATCCGCGTTCCAAACGCGTTTGTACAAAATTAAAATTAAAAAAAAAAATGGACGTAAAATAGTTTTGGCGCTTGTTTTTTTTAAATTTTATCACGCACGAATTATGCGTACACAATGGATGGAATGGTCGTCTTTATCAATGGATTATCAGAGTAACCGGAGCAACGGTAAACGTGGTTTACAATCGATTTCGAAAAGTGCATTGAGCCATCGTACGCAATTACTGCAGTAAACAATGTCGCCGAAACAGTTGGTTCGGGTTGCTCGAAACCGCGTCCCCGAAACAATAACGCAATAAACGATACACGCCGCCGCGCGCGTACCGGGTCGATTATTGCGCGCTTCCGACCACCGCGTCGTCGTCATCACAGCGCCGGGGTAATAATCAGCGGGTCGGCAATCAACGACCGTCAATCAGATATCACCCGGTTGTCGCGGGAGCGCGCGCGCTCGCGTAAATCGCGCGCGCGCGCGCGCACGGTGGCTACCATAGAAATGAAAAAAAAAAAAAGATTACAATGCCTGACGGGCTCGTATAGTCTAACACACCGCGCGTATAATGTTATAATGTACCCAAATACTCGTGTACGTCATTGGTTTACGAGAGCGAGCGCGCCGCGGCGTTGTAATTTTACGGACGACGCCGGCCGCGGTGTACAATTAAAACTATCTCCGCCGATAAATAACCCCGCTCTCGTCGACGGGCCGGCCGTTCGCCGCGGCGGCGGGCGGGGAAATCTCAAAAAATCTGCCGTAGCACACGCGCGGGTTCCCGCCGCCGCCGCCGCCGCGCGCGTGTACAGGGCGATTATTGTGCGTGCGATCGATTCGCCGTTGTGCACGTCCCTTTTCCCCGGCCTAAATCGTTCCGGACCGTTACTGTACCCGCGGTGTTTGTTTCATTTTGTCGAATACGGCGGTAGGTTGGAAATACGCGGGACGATTGTAGTCTGCAGTAAAAGCGAGACGGGACTATGCACCGCAGCCGGTTTGAGACGGGAAGGAACGGCGAGCGTTCGCCAGCCGCGTTTACGCGGCCGGTAGAATCGTTTCGACTGTGTATACGATTAGTATGGAGCAGAGTTTCCCGACCGGTGGTCCGTACGACCGTCATAGGTGCTCCACGGAGCTAAAGGTAGGAACACCTATTTGTCGTGGACATAATGTACTATAAAACCAATAACGCTTTACGTCGTCGTAAAGCGATTAAATATACGGTTTATTTTTTTAGTATGTATTCGTGTTTATGAACCAAACAATTATTAAAAAGATCCACGTCCTATCGAGAGTTATAATCTAAGCGGTCCATGGTGGCTAAAAGACCGGGAAACACCGGTAAAGAGCGTTTAGCGAACAACGAACGGAGCGACAAAGCGGAAGCACTCGAAAGTCGATACGGGAAAGGAGCGGAGACGGCGCGCCGGCAGGACTCGGCCTGCAATACGATTTCCGAGGGACTTGATGTCGTTGTCTGTTCTCCTATATTGGCCATAAAGTCGTCGATAGGCCCTAGCTCGTATTTTATATGGTGCGATCGGACGTACAGTTTGCGGGCTATACGTATCGAAAATACCCCGTCTGTCGACAAAACTCCGTCACCGTTCGCGCAAATCTCGATCGCCCGTCTCTGTGTTGTCCGCCGCCACTCTCGTTCTCCGACTTTTCTCTCGCCCAACGGTGTACTTACTCGATTTCCGATCCAAAACGAAATCCTTGATTCGCACCGCCGACTCCCACAAAAAAAAAAAAAAAAAAAACCGACCCTTTAACCGTCCTGTGAAACTGTACAGTAAATATAATAGGGGCGGGCAAACTGGTAGAGATCTACTGCGCGAATATTATGTTTTTCCTTTGATGATCGACTTCCATAGAAAAAAAAAACAAAATTGAACGTGTGTAATTATTAACCTAATACTTAGGTTAGGTATCCGACATACCTAATAGCCAGTGTTAATAACAAAATTAAAATTCACGTTTAAATAATGTTTTTCGTCAAACTTTTATTCAAAACTTTATATTCTAATAATATTTTACGAATTTAATGTACTAGAAATAAAATTGCCAGTAAAAAAAAAAAAGCCGATAAACCCTAAAGTATTATTTGATTAAATCGAAGACGACGAAACGACGATTTATTAAGATGGACATTATTGTCAGCGATCGTGATTTATTTACTAAAATAAATTCCAACAAAGGGAGATCGACGTAGAAATCGATCTTTTGCCCGTCCTTGCTGTACCAGTGTAAATATTTAGTTTAATTTTAAAAATTATAACACAAAATATACTTTTCGTAGTCTAAACTCTGTGTCTGGGGGGAAGGGAAGGAATCCGGACCGCTTAGACCCGACCCCCTTCCTCGTAAAATCGCCACTGAATATCTGTATAGTGCGCCTGACGCGCGATAGCCCCGTCACATCGTATTATAAATACGTTATTGATGAACCGTAGATATTATAGCGCGTGATGAACGCAATATATAAATTGATGGGTATCCCATCGAATTCCGACCGGAGTGAAGCGGAGCGCGGTTCGAGAATCAAAATTCGAGAGGACGGAACGTAGCGAGGGACGGTAATAATTTGAAAATACCGTTTTTTCGAATAAAGTTCACGAAACGTTTGCAAAAAAAAAAAAAAAACAACAAAAACACACAAATCATAAATTATCACATCAATAACACGCCTATTGGCACGTACTTCGAGTCTACTTACTACTAGTAGTACGAGTCTTCGTACTACTGAGTCTCTCGAGAAAATTACCGGACCGCCGGTAAAACGACGATCGCCCTGTATGCCGTACGTTTTCGTTTGTGAATGTGCGTTTACATTTTATACGCGCGTCCGTATGAATGTGTGCCGCGGACGTTTAGCGTTTAGTATATTTAAACGAAACCGGCAATTTAAACGTCAACCCGAAGAACCCGCGTGCGTTCGTCATCGCGCCGTCGTCTCGGACGATCGCGGCGCGGCGTACGGTTTTTTTTTCCGACGTAGATAGAATTTGATTTTGATTTTTTTTTTTTTTTTATCGTTATTATTTCTAAACACACGAATCGGTATTATATACGTCCGTTCGCTCTGGTATATATCATGTACCGTGTACCGCAGAAAATAACAACGCGAACGCGGTTTCGTATGTTACATTATTACGGTATAATGCGCGCGCGGTCGTCAGAGCGGCGCGTCTTTTTTCTGTACGCGCGATGATCTCCTGTCCGAGACGTTGTTGTTGCAGCGCGCCTATATCATAGAAAAAAAACAAAAACAATATAATAATCGGCTGCTGCAGTTGAACCGGACCGCAGATACAATCGAAACTAATAAATAACCGTTTCCCAATCGACGGGGAAAAAAAAAAAAAAAACTAAAAATTATTATAATAATAACGCGGCGATCGGATATCGCAAACCGATTCTCGTATGAAAACTGACTATATATATATAGTGTTTTTTATTTATTTTTTTTTTCCATACCATGCCTGTCGTTCGAATCGTAATTAATACGTGTACGCAATTAGTCTACATATCTATATGTATATACCTCGAGTGTTATAAATTATGTACAGGAGGCAGTTTCGAATGTTCCCACACATATAGCGGTCGGGTCGGGTTGAGTTACCCACATCGCCATAATTATAATATAATATCTGTAAAATATCGATGTCGATCGATTTATAGCTGGAATTAAAAAAATATTGAAATATTCGTTCAGTCTACACTAATATATAAGACGTCGTTTATCCGCACGATCGTTATTGTGATATTGAACAGCACGCTTAAAGATAGATATCGCCGAAGAAAAAAAAAAAAAAACACTCGAGTGTGCAGGTCGGGACCGCCTTTGGACAGCGTTTATGTGCCGATTCTCGCGTCCCTAACTTCCCTCGCTTCCCGTACGCTAGAGCCGCCGCTGGGACAGCTCATTCTTGGCGTATAAAGAAGATTCATTGCTGAGAACAGTACAAGGGAGAGACCACTCGGAAGGTCGAGACTAAGATGGAAAGACGTAGGGAAAATGAGGCCTTGGATGGGATCGGAAGGAATTAGCATTGGATAGGGAAAACTGGAGGCAAATATGTTGGACGTTATGGTTTTAATGGCCGAAGTCACGAAAGAAGAAGAAATGTATATGCTTTAATTTAAGTTAATCCGAATTCACAATATCGATTTAGCTGTTACTCTGCGATTAAAAAAAAATCCCGTAAACACAGAGTTTTAATGCGAATTCAGATGATTTTTGAAGGGATTTTTCCCAGAAAATAGAAAATGTTTACATGCGAAGTTGTTAAACAAGTGCGGAAATAAATTTAAATGCATTAACTTAGAGCGCAATAAGTCGAGTGGCATTAAGGATATGCGTATATACAAACGTGCGTGTTATATTATTTTCGTTAGTAAAGCTTCGATTTAGCTAAACAACCAATTTTGATATTTGAAAAACCGAGTTAATAAAAAATAAAATAACACGCAATAAAATATACAATGACTTTTTTTTAGATAAATACCTATTTAAAAAAAAATTATTCATCTCTACAAAATTGCGTTACCTCTGCAGTATTATTTTGCTCGCCCGTGAATCAGAATGAAATTTTTAAAAGTCACGAGTACACGCGAGCATTGTGCGAATATATAGTGTAAACATAAATTTACAGACACAATATTATGTAGGTACATTGTACGCCCATTCGAAAATGGAAAGTTTAAATCAAATATAATATATACGAACGTTTAAATGTGTAGATGCACCGCGAAGATTTAATGAATCAGTGTTAAGCTAATGTTTTAAAACTGTCACAATCTTCGTGACGCATTCCGCGATATATATGTACAACATATCATATTCTATTATACTCGTATACATTTATTTCGATTCGTCTATCCAGTTTAAATTGCTTTAAAACAATGAGCTTGTGTAATGTGTTAAACATAATAATATTGTATTTAATGGCCGATTTCTTCGTTCTACATTATTGTAACATAATATTGAGGACTTTCGAGCACGAAGTATGACGGAGGAAACATGCGTATCTATGACCAACCATCGACAAAGCAATGGAAAACTGACAGAGCAGGTTCAACTGCAATAACTGCACAATATGATGAAACTAACACCGGTGACGAGCTCCGTTGAAGGGCAAATGATACAGCGGTTAGGTCGCATAACGAAGCAAGAAGAAAACGAAACAGAGTTATAGAGTAGCAATGCATTGGAATGAAATAATCTAAGAAACGTCAAAGAAGAAGACAGAGGAAAAATGGATTGACGCGGTCGAAGAAGATTTAAAAAATGTGTAAGTGAAAAACCGGAGAAGTGTAGTTCAAAATAGTGACAGGTCGTGTTTTGAAACCTCTGCACATACGTACAACATTTTTATTTTTGTCTTTCGAGCCGTTTCTTGGTCGCCAAAACTACTTCCTTACATCGCACTCTGTACATATGCCTGTCCACTCTGATTTCTTCTAAAAATTCTTCGGCACTGTCTTTCCATCTTTTTTATGGTAGTCTTCCTCTTGGTGTCTCTTCCCTCATCATCATACAAATTGCTCTTTTCAACATAAGTTATCATAATGACACTTCTTTCGAGTCTATGCTCGTAAAATATCGAAAAGTGAACGATCGGTCCATCGGTTCCTTTGCAGATGTGAAACGATTTTCGCGTTTCGTGTATTCCATAATTATTGTACAGATTTTTAAATATTTTACTTTTAATCTCAATATTTTCGTCGCCTCCTCGATAAATCGTGTTCGATCGGTATTATATTCGGTATTGCGATCCCGGAATTTCGTATGTAGCGCGCATTATGTCGCCACATGATATTTTTCTTCAGTTTGTTTCGAAAAAAAAAAAAAAAAAAAGTGTTTTTAAAAATCGTATACAGTATACGGTCGGTATTGATTTTCGTCGTACATTGTATTGCGTATTATTGAATTATACGGGTTTTACATTCCGCGCAGTTCCGTATAATATAAAGCTAAAGCGCCAAACGTGGTATAAAATAAACGGACGAAGGATGGTTTTTCGAGCAAAGCTATTCGGGCGTTTCATAAATAAAAAACAAATATTCGCAAGACGTGTTGTGCGAAATTCGACCTATAAAACGCTGTACAACCCGAGGCGTCTACTTCGGGTCTTCGAAGTTTAATAACATCATGACGCGCGCGTAGTATCGATGTTTTCGTTTTACGATATTGTACAAGTCTGCGGGGAAACGCACAGATTTCATAATATTTACTCGCGCGGACGTACATCGTAGTTTATGGTTGTATTTCACCGGCGGACTGTTATCACAGTATACAGGGCGGTACTTTTATCACGGTTTAGAAATGCGCGTTTGCGGTACGCGGGTCGTTAGAAAAAAAAAAAAAAAAAACGGGCGCCGGAGAGAGCATGGTAAATCGTGTTGGCCCGAAAACTCCGCGCACGGATGATAAACGCACATTTTACAGGTACCGCGTAAATATTAGCGGCGGGAAAAATCCGGACTCGCCGAGGTCGGGAAATCCGAATTTCCGAAACTCGAAGTCCAAAAGTGCCGACATCATTATGAACTATCCGGCAGCTAATCATTATCGCTTGTACACAACTGCAATGGTGCTGTCGTATAATCGCGAAACCGTTACGCCGTAAATATTTGTCCGTTTATCCGATGGTTTTTTTTCCTAGGTTTATCCCGGTAATCACGGTGACATGCCCGGGAAAACCGAAAAAAACCGGCCAGACAATTTCCCGGGTTAGAGGCCCGAAATCCCGAAATCCGGATTCTCGGACAATCCGGAAATTCACAAATCGCCAATCACCGTAGCGAACGTTATCGGTGCGCACGCGTATAGCCGGTTCTCGGCCAGAGATGCACCCCGTTTGCGAATGCGCGCGGGACGATTGTATTATCGTCACGATGTATTATAAATAGCGAAATAGTTTTTCGGCTGCGGTGAGTACGGCGCGTGTAACATAAAAATTCATGGGGCCATCGCCGCGGCCGCGCCGGGGGTCGTACATAACACGCGCGGCGGGAATTTGTTATTCATGGCGTTTCGCTGTCGGCGCGCCCGCGGTATCGTTCTCTATGTTATTGTACACGCGCGCATACGTACGTATATTACGGCCGTGCACTCGCGGCGCGGGGGTTGCGTTACGCCGCCGGACCCGCGCGAATCCGGAGCGGCGAATTCGGCGGCGGGGGAGGGATGGGGGAGAGGGGGTGGCGTATAGCGGCGGCGGTATATTATATAGCGACGGTGTACATAGCGGTGGCGCGCAGCGGGTATATAGGAGTAGAAAGTGACTCTCCGGCGGCGGCGGCGGCGGTTCAGGTTGATTTATCGTCAGCGCGGCACGCCCACCGTGCGCGAGCGTAACGCCGGCCGTCGTTCGGCCGGGGGTAGGGGGGTTCGTGAAAAATAAGCGGTGCCCGCCGATTTCAGACGAACCGGCGATTGATAATGGGCGGAAACGGCACCACTTCTAGTCGACCCTGCCGCCGCCGCCGCCGCCGACGACGACGTTTGGTCCGCCGACGCCGCCGCCGTATATATATCACACACACACACACATACATATATGTATATACGTCGGTCGTGAGTGTGTGCTGCGTATCGCGTAAGTAAGACCCGCGC